GACGCTGAGACCACGCCGACGCGAAGATGTCCATGTCTGGGAGTCCGTACGTCTGGCAGGGCCAATGAAATGAGTCGGTGACGACCGGCCAATTCATGAACAGGAATCAACTGAGACAGGCCGTATGCCAAGACGTTGGACACTCCCCGGACATGAACCACACGGAGAGCCAAACCCCGAGAATCCAGCAGACGAGCCACTCGAAGGGACCAATCCCAAAGAGGCAAGGGCGAGGCAAATGCCGAGCACCAAGAACCTCTATAGGAATGGTTCCCGAACGCCCCAGGGAAGATAACCCTGTCAAACAGGGACAGAACTCACAGGGCGCTTAGGGAAGGAAGCTCTTAGGAGAATGCAGCCCTGGTACTGATGAGGAACACCTGGCCACCACACAACACAAAACAAGGCAGTGAGTGCCACGAAGGCAAACACCGCCTAGGAAACTGAGGCCAAAGAAGCGTCTGTCCTGGTTGATATTAGCTTATGAACTGGAGTGCTAGGCAGCCAATGCAGTTAGGTCTGGGCCCCCCCCCCTCCCCCTCTCGAGGAGGGGAGGGGAGGGCTGCACAGACGAGTGGTGCAGCAGTAAAGTGTGGTGTTTGCTCGTTTGCTTCTTTTCATGGGATTGTAGGGAGTTTCTACCTCTCTGTTCAGTTTTTTGTTTTAATTTCTTACCATGTGGGGTTTGTTTTGTTACGCCTACCTTTCTGGGGTGCCTAACCCCAGTCCATGGTAGATAAGGAAAAACCCCAACCACAGGGGGAGTTTTCCAGGGCCATTGCTCCCTGAAACATCTCTGAAAGGGCCAGGTTCCAGCTCTGGTCCCTGGTAGGTCCGAACTCCATAGCTAATGTCTTGGTCTAATATAAAGTACATTAGCCCGTTAAGCTCCAGGGAGCCTCTGGGGCTCCCCACAGAAAATAAATGATAAAAAAAACAGGTTTTTTATTTTTTAATTTCCAAAAAATGTATGCAATGCTAATTATAAATCATAAATTTAATGTGAATTGCAAATTATAAATAAGCCCTAAATTTATAATAAAAAAACAGCGTTGAATGTAATGAAACGCCATTTTCTGGGTGACACCCAAAGGCTCCCGGAGCTATCCAGGATGATATGTAATATATTAGACTTTGGCATCAGTGTGAATGGAATTCACAGGCTTACCAGGACCATGAGCCAGAACCTGGCCCCCTCAGAGAGGCACGAGGAGCAATGGCTTATAGAATAGACTAGAAACAGACAGGAAACCCATCTGAGGGACATAGTCATTTCGACCCCTCCCAAGCGCACCCACTCCGAGATGACCCGACAGAGCACAGGAGAAGAGACCTGCCCCATCAGCCTCGAACCCCCCAAAGGAGGAGGGGCCACCAAATACCATCGAATGCCGCTGGAAATGGCATTCGAAATGGAAAAATGGTCCCTCATGGTCCCTGGTAAACCTAGAACTCCATTCACAATGACTGATGCCAAAGTCTAACATGTCCATATCAGCCTGGATAGCTCCGGGGAGCCGAAAGGGCTCCCCTCAGAAAAATATATAAAGATACTAAAGACAAAAATACAATTTTGGACAAGGTATATTTAAACTCAAGATAGAGAAAAAATTATCAGTTTTGAAAAAGTAAGTTTTGAAAAGAGAAATTTAAAAGTAGATGAAAAGCTTTCTTTTGGAGCAAGTCCCTCAGTCATTCCTTTAGAACAATAGTCAGTTCTTCCCAGGACATAGCAAAAATCTCCCCATGCTATGAGTGACTCACTTTCTGATCAAAGGGCAGAAAACAGAAGGGAAAAATGGTAGCTATTCTGTGCAATACTTACCCAAGACTCTGTGGAGAAGAAGAGGGGCTTCTGAGGGCATGTAAACACTAGAGCCCAGAAGTACAAGAGATCTCACCTAAAAGAGATACTGGAAAAAGCACCTCCAGGCACTACAACAAAAAGGGTCAAAACAAAACAGAAAGAATATGCTTAATGCTCACATACCACACAGAACAGGGAGCAAAGAACTAGCACCAAAGACCCACCCATAAGGTATGGGCAAACAACCAATCCACAGGCAAGAAAGAAAACTGGAGGTGCTAAAAAAAAAATATATAACATCAGAAGCCCAAAGTGTCAAGAAGGAAGACCAAGATGGCTTCCTCAGTAGAGGTAGGAGTGACCCACATTGTATGAGTAAATCTAGGGAAACCCATAAGGAAGTTGGGCCCAAGAGTAATAAGATGCAATGGAAAATAGGACAGCTGAAGCCAGAACATGTGGCACGGAATCTGTAATAAAACAGGCAAATACTGAACTTTCGGGTACGATGTTGATGGGCAAATTTGAACATGGTGTGCAAAAAGTCCACCTGTGGGTACAGCCAAGAACTGGTTGGAAAACTGATCAAACTGCAACACCCATGAAGCCAAACTGGATAACCATTCATAAAAAAGAAACAGATCAAAATCCATGCAACAGCGAGGTATTTGCATACACATATGAGAACCCTGAGTGCTGTAATAGCAATAAAATAGGCAGAGGAATAAATCTTAGGGAAAAGCATGAGAGCAAATACCCCCAGTGGAGCAGGTGCCAATGAGACACTAAACTTGGGATTGCAGATAACCTCTGGTGAAATAATGCACAGTATTAATATTCTGGCAAAGTTACTAATTTGATCTCTCAAGCTTGCATCTCATTGTTCACAAATCTGCTTAATGTCAGCAATGAGACTTTCAATGTTATACTTCTGAAGCTCTAGTGGAGCATTTCATGATTCAAACAACAAATTATTGCAGTTTGGAGTATTATTGCTAGTAAATGAAGACACACAAAGATGAAATTAAAATACTGCATATTTACACTTACATATGTATTTCTAATTAGAATAAAGTTCAAATGTGTGCAGTGATGTTGCATAATTCAAGAACACTTAAATTATAGCATTTTGGTCAAAATTTGTAGACCCATCCCAGGTGCCCAAGAAATGCACTACATCCAGTCTTGCCTGTCTTTTCAAATGAGAACTACAAAAATTATTATATATTTAATAGTGAAATCTAAAGAGCATTATTTTGATAATAGAGACCTGTAGTCCGATACCAAAACTATTAAGAAACAATAGTGTTTTAATACAGTAGAAACTCCTTTGTTTCTAAGCCAGAGCACTTTGTTGCTCTGTTACAATATTATGTCCAATGCTCTCAAACACACGGCCAAACAACAGCCACCGCTCATATCCACAATCACTCCACATTACAACTCAACAGGTAAAATGGCAGAACTCATTTTAAGTTGTACAGTAATTTGTAACTAAAATACATAAAAATTCTTTGGTAAGCATAAACATTGAATGTATTTATGACATTACACCTTGGAATATTGGTCAATGCCTTGATGTTGGTTTACTTGAATTGTTATTTAACCTTTACCCTTGCAGCCTCTTTCTATGGGTATTCTTGCCTAATGAAGAAACAGAGATGTCTCAGAAAAAAGGCTATAAGTGTAGATGAAAATTACAGTAGCTTTCTGAGCAGATCCCTTTTATGCTCAAATTCCATAACAATTTGTCCAGAATTTACCAGTTGCATGGAGTTTGAGTGCTATAGGTGAATTGGGAAGTACCTTGCTAGTCTATAGACAGTAGAGGTGCTGAAACCTGGTAGCAATTTGGCTTAGTAGTTAGGCAGACTAACTAGCAATTAGCAGGAGAATAATTGCCAGTCTCCTTTGAAGCTTAATATTCCTTAAAGGAGGTTATGAGTGCAGATTAATAAACCTAAAGAAGGCCATTCTGGGTTTGAGAAATCAATAGTGTATAGCTTGGCATGGGCACTTACCTGGGGCCAGATTCACGAAGCAGTTACGCAAATACTAAAAAACGTGTACATCTTTCCTCAATCTTTGGCGGCTATGGTTACATTTATTAAACAGTTTACAAGCATGAAAACTTCCCAATCAACTGCTGTTATTGTTATAAACAGCCTCTTGGTGCTTTGGAGCTCATTAACTGTTTAATAATTGTAAACAAAGCCGCCAAAGATTGAGAAAAGATGGACAGGTTTTAAGTGCTTTATGAATCTGGCCCCAGGATCTCTGAAGTTGGGGAAGTGACAGCTAACGTGACCAATATGTTGCTTAAAAAGGTACTTGGAAAACTGGAACACTGTAAAACGGTGCCACCGAGTACCCAACTCTGCATCAAGATTTCAATTACACTCAAAGCTTTATATTTTATTGAATTTAGTGAAGAGTATTTTGGCACCACCTTCCAATTCAGTGAAAATGCCAACTCTCTAAACTGACTACTCTTCTATATTACAACCAATCTTTCTGGTCTTATGACAGCAATGGAATGCATTTTGTCTGGAGTTGAGCTAGACCACATCCATTCATGAGAGTTTAACTGTACAAGCATATAAACATACACATATATACATTACATACATACATATATTACATACATACATTACATACATACATATATTACATACACACATATATTATATACATATATTACATACATTACATACACATACATGCATTACATTACATACATACATGCAACAGAATCCTTAAAACTTGTGTAACTTTGGTTTTGGAAGCAATGCCAACAATAAACAAACCGATGTATGTCTACACTAGCAAACAAAATTATGCCTCAACAAAACAACTTGCCTCTCTGCATGCAGCCATGCTATTCTTGTAAATAATATAACAAAAAACTAATTATCAACAATATTACCAACTATCCACCACATTAATTAATCCAACTTTTCCATTCTTCATTATTGCTCAAAGTCTTCAGTCACCACTAAGTACCAGCACCAGCAAATATTGCATCAATAAAACAATAAAATAAAAGTAAATGTTAATAACAATTTCCTGCTCCACGATCCTCATCCAGCTGCTACCAGTTAGAGATGTTGTGAACTAGATGTTTCTATTGTAAGACATGAAAGGAGAAGTAGGATTAAGACTGGTGTCTGTGCACAGCGTACTGTAAACCAACCTAAATGGATGTTCCTTATTGTTGTTGACAGCATGACTCTGTCTAACACCCCCTTCCAAACATCCCAATTTAAGCAAACTGGTACAAAAAACAGGCTTGTTTGAAAAGCTAAAGACACTTCTGGAGCGGTCAGGAACAGGCCGAACGTTTATCTGTAACTCTACAAACTTGAGAGGCACAGGATATGTAGAACCTGGTGCCAAGCGCTTGAATAGCAGTGGAGTAGCTGAAACAATTAGTATGGGTATTCACATAAATATTTATGTAAAATACATCTTTCATCACTAACAAACCCAACAAGATATAGTTGTAATTTATTATATTAAATCTCCCACTATACTATCAAAGATCTAAAATAAAATGAAACTACTAATATGAGATTTTCCACCACAGTTACGTAACAAAATATTACCTTTGATTATAGCAATACAAAACATTAGTCCCTCTTTCTCCAGTAACATATTTATCCTTGGACACATTGCTAAGAAAAAGCCTTTGATGCAGAATTAAAGAATCAAAGGCTGATGGAACAATCACCATAAAATTGTGACCCCAAAAGCAAGGTTCACATAGATTCTTTGTCAAGATATTTAAAAGAAATATACAGTATTATCACCACCTCTTCATCTCACCTTCAGAGAACGGGCAAGATTTAACACTTGGAATGCAGTTATAGTATAGTAAAATTGCTCATTTCTGCCTATGAGCAAAAAAATGTAAAAATTCCAACAAAAAAATTTTCATTATAGAATTACTGTATTAATTTATACGCAAAATGTAAGTAAAACATGTAAATAAGTGAATATTTATCATTTCAATGGGTGGAGGCGCTTTCAAAGGTTACGTGGTAATGTGGCTGGCGTCTCAATGCCCCGTGCTCGACTTTGCTGATGCTTCCTGTGTTATCCTCAGATGTTTCACTGATTGTTTATCACTTGTTTCTCTTTATTTACAAGTGTGTATGTGTTGAATTCCTTGGTAAATCACATAATTCACATAACACACGATAATGTTTCAACTGATGTTTGGTTCACCTGGGTAAACTCTATTACAACCAGTATAGAGTAGTGAAAAGATGTGAACATAATATTCAATGGGGATGGCCTCTAGGCGATGATATGTAGTCTAATTTGCACCATATGGGCAAGAGTATGGATTGAGACCAAGGCACACGCCACCAATGTGACACACACACACACACACACACACACAATGATAACTGTCACATGACGATAACCATATTCATCTAGTAACGTAACATGAAATGGCAGCAGGACTTTTTTAAAGGGTCAACATAAACTATATTACATCCAAACAGATCTATTATATCCTTATTTCCACCATACATGATGGAAATGAAGATATAATAGGACATGTATTTCCATCATACATGATGGAAATAAGGATATAATAGGACATGTATTTCCACCATACATGATGGAAATGAAGATATAATAGGACATGTATTTCCATCATACATGATGGAAATAAGGATATAATAGGATATAAGAACCCAGACAATAATTGTTTAAATCCTCACATGATGATAACCGCATTACCCTGTGAATCAACATAAAATGATTACTGCTTTTTAAGGGTTATAAACACTTAGAATGATAAAGTAGCTTCAAAGTGCCATATGACAGAGTACTCGGAAGATGAGACACTATGACATAAGTTTATAAACTCCATCTTAGTAGTCTGATGAACCCGATTTCAGCATGGTTACCCTTCCCTAAGTTTACACTACAGTAAAGTATTTCATACTTTACAAATGCGAGAAGCTCGTAACCTCAGATTACATGATTAAGGTGACAATATAATTTTATTTTTATGCAGGCAAGATGGGTTAGCTGAAGAATCCAAAAAACCTATAGAAATAGATGACTCTCCTCCAGCTTTTTTAATTTAATAAAGTTAAATAAAGCAAGGAAGTTTATCATTGTCAACCAGTAACATCAGATAAGGAAGGATTTGTAAAATTAAATTTTCAGCTTAAGCTTCAGAGAGCCACAAGAGGCTCCCCCCCAGAAATAAACTTGTTTGCAACAGTCAATTCCAAAACCTTTACTAGTGATAAGATTTTGCAGTGAATTTGACATTTTACTACTTTACAGAAACTCCAACTACTGCCAGCTTTACTTGGGAATGTGTTCCTTGAGGCTTAGTGTAAAGCAGAACTATATAGTATTGTGATGAGCCTCTCAAGGCCAGCAATAAGATGTATTCCTATTCCATAACATAAGACTCATTCAATACAAAACTTAAATAATGCATGTACAGTCAAATTTTTATGTTTATTAATACAGTACATAAATGAATGCAAAGCTTCTGTATAGTGTTAAGCTTTATAAAGGTAATACAGCACTGTATAACACTATTCTGGTGTATGAATAAAGTGTCTATTTGTATTAGAGATGTTATAAACACACTTTACAGTATATGTGAATTTTGTGGTTAAAACTATAATTTAAAGTCCCTGTGGAGCAGTGGTAAAGCACTTGCCCGGCACTTTGCGAGCCTGGGTTTGTATCCTGGCCGGGGAGGACCGTCTGGGTGCCAATCCTAAACTGTAGCCTCTTTTCACCCAGCATGGAATGAGCACCTGGTTGTTAAACAATTTGGGGTGGGGGGTTATATTCAGGGAAAATTAGAATTAAGGAATTGCCTGAAATGCTATGCCTGCGAGTGGCTTTACAAGAATGTAAGAACTCTTATAAAGTATATACTGTATATAAATAAAGAAAATAAAAATTATTTTCCATTTTTATTCACCTAAAATAATTTAAGGGAGAGTTAAAAATATGACTTATAAGTAGCTCACAAAGAAGCTTAGAACCATTTTGTTTGAGCAAAAACACTTAAAATTCTTACAATATGTAGATACGGTATAGACACCATACAATCCATCCATGAAAAACATAGAATCTACTAAACACTAGGCTCAACTGAATAGCCTATCTATAATGTTACTGATCTGCATTCTTTTTTCTTATTTGTTTAAGTACTGAATGTCATAAAATAATATTTAAACAATGAGCTTAATACAGTACTGCACAAGAATAAAAAACTCACCTCCAAGTCTCAGAGCGGAGTTTTCCAAGCGAATGTCAACAGGGCAATTCAAAAGATTGGTTAGAAGCAAAGCCGATCTCACAGTTACTAGCTTCCGAGCTGACCCATCAAGGGTCACTGCCACAATCACCCGGGCACTTGGTAACTCACAATTCTGCAAATATATATATATATATAAAATCTGGACACTGATAAATTGCACTGAATACTGTAGTGTGGATATTTATATCATTTCTGAGTTTCAAGCTCAAGTTTGAATAAAGCATCATATTCCATTCTCTATTTCACAAATGGCTTTTTGGCAAGTACAAGTTCAGAAAATACCATACACGAATGGGAAAATTTAATTCAGTTCACAATTTGATAAATCATTCTGCCTTAGTGGGTTTGTAGCCAGTGTTTTTGACTTAAAGATATACATAATTTGTAATCCTGCCAAAGTGTATTATTAAAATACAAAATAGATTTGAGAGTAATGAAATGTCATTTTCTATACAGTACCTCTGTAGCTCCTTGTATTTTAAGTCATTGGCATGTTAGGTAAATAATGAATATGACAGGATCTTATGACTGCCCACCTAAGACAAAGACATTGTAAATTAATCTTAACCCCTTTAAAGACACAGGAAGTAAGTAGGATCAGAGATTAACCCTCTACTGCTGCAAACTGCCACATAAAAACAGGTGACTAAACACTCAACCTCCCTCCATTAAATGGTTGGAAACTGACAAACAAAACTGTAAAATGGTGAACATGTGCTAATATGCCTCTGCTGACTGCCACCAGGCAGTGCTCCAAGTCACTCAAGGCTCAGGAGAAACGGCCATACTCCTCTTGAGCCCAAGCAAAACCAGCCAACATGAGGGAAGGAGGTAAATACAGATTGGGAACTAGTAGCTATTAAAAAGGGGCATATCATTACACCCAATGTTCTACGTTTGTGGTAGTTTCCTCAGTAGTCTTCCATAGCTTCATCACCCTACCACCTTGAACTGATAACAACATTTTAACTACAAAAGACATTAAATACTGTATAAGAACACCATGGAAACCAAAATGTTGCACTGAACTTACCTATAACAGCAGTATCTATTACCCCAGCATCACAAACAAATTTGTCGCGACAGGCGCCCCAAAACCACCCACAGCAGGGAAGGAACCGGAACGTTCACCAGATACCTGGCGGCCAGGGCCCTGTTCGACCTCCAAAACACTTGTGCCTGAATGTCTACCCAAAACGTGTTGCCAAAAACCACTACAAAAGCAGCCTACTCCAGAACATCATGAGCACGAGGGTAGACCACAAGCTGGCTGGACTTGATGACACTGCGGACAAGCTGACAAACACGAGTCCTGGAACAGCGAACCAGGAAACCGAATCCACCCAAAGAGCGTCCACCGTAAACCGTCACCGAACCAGTGGCCCTTAGGCAGTGACGGAAAGCCACCACCTGACACAACACGTGTCTGGTGTGTTGGCACCCCCGGCCTAACCAACCAAGCATCCATAACACCTCCGGAAGCCCGCAGTCTTATTTTTTCCAGAAAAGATTGAGAAAGCTGCAAACTAACAAAATGACCAACTGGACTAAATGACCCAGGAGCTCAAGAAGCTCAGGAATCTGCACACCAGTAGAAAGACAGGCAAGAGGTGAGCCCAAAGAGCTGAAGTGCAACCCCCAGCAAGCACAACTAGAAGAGTACGAGGCGAGTACAAACTTACCAAAACTACTGAAGACACCTCAGCAGTGATGAGGGAAACACACACCAAGTCACGTACTTCCCCACCCCTTTCCTCACAGACATAACCCACACCTAAGACATGTCACACAAAAGTGAACAACTGAGTCACTGGTAAGAACAAGAGTGCATTAACTAAATTAAAAACACTCCGATTTGCAGGAAAAGAATAATAAACTTTCAACCGTCCAGTCACCATATGCAAAGAGCGAGTAACAACAAACCACAGCTGTGGGATGTTGTGCCACGACGGACTGCCGCCCTGGAGGCCAGTTAGGGCAACTCAAACTGTAGAGCAAAATTCATGCCCAAAATATAAACAACGAAACCGCTAATCTGAGAGGAGGGAAGAGCAGGGTTTAACACTACCAAAAGCACCAGAAAAGAATGTGCAATAAATGTTTGATGAACCAAATGAAAAACTAGCTATGTTAAAACAAATTTTTTTTTTTCCCCCAGGACAAGGAGGGTTAGAAAGGTAAGGAGGGGGGATGAACACCCCCTCCCCTACAGCAACAACCCCTGCCCAGAAGGCACAAGGGTCTAAGCAGGGGCAAAAGGAGTCCAAGCAGACTCAAGCTTGGGCAAAGTTCAGGCTCCCACACAGCTGCTCGAGCTAAGCCCCGCCTTGACCCCCGAAACCCTCAGACGTTTGGGAGCCAGAAGCAGGGAAGGAGGCAGCGGCACGGAAGGAACCAAGGTCGAAGCGACCAACGCCCCCAAATCCTGGTCCCCAAAACCCAAGCGAGACAGCTCAACGGCCTCCAACCTGGTTTGTTGCAGTAAGGAGGGTCAAGCATGAAATGCAGCCACTGTCCTTGATATTAGGAGACAAGGAATGAGTAAGGTGAACTCAAGTGATTGCGAGAGAGGCGGAAGAGATGTCCCCGACGGAACCCAAATAGACACCGAAGCCAAACCTGACCCAGCGGGTAAACCAGCACGGCAAAGTTCAGACTCCCGTACAGCCAAGTGACTTGCGAACCCTTCAGAAACAGTTGAAGATGGGACCACAGCCGCAGCAACACCGCCAGAGGGAGAGACATGGAATAGTTTTGAGAGTCCCACACAAGGCCCTGCCAGGCCCAAACCTGGGACGGAACTAAATGGGACTTCCTCAGGTTCTCAAGGAACCCGAACCCGGCAAGGTGGGAAAGAACCACACCCCTGGCAAGCAGACAAGCTGACCGGCTGGGAGCCCACACCAACCAGTCATCGAGGTAGGCCAGAACCCGAACCCCTAGCAGACGCAGACGGGTCACCACAACCCAGGTATGACGTGTGAATAAGTGAGGTGCCAGATTCAAGCCAAAGGGAAGGCAACGAAAGTGGTAAGCTTGACGCCCCACTATGAAACCTAACAGTCTCTGAAGCCTGAATGAATCGGAATGTGCCAATACGCATCCCGGATATCCAGAGACACCATCCAAGAACCCGGTTAGAAAAGAAGCCAGACCTGGGACAGAATTGTCATCCGACCTGTGGCCATCACAGGCCGAAAGATACAATCTGAAATGCCAACAAATCGTGAGACCAGCATGAGCAAACAGCGCGAGCCCCCATCTAGCAATGGGGCATACCTGCGAAAGGGCCGATGCCCCTTACGAGAAGCCGACCGATGAGCAGCACAAGCATTGCGCCAACAAGACAACGCAGGCTCTGAAGAAGGTGCCGGCTAAGAAACTGATACCAAGGGCCCACCTCGACCAGAGGAACCACGAGCCTTGGCATGACCCTTCCGAGAGGCCCTAGAATACCCAACCCAAAGAAGCAACAAATCCGACGAAGAATGGCTACTAAATGAGGCCGCCTGCAGAAACTGCATGACAGCAAACTCTGCAAACTGCTTTTGATGTTCAGCCTCTGAACTGGTGGTGTGAGTGGCCTGCGCAGGGGGTTCGGGGCTTCCCCCCTCCGAGGGAGGGCTGCATGGACGAGCAGTGCAGCGGCGGTGTATGAAGTTTGCTTGTTTCTTTAAAATTTGGGGGAGTTCTGCCTCTCTGTTCGGTCTTTGGTTGCTATTTCTTACCAAGTGGGGTCTGTTTTCTTATGCCTACCTTTCTGGGGTGCCTAACCTGGGTCAATGGCAGACATGGAATTCTCCCAACCACATGGCAGGGATTTCTATAGGCCATTGCTCCCTGTGCCTCTATGAGGGGGCAAAGTTCTGGTTCATGGTCCCCAGAAGGCTGAACTCCAATTGACTAATGCCCCAGACTAATATTCCGTATATCAGTCCGATAGCTCCAGAGCCGAAGGGGCTCTCCAGAAAAAAAATGGAACAGTAACATAACACAAATAATCAACAAATACCATATATTATTATACATATGACAACACTTACAAGTCCTGATGGCTGTGAAGAAGCTAATCTGAAGAAGATGCCAACTTTGTCCACAGTAACTGGTCCAACTGGTTGCCAGCCATCCACCTGCACTAATAACTGGTGAGCCTTCAATTCATGGGTGTCACGATGACGTTGTTTGCCTCGCCCCTCAAAAGAAAATGGTACAACATTTCCTGCAGGTACATGCACCCAATCCATCTTTGGCATCCGATCCTGGGTTAGGATTTCACTATCGGCCATACTGAAAGTTAAATGTGTTTAATATATACTTAAAATTATATGAAAGATCTTTCTCTACAAGTTCTCTTGTAACAGTATGATTGCATTAATTAATCTGGCCAACACATTAAGAAAATTTTGAAAATGAGGCAAGTAAAAAAAATTTCAGATAAAGCAGTGTGTTTCCTACAATGCATCAATCCATACAGGGTTAAATAATGATTAATGATTAACAAAGCTTGGAAATAAAATAAAAAAAATAAGAAAAATAAGAATCATAAACCTCACTGAACAGCAGGTAATCAAATATCTAAGCAAAGGCGAAGAAAAATGGAGAAGCCTTCTGCAAGAGGTCAGAAAGGCCACAAAACCCATAAGGAACTTTATACATCCCCAAAAAAGCAAAGGAGAGAATCTAGAAACCAATAGGGGCAATGAAGGCCCCCATGGGGAAAATATAAAATATAAGTCCTGAATCTGAGTATGGGAGAAGAGAAAACCCCACACATGAAGCTGAGAAACCAGGACCACAAAACATAACGAGACCATGGGAGCAAATCTGAACTCAACAGAAAAATCCCACTATGTATGGAGTGAGTGGAACAAGTGAAGTAAAATAACAGCTAACAGGCAACTGAAGAGGATTGCTATCTTTCCCATAGATAAAGAATGCTTCAGGACAATGACTGTGAGCATAAAATATTAGCATTTGCTTGAAGCAGCAGGGCAGATGTGCTGACGGTCAGAGCAAGACCTGATGCAGGCCCCACAAACTGAGACTCTAAGGAAGGTTATACAGTACTGCAGAAACCTATGAGGGGTGCATATTTGAGCCATGAACTGGGACTCTAGAATACACCTGGAGGGAAAGGGTTAGGAGACAAAAAGCATTCGACAAAACAAAAGAGGTTAGAAGAGCATAAATATGCTCTGAGGCTACTGTCAAAATCTTGGAGGAACAGACCCAGAAACTGCTGCTGCCAGCACACACTCCTTCAATGGCAGCACATCCATAAGCTGCGACTGTTTCAGAATCTGAACCTACAAGGAGGGTTTGGAAACGAAACTAAAAGAAGCTAAACAAAAATGCTGATCAACTGCCAGAGCAGCAACAGAGGTGGCAGACTTGCCCAGAGCACACACACTGCAAATGGAAAGCACTCAAAATCCTCTCGCTGAAAAGATGGGCTCATAATCTCTATGGCAACAGCCAAGGGCCATAAATGCTTGCACCGTACTACAAGATATGGACTCGAGGACACTGTAACCTGCCAGGTCGCCGGCAAGGAAAGCAGCCCTGTACACAAAATGCTGAATGAAGAACACTGATGAAAAAATAAATGTAAACAAAATTGTTAAAATGAGAGGATATAATGGAATTATTTTCTATCTGTTAGCGTATTAGTCTTTGAATGATGAGAAAGCGCATTATATATATGCAGAAAAATTAATAATCTCGGAGAACACTTTGTGAAACAGAAGGCCATCCAATTACTTAGTTTTTATGTCTATTTACAAATGCAACTTCCTTTTTCATTTAATCGTCAGGAGAAAGTGTACTGAGCCTAAGAGCTTTCACCACCTGCACAAACACTTAAGAGTTTCTACACAACAATTTACCTATCTGGTGTAGAAGTCAAGGTGGCAAATGAAAGGTCACAGCCAGTTTCATTCTTTAGAGCAAAGGGTATGAATGGAGAGCGGCGGCGGTACCCTTGAGGACTAACTGCTGCTGCCTTATACCCTTCATGTGGAGCTCCGCTGCATTCTACATCCAACCTGAATAATTAAATAAAGAAATATTTTGTAAAACGTCATTTAAAAATATTTATCGTTACAGGAATTAGAATAAAACTATGCAGTTCGTGTTACATAAGAGAAGGTTTGTAACAGCTGTTCAGGATAAAAATATTCTTGACATGTAAGAAAGAAAATTGTCAAGTAATTTAAATTTGTAGGTTCGGAGCGGTCAGGATATAATTTAGAGGTGCCTCTCAACTACCATTTCTATAGATTGGTACTATGTTTGCCTTTTTCCATAAATCTGCTAAGATTCCTGTGCACAGTGATGTCTGGAATATTAAATGGAGTGGGATTCTCTACTCAGTTGCACATTCTTGCAGCACCCAAGGAGAAATGCCATCAGGTCCAACCACTTTAGGTCTTCCTAGCCCCTTGAGTAATTTTTTCACTTTGTCATGAGATACTTCTATGTATTCTATGGCTTGCTCTGGAATTGGTATTTGGTCCGGCTCTCTGAAATCCTAATTTTGTACAAACACACTTTGGAACTGTTCATTTAGCATTTCACACGTTTCTTTTTCATTCTCAGTAGTCCTGTTCCCGATTCTCAATCTCTGGATTTTATCCTTTACATGCAGCTTACTTTTAATGAATTTATAGATAAGGCCTGGATCTGTTTTACATCTGTCAGATATACTTTTCTCAAAGTTCCTTTCTACCTCTCTCCTCACTGCTGTATAATTGTTTCTAGCTTGCTTATAGAGCTGGTATGTTTGTGGGTTAGGCCTCTTTTGATATTGAACCCATTTTCTTTTCTTTTACTCTCTGGCCCTCTCACAATTTCTGTTGAATCATTCCTATTTTCTGGTCCTGCTTCTCTGTTTTGGTATGAATGTTTGTGTGCTTTCATCATTATATCATTGTACTAAGGATATGTTAAAGTAATCCAACCTGTCCATTGTAAATGTACATCTCTTAAACAAGAATTCTACTCTTCAATAACAAGAATAAACAAGAATAAAGCACTTGGGAAAATACAGGTGCTTGACAAAATCCCAGTTCCAGTCTGCAAGAACAAATGGGTAAACACCTGAACTTATGAATTATACCTGTAACCCCACTAACCTCTTAGTCTGGGTATTTTCACCTGTAAATCACTGAATTCCAGGTGGTAACACCTAATTCCTAATAACACACAAAATATTATCCTAACATAAGATACTGTATATTAATCGCTTGAAAGCACTTCCTAAATTAACTGACTCTACAACAATGCATTAACTTATGATTTAAGGTATACTCAAGTATACAAAGAGCCAAGTGAACAAAACAGGTCCAGCAAGTTTAATATCCACTGTTCCACTAAGGGCTGAAATCTCTGGCAGGGGCAGGTGCAAATGCACTTTTCCTTGTGTGTTACAGTAGTTGATATATATCAGCATCATTAGTCAAGCTGAAGTAGGTAAGAATAAAAGAAAGGTGCTAACTAATGACAAAATGAGGGGAATTGGTGATGAAACTTGAGAGCAGCTGTAGTGTAACCAGCTGGTGACATAGTATAGCACTGGTACCAGCACTGATCCTGATATAAATAAACAAAAACACTAATTTTACAGTTTTCTGTTAACTATCACACTCCATGGCATGAAGTGAACACTAAAGCATGAAACACCCTGTGACGAACAACAAATTTCAAGGAAACAAATCCCACCAAGTAGAGTGTCCCAACATCAAGCACAGCTTTATGTGAAAGAGTGGAGAGCCAGGTGATAAGTGACAGCTGCCAGCTTCCCCAGCCATATTGTGCCCCTTGGTGATTGCTCATGTAGTAGAAAGTTACTAAGCAATAATTAGCAGAGCAATAATTGATTTTACCTGTGATTCCATGTTCACTTGCAGGGAAAGCCGAGTGAAATGATCAGTTCGTTGTGTCATTGGCAAACAGTTTTTCTTTAGACTCTCCACTGTCTCCCCATCTCAAATACGTGACAAGATCATTGGAAAAGTTCTTTGCCATGGTGGTGGGTGGCAGGTATATTAGAGCTTGGCGTGTGAATCATATCCTGAGTGGCTCTGGCTTGGGGGTGGGGCAACCAATGGGTCCTCTTTCAGGAAGAATGAATACGAAAACACAATTCTGAGTAGTAAAAAGGTGTTGCAATTCTTTTGGCCATGTCATGGCACAGTCGATTAAGGCGCGTCTGGGATCCTCTCGAACGTAGGTTCGAACCCTCATCACGATGAAACATTAAAATATAGCCAAATTATAAAATTAGGGAGTCGGTCGGCCGAGCGGACAGCACGCGGGACTTGTGATCCTGTGGTCCTGGGTTCGATCCCAGGCACCGGCGAGAAACAATGGGCAGAGTTTCTTTCACCCTATGCCCCTGTTACCTAGCAGTAAAATAGGTACCTGGGTGTTAGTCAGCTGTCACGGGCTGCTTCCTGGGGATGGAGGCCTGGTCGAGGACCGGGCCGGGGGGACACTAAAAGCCCCGAAATCATCTCAAGATAACTCAAGATAACGGCTCTTGTGGATTTGTTTGTTTACAATTTTGAGATAAATGTTGATTAAAAATCATAGCAAATTATTCAAATGCAATTTTTATGCTACATATCTATAGAAGCTTATACAGGCTTCACAACATCCTCACCTGTCTCTGTTGTAATAATCCAAAGACCAATTATTCTTCACCATGTGGTAGAGCTCCAGCAGTGTACTGGTGATGTTTACATTAACAGTATCACAAGTCTTCACACTTATAGTTAATCGATCTCCTTGAAGATCATGGGATGGGCTTTTATTCCACTCTGATTGGCATCTGAAAGGAAACAAAAATGTAAAAACAAATACATAACTCTATATGAACGTTATGCTTATACAGTATTTAGTATTGGCATCCAAAACCTTCCAGACATTCTTGCAGAGTTATGATGGTGCTGAAGGTTAGTATTGGCATCCAAAACCTTCCAGACATTCCATCAGAGTTATGATGGTGCTGAAGGTTAGTATTGGCATCCAAAACCTTCCAGACATTCCTGCAGAGTTATGATGGTGCTGAAGGGGAAACCTAGAGACCATTCATTGTAACTCAGAGTGACAACCAGAAGATTCATTCACAAACACTTCAGGGCCCCTGGAGTGTCTTAATGGTTATCTTAATATATATATATATATAACAATATGCACCAATCTAAAGTTCAAATCAAGACTACTGTACCATACAAAGAAGTATTAATTGATAGACATTTACTACTTACAACCAAGGTTCCAAAAATGGTTCCCAGCCAGAGAGTGCACGGTTATAGTAATCCACTGAAAGGGAGCAGCTTGCTGAGCCTTGCCCTTGCCAGTCCTGAAAAATAGGCACGATGATGGACAAGCAAGTACAGTACCCAGTTTATATAACCTCAATTATGAAGTAAATACTTTCCAAACTTTGTACTGTATATAATGGAACCTCAATAATCTGGACTTGGTGCAATTGGACTAGCTTCAAACTACTGAGACTACTTGACTAACAGGGCTTTTACTTTATTTTTTGGCAATTTATGGCCAAATGTTTGGGGGATTTCATAAAACAAATAATAAAACACACATAAATAACACATTTCTAAGACTTGTTAGGTTTTGCATTAACATGAGGAGTGCTATTCTAAGCTGTATCAGCACAGCACAGCAAGGAATTTTAAAAATCTCTGCAGAATCATACTGTTATGGAGCTACAGTACTGCAATAGAAATATTAACCAATATGGCTTAGAAATGACCATCAAAAGTTAAATCAATAAGAAATCAAAACTTTTCCTAGCCCTTGTTCGTCATTATAAATGACCACTAAGTTGAGAGGTTCTGACATTGCTGAACTATATGAGGCAATCATATTTGACATGAGGATCTTTCTTCTAAACACCAAAGCAAGAATAATGATATAATGATTCCAATTATTATATCATTATACAGAATACTGTATAATGATTCCAATCAAGTTGCATAGCATCCACTGCAACTATATTGTAAACCTTGAATGAAGTCATATACACTGGCAGCCTGTAGATTCATGTGGACAAAAGGAGGTTAACCCAAGCATGCCAAATGCATCATTCATCCAAGAAAAGCAGCACCGGCCAACTTCCAATTGGTCAAGATTGGACAAAAGTATGAGAGTTCATCTGCAAGAATCTAATGAAGTCGGACAAGGAAAGTGATCTCTGAGTGACTGTTACAAGCACTGTCACCAGAGGACCATATAAACTAGAAAGTGTACGAGGCCTGTCAAGTGCAAGCCAACCGCTGGATAATATTTAAGCACGTGGATGGTGCAATGATAAAACATTATTTATTACTTGTGTGTCACTGACATTATAACATGCAACACTGGTGTAGCACCACATGTCATAAAGCCTGTAGCTAAATTAGAATGAGTTCAAAGGTATGCATCAAATTTTTCTTGTACTCAACCAGTTGACTTTATTTTCGAGTCAACTGTTCCAATTTGTTGATACTTCCAAAATTGGAACGCAGAAGAAACAATGGAGGACTGATCACCACCTATAAAACAATGACAAGGCTGAAGAAAGTTGATAAGATACACTTCTTACTGTCTGTCCCAAACAGAACAAGAAGATAAAGGATCAAAATCCAGAAACACTGAAATAGAAAGAATATCATAAATATTTCCTCAGGAAAAGTAGCTGGTGGACATAACAATCATCAGGGGAAAGTTCTATTTGACAAAACTATCAATAGATTTGTCTAATTTTATAAAATATTTAAAGACACAAACTATGAGCATAACTCATCCTGTAACTACAATTAAGTAATTATAATATGGTAATTAACTATCAGTGCAAAATAAAATATAATACATGGAAGGTAACAAAAGGATCAATTGGCCAAACAGTCTAAGAATTGTCAAGAAAGCCAAGTTTGCAATAAAAACATTACCTGCTTTAGTCCTAAGTGAGAGAGTGAAAATTCTAGCAGAGGTACATCACAATCACCACAGTCATCAATAACACATATATTAACACTCCCAGTCTTGATTTCTAATGCATGGAAGTTAATGGCATTCTTCTTAGTTACATCAGTTGGTACAATTGAAGGAGCAGGTACGGGCTGTGCATTGTGTGTCAGCCAGAGAGCTGCATCATCAAGCCTTCCCTCACACTTGTGTAGAGCGTGCTTGCAGTCGACATCCCGGAACCCAAGAGCTGACAACTTGTCAACTTGAGCTGTTTGAAAAAGTGAGATATGAAAGTAATTTTCAACATACAAATTTTTATGAAAAAGACACCGATTACTTTAGAGAATGTGTACATATGGAGAATTTTTTTATAATGTTCTCGGAGTGATTTGCTTTGAGGACATTATCAACATTGTTGACCTATGTAAAATTATAGAGCTATGTTGCTAATATAGCTTCGAACACTTTGACTCAGAAGCCTCGGCAGGAGGAACCGGTTCAAATGCCTCCGTCTCCGACCCGAATGGGGCAGCCCCCGAAGCCGTCCGAGTCTCATTATCTACTAAACCACGTGCAGAATCCGAAACCCTCAGACGTTTGTAAGCCAGATACAGAGGGAAAGGTACAGGATGAACAACAGGGAAAGGGCCAGGGAGCGAGGAAGAAGCCAAAGTCGAAGCGACTAATGCCCCCAGGTCCGGGTCCCTAAAACCAAAGCAGGGCAGCCTCAAGGCATCCAGGTGGGAAACCAACCTAGCGCATTGCAGTAATCTAAACCTAACATGCAGAGAACACGACTCGCAAGACTCCGGGTCAAAGGTGTCATTGACCCAACAGGCAGCATGACTGAGGCAAAACAGGTGACTGTCACCCTGAGACAAGGGCACACAGCAACCTTCAAACCCGCACAAGGCAGGCTGGAACTCAAGAGATGCATCCATGGGTCCACCGAGCCCCGACAGGGTTTTCCAGGGCCAATAGGGTAAACCCTACAGGAAACCTGGGCAAGGTGTTGCTAACCGTTTAAACACTCAAACAAACAAGGGGTAGATGACATCACTGAAACCCCTGTGACGTGTACAAGCACAGGGGCCTAGCAGAGGGCTACCAAAACAGTATCAGAGGAACTACAGTCCCACGAGGCAGACCCCCACCAGGGAAAAAAAACAAAAAACTGCAAAAGTACACAGTCTCCAGAGGCAACAGGAACCGGTCTCCGCGTAGGTGGTAGGTAGGTAACCAGCACACCACCACTCCCTACCCAAGGCCAAACAAGGGCCCCAAGCCCAAGCTGGCCCCAAAAGCGAGGCAAATGCCGAGCAGCAAGAACCCCTACGGGAGCAGTTCCCGAACTTCCCCAGGGGTGATGGCAGATAAGAAAAAAACCAACCACAGGGGGGGTTTTCTAGGCCCATTGCTACCTGAAACCTCTCTGAAGGGGCCAGGTTCTGGCGCTGGTCCCTGGTAGGTCTGAACTCCATAGCTAATGCCCAGGTCTAATATAAAGTACATTAGCCCGATAAGCTCCAGGGAGTCGTAAGGGCTCCCCACAGAAAAGATGGCTGCTGGTGAAGAAACTGTCCACCAAGGCCAAAAGAGCAAAACCCATGCCTCCTGTGGAGTGCATGCAATTTCCCAACCTGAAAATCAGAGAGAAAGCCAATAAAATAATGCCTTAAGAAAAACATCCTAGACCAAAGGGGCACCTGTGAACCAAGGGGAAGAAGAAAACATCAACACCTGATCCTGAGACCAAGAAGGCTCGAGGTGAGCATGAGCTAGCTGGAGGTGAAAGAAAGTCCAAGACAACTTGTTAAATGGCATCGAGGAAGTATTAACGCTAAATGCCAATGTAAGCAGCTCTGCCAAAACTGCATGATAAGGAGTGACAGTAGTAAGCATGAAGGGCTGATCAACAAACAACCAGAACAAGAAAGAGCCACTGGAACTGACACAAAAGAAACACACAAACACAACAAAGTGAGACAAAGAGGTGAAAAGAGTGCGATGTAACTTTACACTGTCATCACAATGTCACACACTGTCTTCAAACTTAGGAAATAACAATCAAAGAGCAGGTGGGACACCAGCAAATTAGCCACTTGCACCATACAAATGGTGGTAAACCTGCATCACAAACTCCACATGCTTAAATCAGAGAAGGTTGAACAAGTGAAGTATTTCACTGGGCTGATCTGCTGAAAGAGGCAAAGTTGCAGAAAAACACCCAGGGTTTGGACAAACCTGAATCTGAAGAGCCAGATTCAAGCTAATAGGCAGACCTTTAAGTGGTAAGCCTGATGCCCTCCCCCCATAAAAACCCTAACCAACCCCAGAACCTTGGATGAGTAGGAACATGCTATATCTTCAAGATCCAGTCCAGGGACACCAAGGAATTTGTCTGCAAAACCTGGCAAACCTGAGTTAAAGTGATCATCGAGAATTAACTGTAGGTCCACCACATCCCGCTTCAGGACACAGAATAACCACGACACACACAGAAGAGGAGGAGGTCAACTCTACTATGCCCAAATCAAACCACGCTGCCACGACTGCACAGAGCTGTGAAAAGGACATTTGACCCAACTCCATCGGAGACTTTTGTAAAGAACCCAGGAAGTCCACAGATCATGGAACCAGGAGCCTGGATCATGGTCCCATCAAAAGTGTGAACCGCAAATGAGCCAGCAAGAAGACCAACGAAGAGAGCCATCCTTCTCTGACAATTACAATATTGAGCAGAGAAGGAATCGACCAAAAGAAATACAAGAGCCTGGGAATCTGACTCCATCAAAGGTCTACCCCGACAAACAGCAGACAAGGCCCCAACCTACTGATCCGCATCTGAACAGATGCCAGAACCCTCTCTGCAAAAGTACTTGGAGCATACCTGGAGAGTATTCCCCAAGCCCAGCCTGAGGCCAGGCTCGAAGTGATAACTTGGTCCAACAGGCCATTGCTTGGAGCAGCCTGCAGGCCCACATATCCACTATAGCCTGGTTGGTCCATCACTTCTTGCAAAAACCTCTCCAAGTGCCTCTTGAATACATCCACCTTCGTTCCAGCTATATTTCTAATGCTTGCTGGTAAGCCCACATAAGACATCAGGTGCTGAACAGCAGTGGGCCTCTGATGTTAAGACAGTGCTCCCCGATCGTACCTATGGCACCCCTACTCCTCACTGGTTCTATTTATATTTCCTTCTGTACCTTTCACTCAAGGATGTTGTTATTCTACTGTACAAATTTGGGACCTGGTCCTCCAATATCTTCCATGACTATATTATTTTATACCTTTCTCGTCTTCTTTCCAGAAAGTATATTGTGAGAGCTTTGAGACGGTCCCAATAATGTAGATGTTTTATCGTTTCTATGAGTGTCGTTTATGTGCTCTGTCTTCCCTTTAAATCAGAGATCTCTCCTGCTCTGAAAGGGAAAGTGAGTACTGAGCAATACTCAAGACATGACAGCACCAGTGATTTAAATAGTATTAGCATTGCTGTGGGTTCCCTGGATTTGAAGGTTCTCATAATCCATCCTATCATTTTCCTAACTGCTGCTATATTTGCTCGGTTATGTTCACTAACAGTCGGTCATCAGACATCATAATTCCCAGGTCCTTTACATGTTGCTTTCATTCTATGAGTAGGTCTGATTGTGTCCTGTACCCTGTGTTTCGTTTAAGTTCCTCATTTCCACCATACCTCAGTACCTCGAACTTATCATCATTAAACATCATGTTATTTTCAGTTGCCCAATTGAATACTTTATTCATATTTGCCTGTAGTTTATGAGTGTCTTCTACAGTGGCAATTTTCATGCTGATTTTTGTATCATCTGCAAAGGATGACACAAAATTGTGACTAGTATATTTTGTCTATATCAGAGATAAGAATGAGAAATGGCAGTGGTGCAAGGACTGTGCCCTAGGGTAGAGAGCTGTGGTGCAAGGACTGTGCCCTGGGGTAGAGAGCTGTGGTGCAAGGACTGTGCCCTGGGGTAGAGAGCTGTGGTGCAAGGACTGTGCCCTGGGGTAGAGAGCTGTGGTGCAAGGACTGTGCCCTGGGGTAGAGAGCTGTGGTGCAAGGACTGTGCCCTGGGGTACAGAGCAGTGGTGCAAGGACTGTGCCCTGGGGTACAGAGCAGTGGTGCAAGGACTGTGCCCTGGGGTACAGAGCAGTGGTGCAAGGACTGTGTCCTGGGGTACAGAGCTTTTCACTGCACTTGGGCTTGATCTTACTCGACTTACCGTCACACTCTGCATTCTGTTTGACAAAGTTGAAAATGCAATGCCCCACTTTACTTGTTATTCCTAATGATTTAATTTTATGGGCTATTACTCCATGGTCACATTTGTTAAATGCCTTTGCAAAATCTGTGTACACAACATCTGCATTTTGCTTTCCTCTAAAGCTTCTGTAATTCTGTCATAGTGGTTGAGTAACTGTGACAGACAGGATCTTGCTGCTCTAAATCCAAGTTGTCCTGGGTTGTGAAGTTTCTCATTTTCCATAAAACTCGAAATTTACTGCCTAATCCCTCTTACAAAAACTTTTATTATGTGTGATGTTAGTGCAACCGGTCTATAATTTTTGTCAAAAGCTTTACTACCCCCTTGTGCAGAGGAGCTATATATATATATGCAGATTTATGTGCTGCTGGTATCTCCCCTGTATCCAGGCTCTTTCTCTATATTACGCTGAGCACTCGCACTATTGTTACTTTACATTTCTTTATGAATATTGAACTCCATGAGTCAGGACCAGGGGCTGAGTGCATGGGCATGTTGTCAATTGCTCTTTTAAAGTCTTCTGAGTTCGTGTTAATATTGGTTATATTATCCGCAGCTTGGATGTCATTCATAAAGAGTCCAATACTATTGGAGTTTTCTTTTATTTTGATTTGATTTTGAATATGGGAAAAAATATTTTGGAGTTTTCTTTATCTCTTGTATAGCTTTCTGTTCCAATTCCATTTCAGTCAATCAGTCAATCTGATGTACATTTTGTCTAAAATATCTACAACTACACCATTAAAAAAAAAATCTATTTTTATGTAAATAGACAAACCACCATAAAAGACCAAACAAATCAAAATAAAAAGCCCACAACACTTTATTAAAAGAACATACCATGAAAGTTAGCAGGTTGAGTCTTGTCCTCAGAGGAGGTAGGTTTTTTATCGCCCTCTCTTTGTTTCGGCACCGATTCCAGAATTTGTTGAAACATCTTCATGTCATGATAACTAAGACGAATGTTTAGCTGGTGCAGCACAACCTAACAATAAACAGTAACAATGTATATTATTACATGAACTGAAAACAAAAGCAATGCACATATAGAACAAAATAAACAAACCCACACATAAGACATTGCATAATATAGCTTCCAGCACCTACTGTAAATTTGTTACCACAACTAGATGTGGTTTGATTGCACAAAGGCAGTCACAGCAGACATTCCCAGTTTCATTTACTGACATCTCTCACCAAATAAAAATGAAATATTCTTTAAAACATAATCAATAGTTATAATCTGATGAATAAAATTTTTCCTTATAATTGTTAAAATCACACGATCTCTAAGGCTAAAAACATATACAGTACTGTATAGTAAATAACACTATGTTACACATTACACGACAACTGCAAGACATTCATCACGTTGTATGGAGGCAACTACCCACACATATATAGGAGAATAATTGATGGATAAAGGGTTAAATATATTAAAATGATACTCATCCCCCTTCAATGTATCTTCCACACAAACCCAAAATCATGTAGAATTTGCACCATCATAGTAATGATTGTGGTTGAATCCATTCTGTCTGTGCTTACCTATCAGTTACTACAAGAGAACGAGATCTAGCTTTTTATGCCCCGTTTCCTAGCCATTTATACCTGGCATGTCAATTACCTCTCACAACGTTAACGTTTTCATATTTTTCTAAAAGTTGTGGATGGAATTGCCTTCATCAACCTCTTTTGTCATTTCAATTCATTTTCTGACCACTCATACATGGAATGAAAATATCTTACATCTCTACAACTCAACTGCTTGTCCAGCTTCCACTGATGTTTCCCGTCCTAGTAATTACCTAAGCAATTACCTCAATTATACCTATTTAACAGTGACTACAGGAGAGTGATAGAGCAAGAGAAATTATGAGGCATAATTTCACCGGGTGCCTAATTTCTAAAACATTGGGCAAAAGAACTAGATCTCGACTCCCATAACCAGTTAGGTAGGCATCAACACATTCTCACTTCGTATACACTAAACAAAAATATTATAAAATATAATGAACCTTATTCCACTGCTCTTCACATGAAGACTTTAAATTTAAATTATAATCTGACCTAATTTCAACAGAAAAATTCTATACAGTAGTTCTTACTTCCACAGTGTGTTGGACAGACATGGATACATTTGAGATGTCCACGAGGTGTTTATGGCCCGGTCGATCGCTGACTTCTATGTTGACTGTGACAGGGTCTATTATGGACAATGCAGTGTCATCCTCAAGCCCAAGGATGCAAGAGTATAGTTCACACTGGTTTAAGTTGCAGGACAGGGGTCGCTCCTGGTGCTGTGGCCGGTAGCTGATCACCGCAGTGCTCTGAGGAGCAGCACTCAATGGAATTATCATCAGTATTACCCCATTTTCCTCCTTGATGGGGAAGAGCAGCACCAACCCAAAGTAATATAGGTGAGGATGGTTAATGACTTAAGAACTGACTCCTTTGTACTTTGAATGATTCTAGAGTAACCTTATCTAAAGGCAACTTACTCTATAAGAAATTTGGAGTCACCCTGGTATTTTTATTCAATATGCAATTTGTATAACTTACAAAACAATTAACTGATCAAAACATATATACTGTATAAGCCTTGTTAATTAACATGACTGCAGAAAATCTCCACCTACTTTTTGAGGGGAAGAGAGGGGAGGGGGAGCAAGGCAAGGGCAAGAAAATCTGAAAGACACTGAACTCAGAAAGAAAGTACAATGGGGGGGGGAGGGGTAGAAATAGCCTAAGCTACGCTATCTCTTTGAGATGTATTTTATTGTCTCAATAAACGTACTTGAACTTGAAATACCTAAAGGGTCATAAAGGGTCATAAAAGGTCATGTCGGATTGAAGAGGTGTGGTTGAAACCTGGTTGATGGGGTTCTGAGAGTTCTTCTACTCCCAAAGCCCGGCCCGAGGCCAAGCTTGACTTGTGAGAGTTTCGTCCACTAGGCTGTTGCTTGGAGCGGCCCGCAGGCCCACATACCCACCACAGCCTGGTTGGTCTGGCACTCCTTGGAGTAAACAATCTAGTTTCCTCTTGAAGATGTCCACTGTTGTTCCGGCAAAATTTTTATGCTCGTTGGGAGGGTGTTGAACAACCGTGAACCTCTGATGTTTATAGTGTTCTCTGATTGTGACTATGGCACCCCTGCTCTTCACTGGTTCTATTCTGCATTTTCTTCCATATCGTTTACTCCGGTACATTGTTATTTTACTGTGTAGATTTGGTACTTGGCCCTCCAGTATCTTCCACGTGTATATTATTTGATATCTCTCTCTCGTCTTCTTTCTAGTGAGTACATTTGGAGGGCTTTGAGACGATCCCAATAATTTAGGTGCTTTATCGGGTCTATGTGTGCCGTATATGTTCTCTGTATTCCCTCTATTTCAGCAATCTCTCCTGCTCTGAAGGGGTAAGTGAGTACCGAGCAGTACTCAAGACGGGACAACACAAGTGACTTAAAGAGTACAGCCATTGTGATGGGATCCCTGGATTTGAAAGTTCTCGTAATCCATCTGATCATTTTTCTGGCTGACGCAATATTTCCTTGGTTGTGCTCCCTAAACGTTAGGTCGTCAGACATCATTATTCCCAAATCCTTTACATGCTGTTTTCCTACTATGGAAAGTGGGATTCCCAAGGACACAGTCCTTAGACCTACTAGAGGAAGTAGGCTTGTACACATCAATATCTGAGGATGTTGTAATGCTAATGAGAGGTGTTGGAACTTAAGAGGAATGATGAATACTTTAGTAATAACTTGACAAACTTCAAGAATGGGCAGATAAATTGCTGCTAGAATTCAGTCCCAACAAGTGAATTTCATGAAGAAAAAAAGGGAGACAAGAAATCTGTAGGAAACTACAGGTTATCCTGTGGCCTGGTTACAGGTTATCCTGTGGCCTGGTTACAGGTTATCCTGTGGCCTGGTTACAGGTTATCCTGTGGCCTGGTTACAGGTTATCCTGTGGCCTGGTTACAGGTTACTGGGTGCCTGACAGCTGGGTGGACAGCGCTTCGGATTCGTAGTCCTGAGGTTCCGGGTTCGATCCCTGGTGAAGGCGGAGACACATGGGCAAAATGTTTCTTTCACCCTGATGCTCCTGTTACCTAGCAGTATATAGGTACAGTGGTACCTCGGAATGCGATTGTCCCTGTATGCGAGGTGTATTTACTCCAAAAATTTGTCTCGGAAGGCGATGGTTACTTCGGGAGGCGAGTTTGGACGCGAGTTTGTTGATACGCGTACAGCCGACCTAGCGCACGGTGGTTCGGCGATCGTCGCCCCTCCGCCCCTCAGTTTATTATTGTCTCGCGCTCAGTGACTACCCCCACATCAATTCTTCTCGCGGATTTTCAGTGTTTTGTTGGATTTTTGGTGATTTGTCTATACAATTTGTTATTATATATCTCACCATGGGTCCCAAGAAAGCCAGTGGCAAGGATAAAGGCCAGAAAGCTCATGTGAGGATGACAATAGAGGAGAAACAAGAGATCATTCGGAAGCATGAGAACGGTAGACGTGTTGTTGAACTTTGTAGGCAGTACAACAAAGCCACATCAACAATATGCACTATACTTAAGAAGAAAAATAAGTAAGTAAGTAATTATCAAAAGAAGGCACCAAACCGGGAAGGCTATGTAGCACCATCAAATACGCAAAATAATCAGAGGGCGCTAAATATCACCAAGGATGCCAATACGAGAACAAAAACGCATAAGGCGAACGATATCAAAAGTATCCGAGTCACCAAGAATTCTATCGAGGGACAGGTGACCGCGAGGGGCGGTCGGAAAGCAAGACACACGCTCGTCCTGGAAGTCAGGACATTCAAGAAGGACATGCACGACCGTAAGAGGGACAATGCAACTAGGACAATAAGGAGCAGGGCGGCGCTCCATCAAGTGACCATGGGTTAAGCGAGTATGGCCAATACGCAACCTCGCTAGAGCTGTTTCCCACCGCCGGTTACGGTGGAAGGAGGACGGCCACGAGGAAACACAACATTTAAGAGTACGTAGCTTGTTACCAGTAACAGACAACCAAGAAGCCTGCCAACGGGTAAGGACTGAGGAATGGATAACCGGGTAAAAGTCGGAATACGGAATGCCTTTACGAGAGATGGGACAAGAGCGGACAGCTTCCTTAGCGGCAGCATCCGCACGCTCATTTAAAGACACGCCAATATGGCTGGGAACCCAACAAAACTCAACCGACTTAAATTTACTGTGAACGAGAAACAGCCAATGCTGGATCTCGACAACTACCGGATGAACTGGATTAAAGCACCCGAGAGCCATGAGGGCACTACGAGAGTCAACAACAACCACAAAGGAAGACTGACAACGAGAAAGCAGGAGACGAAGAGCATAGAGAATAGCATAAAGTTCCGCTGTAAAGATGCTAGTCTCCGGAGGCAAGCGACACATATAAGTGCGATCAGGAAAAACAACAGAGTAGCCAACACCGTCCGCTGACTTAGACCCATCGGTGAAGACAGAAACGGAGCGGGAGTGAGAAGAAAAGTGCTCGAGGAAAAGGCGTTTTAGAACTGTAGGAGGGGTAAAAGCTTTAGTGATACGAGTCAAGGATGTACAAAACCGCGGAAGAGGGACCCTCCACGGGGGCAAAGAAGGAACAACACGAGGAGAAACATCAGAAATACGAACGGAAAGAGAATCCTGCAGGCGAGATAACCGGACAGAAAGAGGGAGGTGGTGAAGAGGAACAGGAACCGCAGGAGGGGTAAAAGTTAAAGCACGACAGAGACGAGAGGAAGGATGTTGCAAGGACCGCGCAAGATAGCGAAGACAGTAGCGATCACGGCGGTCCTGGAGAGACAGGAAGCCAGTGTCAACATACAAGCTAAGGACGGGAGTCGAACGAAAGGCACCAGAACTGAGGCGCAACCCAGTATGGTGCAAAGCATCAAGACGGCGAAGAGTAGAAGGAGAAGCAGACGAGTAAGCAGGGCAACCATAATCGAGCTTAGACAGGACGAGAGAGGAATGTAAAGCAAGGAGAGTGCGCCTATCTGCCCCCCAAGAAGTATGGGACAAGACCCGAAGGAGGGTAAGGGACTTAGAGCACTCAACACGGAGGTAAGAGATATGGGGAGACCAAGACAAACGAGTGTCAAGGAATAACCCCAAAAGCTTCGCGGAATCTTTGTATTCAAGGGGATGACCATAAAGTGACAAAGAGGGACGAAGAACAACCCGTTTCCGCGTAAAAGTCATGGCACAAGTCTTAGAAGTAGAGAACTTGAAGCCATGACCTGTGGCCCAAGACGACACGGCATCAATCGCAAGTTGAAGCCGGCGTTGAAGGAGAGGCGAATCATCACCCTGACAACAAAGGGTAAGATCATCGACATAGAGAGCGGAGAAGACACCAGAAGGAAGAGAGGAAAGAAGACCATTGAGGGCAACCAGAAAAAGAGTAGTGCTCAGAACACTACCCTGGGGCACACCTTCGTATTGCTGAAAAGGGGGAGAGAGAGCGGTACCAAGGCGCACCCGAAAGGAACGACGAGAGAGGAAGCTGCAGAGAAAGAGAGGGAGATGACCACGAAGGCCAAAAGAATGAAGTTGAGACAGGATATGATAACGCCAAGTGGTGTCGTAAGCCTTTTCTAGGTCAAAAAGGACGGCAACAACGGAGGTCTTCGCAGCAAAAGCAGTACGTATATAGACCTCCAAGTTCACCAGGACATCTGTCGTGCTGCGGCACTTGCGGAAACCAAATTGAGAAGGGGAGAGGAGGTGATGGTGTTCCAGGAACCACATCAGACGAACGTTAACCATACGTTCAAAGAGTTTGCAGACACAACTTGTGAGAGCAATAGGGCGAAAGTCCTTAGGGGAAGTACCCAGAGACCCTGGTTTGCGAACAGGGAGGACAACGGCATCGAGCCAGTCCTCAGGGACTGACGACGACTCCCAGATCCGATTATACAGACTCAGTAAATACTGAGACGTGCTCGGAGGGAGATGGCGAAGCATCTCATAATGAATACCATCGGAGCCCGCCGCCGTAGAACCGCAGAGGGCCAGGGCAGAACGAAGTTCAGAGAGAGAGAAGGGATCATTATAGGGAAGCTGAAGATGAGTGCAGAAATCTAAAGGACGAGACTCAAGGACAGGTTTACGAAGAAGGAAAGATTGGGGAAGATGAAGACCAGAGCTAACAGAAGAAAAGTGGGAACCCAGTTCGGAAGCGACCTGCAACGGGTCCGCCACAAGAGTATCATGGAGGTGAAGGACCGGTGAAACATCGGGAACGAACTTGCCCGCTATCTTGCGGATACGCTTCCAGATCTGGGCCAGAGGGGTTTCGGACGTAATTGTCGAGACATAAGATGCCCAACATTCACGTTTAGCCGTACGGATGGCCCTACGGGCCACCGCACTCGCTTTCCGAAAGAAAAGAAAAGAATCGGTCGTCTGCCTACGGCGGTGCTTCTTCCAGGCTGCACGCTTACAGCGGACAGCCCGAGCACAGTCCGCATTCCACCAGGGAACGCACTTCCGTGGACCCCGAGAGGAAGAGCGAGGAATAGAGCGGAGGGCAGCGTCGAAGACAGTGTCATGAAAAAGGAGGAGAGCGCGAGAGAGGGGCAGAACGGAGAGGTCAGAGAGAGTAGCACTGAGGGAAAACAGGGTCCAGTCCGCCTTAGCAAACTGCCACCTAGGGAAAGAGAGGGAAGGGCGAAAAGAGAAAAAGGAAACAAGGATGGGGAAATGATCACTTCCATGGAGGTCATCAAGAACCTGCCATGTGAAATCTAAGTAAAGAGAAGAAGAGCAGAGAGAAAGATCAAGACAAGAAAGGGTGCGAGTTCGAGAGTCCAAATGAGTGGGCTCACCAGAATTCAGAAGAGACAGGGAAGAAGAGAGGAGAAACGGCTCAAGGAGGCGACCCCGGGTATTCGTCAGAACGTCACCCCAAAGAGAATGACGACAATTGAAGTCACCCAGCAGGAGCACAGGCTCCGGCAAGGAGTCTAGGAGGTGTTTCAAATCAGGAAGAGAGAGCGGGACACTCGGGGGGAGATAAATGGAACAAACTGTGTACCATTTCCCCACAAAGATACGAGCAGCAGAACAATGGAGAGGCGAAGGAAAAAGTAAAGGAACAAAGGGAACATCAGCCCGAATCAAGAGAGCAGAAGAATTAGAAGCCCCAGCAATGGCTGGGGGGGGGGAGAGAAAGGAATAGCCACGAAAACGACCAGGACGAGCACCAAGCATCGGCTCCTGGAGACAGACACAAAGGGGCGAAAACCGCGAAACCAGAAGTTGGAGTTCGAGGAAATTGGCGTAATAACCTCGAACGTTCCATTGAAGAATGGACAACGACGAGAAGAGAAAGGACAAAAACAGAGAACAAGGAAGAAACAAAGGCGAAAGACCAACAGAGCACGTTAAAGAATATCAGGGTCGGGATCAGGGTCAGCAAAGTCAGGGTTAGGGGGCATGGGTAAACTGAGCAAAGACGGAGGGAAGGAAACGGGAGAACAGATCAGAGGTGGGCGGGCAGGGTCCGGAGGAGGAGGAGGAGGAGGAGGAGACAACGGAGAGGAGCAGTCAAGGACAGCAGCAGGAAGAGGGGGAGTAGAAAGAGAGGAGCGCACCCCAGCAAGAGCAGCAACCGAAAGGGAAGCAGGGGCCAAAGAAACCTCCATAGCAGGAACAGGGGGCGCAAGCACTGAAACGGGAGTGGAAGGAGCAACAGAGCCAGAAGGAGGAGCTGAGGAAGAAAGCGAAGCCTTCTTACCCGCCGGGGAAGAGGAAGGAGAGGAGCCAGGCTTACGCTTCTGACTTAAAGAGACCGGTGTCCCAGCAACTACGTACCGGGCAACGGACTCCAGTGTCTCAACAGGAGAAGCCGAACGAGAGCACACACGACGGCCGTTAGGAGAGCGATGGACATCCGCCCGCACCGACAGGCGGCGGGGAGAGCCGATAGATGGAGGAAGAGGATGGGAAGGAGGATCGGAGGGGGACGAGGAAGGAGACACAGAAGACACGACAGACCGGGTAGAAGGAAGGGGAACCCCAGACAGAGGACCAGGAGGAGGATCCTTCGGGAGAGAACCCAAAGGGACAGAGGAGGGGGCAGTGGGCGCATCAGGGTCCAAGGCCTGGAAACGGTTGTGAGTCTGAGGAAGGCGGGAAGGACGAGGAGAGGAAGAGCGCAACACGCGAGCATAAGAGATATTAGCATAAGGCGGGAGCCGGCGAACCTGGCGCCTCGCCTCAGGAAAAGATAAACGCTCCCGGTGCTTCAAGTTGAGGACGGCTGCCTCAAGCTTGTAATGGACACACGCACGGGAGAAGGTAGGATGGGCCTCACCGCAGTTGAGGCAACGAGCCTGGGGAGAAGCGCACTCCGACTTAGAGTGACCTTCGCCACCACACAAAGGACAGAGAGAGACAGTCCCGGAGCAGCGGAGGGCACCATGCCCAAACCTCCAGCACTTGTTGCAGAGCCGAGGAGAAGGAATGTACTCCTGGACAGAGCACCTGGCACCAGCAAGAATGACAGAGGGTGGAAGGGTCCTACCATCAAAGGTAATCTTCACAACCCGGAGGGGTTGACGGCGACTACCACGAGGGGGACGAGTAAACGTGTCCACCTGGAGAATAGAATGGCCCTGGGCAGCGAGGATATGTCGAATATCGTCGTGGCAGTCGCGTAGGTCCCGAACACCGGTCGCAACATGGGGCGGGAGCAAAATAGTGCCAACACTGGCATTCAACTGGACGTTCTTCGAGACCCGAACGGGGGTCTCGCCAAGGCAGGATAAGGCAGCCAAGCGGGAAGCAGCATCCTGAGAAGGAGCAGCAACGACACGCGTACCGAGACGAGTGGGGTTAAAAGTAATGGAGGCATCCACGGAATCAATGAGATGTCGATGAAGGGAGAAATCGTCAGGAGGCGCAGAATCAAGAGGGAGGAGATCAAAATATTTGGCCCACGAAGCGGGACCAAACAAGGCTTGATAGGTAGCAGAACTGGAAGGAATCGAGCGAGGGCGGCCGTGACGAGAACGGCGGTGAGAACCCCCAGAGAGAGAGGGGTTAAAAGGCGCAGTAGTAACAACTAGAGAAGGAGCCGCGCCAGGGGACGAGGTAGTCACCACTGGGGGCTTGGGGCTCGACCCAACCACAGAGGAGGGAGGGGAGCCAGGGGAAGGAGTCAGAGAGGCCAAAGGAGGAGCAAGGTCGGGGCCCAATGCAGCGGAGGCTACAGAGCCCGGTCTTCCAATACGGACCGACTCGGGGGCTTGGTCGCCCACCCCACGAGCCTGAAAAGGTAAGCCAGAAGCAGCCGAAACAGGGGTTATCATCTTGACGAAATTACGAATTCACTCACGAATGTGCCCCCACACCCACCATGGAGCCACAATTAGAGGCAGGACACCCAACAAGAAGCTATCGCCGATCTTGTCGGGGCCTCCTAGGGGTGCGTCGTGAGTATACGCCCCACAAACGCCACCTTAAGAAACCGACAGTCCGTCGAGATCGGGTTCAGTGACGAAGTGGGGATTGACAATAAAAGGTTCCCCTCGCTCTCGACGTCGGGTACTGCAGTTCTACGGGTGCAAGAGTATGCCTCCTCAAGCACCCGGGCGTCAAAGTAGAAGAAGTCCAAGGGAAGAACCAGAACGAGCAAAAGGTCGGCAGGAAACGGCAAGCAGATAGGAGAAGAGGGGGGAGAAAAACGAAACAGAAGGAAAAGGAAAAGATGCCCAGCAGAATTGGAGAGGACGGCAGCAGGAGCACAAGGCTAGAAAAGGACAGAGGACTGTCCCAAGGAGCAGAAGAAAAATAAGATTATGGGTGCTAAAGTGGAAAAAGGAGTAAGAACATTAACGGCACAAAGACCACAAATACTTGAAGTGGAAAAGTTGTTATTAATTTGGATACACGACAAGGAGTTGAGGGGTGATAGTGTTTCGGAGGCCATTATTTGTGAGAAAGCCAGGGTGTTGCACGCTAAAGAATACCCCTGCAACGAGTGATGCAGATAAGAAAGTTTAAGGCAAGCAGGGGCTGGTTTGAAAAATTTAGAATGAGAAGTGGTATCCATAGTGTTACAAGGCATGGGGTTATGTGATGTGATTATGGAAGGGGACTTCCCTTCCAAACAGTAACTCCTCTCCTCCTCCCCCCTCCTCACCATCTTCCATACGCCTACAGCACTCGACAGCAAGGTAAGTAATAACTGGAACACAGTTTTGTAGGTTTATTTAGATGAATTAGGTAAATTAGGTATAAAAATTTAGTTTGATGTGGGGTTTTTGGGGTAGTCAGGAACGGATTAATTCATTTCCCTTTATTTCTTATGGGGAAATTAACTTCGGAATGCGAGTTTTCGGAAGGCGAGGCGTCTCCAGGAACGGATTAAACTCTTATTCTGAGGTATGCCTGTACCTGGGCGTTAGACAGCTGCTACAGGCTGCCTCCCGGAGGGTGTGTAACAAAAAGGAGGCCTGGTCGAGGACGTTAGGGAGAAGAAACAGCGGATATGGTCACTACATACAAGATAACGAAGAGACAACGTCAAGGACAACTTATTTCAATTTAAAAGGAGATAGAATACACTAACCTTAAGAATGACAGCACTGGTGTCCCACACAGCGGTGTTTTCCACCACTACCAGCTCTGAGTCAGTGATGTTTAACTTTAACTCAAATGGAATTGTATTTTGTTCCTGCATAATAGCATGCTTAGTCATAACTCCCGTAGACTCTACCATAGGGTTTAACTTTGGCGTAGTGCATCTAATATTTCTATCCCTTGCAAATGCTGACCCGGGCGACTGTGGTCTCGGAGACTCGGGTTGTGGAGAGCGTGTATAAGGGGAATGGGTAAAAGAAGTACCAAGCACTGGGGTGTGTATTGGGGAAAACAAAACTGGGGTAAGAGCAGAGCTGGATGGACAAGATGTTTCCTTCATATTTGCTGCACTCTTTGATCCTGTGGATAAAAAAAAACATTCACTCAACACAATTATACATGTCACATAGTTATAATTAAAATTTTAAGCAAATGAAATACATAATTAAAATAATGTAAATTATAAATATAACTAAATTACTTTTGTTTTCTAGTATCTTTTCCTAAGTACTGCACTAATGATGATTAAATAACTTCACTATTTACTGCCATCTTATTGAACTTCTTAGAGCCAGAATGAAGAAGAAATCTATTCTTTTTTTCAACAAGGTGATAGGGTTAGGCAAGCCAGTGAAATGGTACATAAAGGCAAACCAACAGAATCACTAAAGAAAAGGGGAGTAAAGAACAAGGAGAGAGGGAACATGTTCCTGAAAATTGTTTACACGAACATAGACTGAGTGAGATCAAAGATACTGAAGTTAAGTGATGTAATACAGCAGCAGACACCAGACATTGTCGCACTCTTGGAAACAAACCTTGCAGATGATATTTTAAATAAGGTCATATTCCCAAGGGGCTACACAGTTTGGAGATGGGACAAAAAATTAGGAAAAGTGGTGGCGTTGCTATGCTGGTGAGAGAACACCAAAAGGTAAGCAAAATAATGATTGCCAACCCACGAGAAGTTGACATAATAGCACTGGAGAACTGCAATCAGGATGATAAACTAATAATCATAAATGCATATAGTCCACCGCCATGTAACACATGGACAAAGGAGGAGCTGGATAATGAACGAGAGAATCTTGTATCAATAATGAGAGATTATAGCAAAAACAGATAAAGATAGATCACGACTGTTGGTAGTCGGCGACTTCAACTTGAAATCCACAGACTGGGAGGCATATAAAGCTGGAACCAAGGAATTTTGGACCTGTAGATTCGTAAACCATATCCTGGAAACATTCATGGATTAACATGTTAATTTTAAACAAGCTACGAGGATGAAGGAAGGGGGAATGTTCCCTCCATGCTGGATTTGATATTTACCAGAAAAATGGAAGAGATATTTGACATTTAGTACCTTCCTCCCTTGGGTAGAAATGACTCTTTTTGGGAATAAAGTATGCAATGCATTATACTCTGGAAAAAAATGAAGTTGAAGCAGTTGAAAAACCTGATTTCAGGAGAGGACCTTATGAGAACTTAGAAATTTCTTTAAGAAATTTAAGTGGAAAAACTTGCTGCTAGGCAAGGAAGTATATGAGATACAAGTCAATTTTAGTGAAATATATGATAATGGCAGAAACAAATTTATAACAAAGCAGAGATGCAGAATCAGGAAACAGGATTGGTTCAACAGAAATTGCAAGAGGGCCAGAGACCAAAGGACATAAAAATGGAATCATTATAGGAAGAGGCCAAACCCCTAAACACACCAGCGATACAAAGATGCGAGAAACAACTACACAACAGTGAGGAGAGAGGCAGAAAGAAATTTTGAAAAAGGGATTGCAGACAAATGTAAAATAGAACCAGGCCTATTCTATAAATTCATCAACATAATTGCAGATAAAGGACAATATTCAGAGGTTGAAAATGGGAAACAGATTCACGGAAAATGAAAAGGAAATGTGTGAAACATTACACAAAAAGATCCAAAGTGTATTTGTGCAAAATTAAATCTGCAGAGAACCAGATACAATACGAATGCCAGAGAACAACATAGCGCACATCAAGGTGTCTTAGAGACAAAGTGGAAAAAATGATTAAGGAGCTAAGAAAGAATAAAGCAGTTGGTCCAGATGGAGTTTCACCTTGTGTTCTGAAAGAATGTTCACCTGAACTCAGTATTCCACTTTACCTGATTTTTCAGGCATTTCTGTGTACAGTAGTTATAGAAGAGGTGTAGAAAAAGGCTACAACAGTTTCAATCTACAAAAGTGGCAGCAGGAAAGAACCCCCCCCCCCCTTAATTATAGACCTGGATCATTGACAAGTGTAATAGTCAAAATATTGGAAAAAAATAATTAACATAAATGGGTAGAGCACCTGGAGCAAATGATACAATAATAGACAGACAGTACGGTTTTTGATCTGGAAGATCCTATGTATTGTATTTACTTCGTTTCCATGATCGAGCCACAGATTTTAGATGAAAGAGATGGTTGGGTTGACTGCATCTACAGTATCTGGACCTAAAAAGAGCTTACGACAGAGTTCCACATAAGAGGTTGTTCTGGAAACTGGAACATATTGGAAGAATGACAGGTAGGCTTCTAACACGGATGAAAAATTTTCTGACAGAAAAATGAGGACAGTAATCAGAGGCAATGTATTGGACTGAAGAAATGTCACTAGTGGAGTACCACAGAGTTCAGTTCTTGCACCGGTAATGTTCATTGTCTACATAAATGATCTACCAGCTGGAATACAAAATTATATGTTCACTGATGATGCTAAGATAATAGGGAAGATAAGAAATTTAGATGATTGTCATGCCCTTCAAGAAGACCTAGACAAAATAAGTATATGGAGCACCACTTGGCAAATGGAATTTAATGTGAATAAATGCCATGTTATGGAATGTGGAATAAGAGAACAGACCCCCCACACAACCTATAAATTATGTGATAAATCTTTATAAAGAAATCTGAAAAAGAGAGAGATCTAGGAGTGGTTCTGGATAGAAAATTATCACCTGAGGGCCACATAAAGAACATTGTGCAAGGATCCTATGCTACACTTTCTAATTTCTGAATTGCTTTTAAAAATATAGATGGTGAAATACTAAAGAAGTTGTTCACAACTTTTGTTAGACCAAAGCTGGAATATGCAGCGGATGTATGGTGCCCATATCTTAAGAAGCACATCAACAAACTGGAAAAGGTGCAAAAGCATGCTACTAAATGGCTCCCAGAACTGAAAGACAAGAGCTCGAAGGAGAAGTTAGAGGTATTAAGTATGCGAAAACTAGAAGACAGAAGAAAAAGAGGCGATATGATCACTACATACAAAACAGTAATGGGAATCAATAAAATTGACAGGTAAGAATTCCCGAGACCAGGGGCCAGATTCACAAAGCAGTTATGCAAGTTCTTACGAACGTGTACATCTTTCCTCAAACTTTGAAGGCTTTGGTTACATTTATTAAACAGTTTACAAACATGAAAACTTCCCAATCAACTGTTGTTATTGTTATAACAATAACTGCGAGACCGCAGCCTCTGCAAATAGCAACAGACAAAACGGTGACGAAAACCTATGAGCCAGGGCCCAAGCGGAATCCAAAGAGAGGGCGAGCACAGCCTGACGGGATGCGAGGCGAGAAGAAAAAAACAGAGACACCATCTCCTTCAGGATAGGCGCAAAGAGCTTCAACAGTGCAGCCGACGCCCTAGCTGCTGAAGCCAGTGCCCCAGATGAAGGCCCAGCACTTAATGCCTCCACATCCTCCTCAAGCCAGGCAGAAGACAGCTCAAGAAGGGAAAAGATACATAAGACCTAAGCCAAATGCCCACGGGCACGCAAGTCCTCTGCAACCAACAATGCCGAAAGAGAAGGAACTTGCACGTGAAGCTGTAAAAGGCCAACATCCCGAGAAACCACGGGGGCAAACAAGCACACATTAAGGTGCTCAAACTCGCCTCCCAGGTAAACCTGCAGAACTGTAGAAGTTTCACGACAATCAAGTGTGCGGGTCCGACAGAACCCATGCCACGCCCCCAACGAAAAGAATAGGCAGTCTCCCAGCCAGGAAAACTCAGGAACCTCAAAACACACCTTAAACCGGAAAGAAGAACTAAACTCAGAAGAGAACGGATCCATCACAGAGGCATAAACCGGGTCTCGCAAGAGGTATGCAGCAAGATCCTCCCAAGCCTCTTTTGCGGAGATACGGGAGGTAGAAAACCTCTGGAAAGACGGGGCCGAGGTACCCAAAGGGGCTCAGAACTGAACCCGGGGAGGAGTCGAACCCAAATCTTACTCATACAGGGAAGGGGGGTAAGGAAACCCCCTTTCCTTGCAACAATAAGCTCCACAAGATAAGCAAAAGCACCCAAGTGGGTCAAAGGGGGCCCAAGGCCTGCAGGTCGACTCCTCCCCAGCGCTGAGATCCCCAAGTCGGGACCCGGGGGCGGAGCCGTCCTCCAAACCCTCTACCACTGAAGAAAAGGCAGAGTCCAGGGAAAAGGCAGACATGAAGGGGGCCTGCTGGTGGGACCCAGAAGCCTCATCAGGAGGAACTGGCTCAATTGCCACCATCTCCGACCCGAATGGGGCAGCCCCTGAAGCCACCCGAGTCTTATTACCAACTAAACATTGTGCCGAATCTGAAACCTTAAGATGTTGGGGGCCGGACATACGGTGGAACATGGAGGATGAACAACAGGGGATAGGACCAGGGAGCTCGGACGGAACCAAAGTCGAAGCGACTAACGCCCCCAGGTCCAGTTCCCTAAAACCAAAGCGGGGCAGCCGCGGGGCATCCAGGTGGGAAACCAAACTAGCTCGTTTCAGTAACCTAAACCTAACATGCAACGCGGATGCTGCCTCTACCCGAACAGCAACATCATCAGAGTAAAATTGGAGCACAAGCAGAGAACACGACTCGCAAGACTCCGGGTCAAAGGTGTCATTGACCCAACAGGCAGCATGACGGAGGCAAAACAGGTGACTGTCACCCTAAGACAAGAGCACACAGCAACATTCAAACCCGCATAAGGCAGGCTGGAACTCAAGAGATGCATCCATGGGTCCACCGAGCCCCGACAGGGTTTCCAGGGCCCTTAGGGTAGCAACTACAGGAAGCCCAGGCAAGGTGTTCCTAACCGGTTAAACACCCAAACTAACAAGGGGTAGATGACAACACTGAAACCCCTGTGACCTGTACAAGCACGGGGGCCTAGCAGAGGACCACCAAAACAGTATCAAGGGAACTCTTGTCCTACAAGGCAGAACCCCCACCAGGCAAACAAAAACAAAACAAAAAACAAAAACCACACAAAAGTACACTGTCCTCAGAGGCAACAAGAACCGGTCGCCACTTAGGTGGCAGGTTGCGCAACACCTTGATGCCCAAACCAGCACAATACCAGTCCCTACCCAAGGCCAAAAAAGGGGCCCCAAGGGGGAGGCAAATGCTGGGCAGCAAGAACCCTTACGGGAATGATTCCCCAACGCCCCAGGGAAGATAACCCTGACAAGCAAGGGCAGCACTCACAGGGCCCCTAGGGAAGGAAGCCCCTAAGTGCATGCAGCCCCGGCACTGATGAGGTATTCCTGCCTACCACACACCACAATAACACAGTAGTGACCGCCCCGGAGGCAAACACTATGGACAGAGTTGACATCCGCTCCAGAGTGCTTCAGCCACAAACTGAGGTGTGACTGGCGCATAGGTCCGGGGCTCCCCCTCCCTCACTCACCCGGGAAGAGGAGTACTGCACGGACAAGCGGCTTGGCGGCAGTGAGTGACAATTGCTTGTTTGCTTGTTTCCTTTGTATTTCTTTGGGGAGTTCTGTTTCTCTGTTAGGTCTTGGGGTTTTTTGCAATATCTTACCATGTGGGGTTTGTTTTGAAATGCCTACTTTTCTGCGTGCCTAACCCAGGTCGATGGCAGACAAGGAATACCCCCAAGTACAAGGGGGTCTCCTTAAGCCATTGCTTCCTGTGCCTCTCTGAGGGGGGGCCAGGTTCCAGCTCTGGTCCTCGGTAGGCAGTGCACTGACTGAAGCCCCAGACTAATACTGTATAGCGTATATCAGTCCTATAGCTCAAGGGAGTCTTAGGGGCTCCTACAGAAATACCATTAATAAAAATCTTGAAAGTCTATACAAGCCTTTATAAAATGGGTTATCAGGTGTCTTGTCAATAAAGTCGAGAACTTCCATCCACCAGTCCAGGATACCCATCAGGCGCATGTTGTTCAGCAAAATTGTAAATCGGGTAACATTTTTTGTCGATCTGCAAAAGGAAAGTGGATGATAAAGTATAATATATAGCATTAATTTCTCCACACAAAAGTTAACAAAAAGAGGTGAATTAACTATATCATACTCTTTACTGTAATTTTTACTCTCATAATAAGAAATATTTATTAATTTAATGCAAATTTTCTTGCTTAAAAATGTTCAGTTAACTTACTATAAAAAATATAATCAACTGTCATCACTAAAACCTATGAAGATAATCATGAATTATGTATTCTGTTATTCAACACTACGCCCTAACAGAGTACCTGAAATGAACTTCTGCTTGAAGTTGGCTGCTATTTTTTGCACTCTTTGAAGGTGTAGGCTGCAAAATGTTTGTGAAAATGTTTGATCGTTTGTTCACTGGGAAACCTGTCAAATGTGAAAACACTGATTTTCATACCATTCAAACATAATTTACACAATTTTACACAGAATATGGTATTCATTAATTTTTTAATATAAAGGAAATTAAATATTTTATATATATATAAATCTCACTAGAATATAGTAATGAAATTAAATTGTGGAATTTCCCCATACCCTCAAATCTAGTGTCACTAAGAAGAATTTCTTGGGAAACCAGGTCAACGTCTTTGGATCCATCGGAGAAACTCTCATATGTGAGTTTGGAACTGATAAAATTGACACAAACAAGAGGAGTGCAAGACTTAGCCTGAGCACTGCCTTCCTGCACACTTTCTATCTCCAGAGTCACATTGTCCAGGTTGAGAATGATGTTAAGACCAGTCCAAACACATTCTGGTGTAGGCCTAGGCTGAAAATAAATGAATAAAATTTTACTTTTGCAATTAAAAAAGAACTTCATGCTCCATAATGCAATTTCCCATTTAACAACAAACAAATTTGTATCATTTCTATCTCAGGGTGAACACATGTTTCTGATCAAAAAAAATTTCATTGTACAATACAGTACTTCCATTTGTAAAAACAACATTGGTAATGAATTTCTTAAATGTCAATGTGATTTTTAAAATGGAAGTACAGTGACAAATTTGTTGATAAGAAACTCACCAAAGTGTTAAGATGGCTGTGTTTATCATATACTGTACCTTGTTGAGAGAGATCATGATTATAATGGTCAGGGAAGAAAAACGAAACATGTGGTTATCTTCAGGGTTACCTTGAGATGATTTCAGTGCTTAGCGTTCCTGCGGCCTAGTCATCGACCAGGCCTCCTTTTTATTACACGTCCCCAGGAAGCAGCCCGTACCAGCTGTCTAACTCCCAGGTACTTATTTACTGCTAGGTGAACAGCAATGGCACAGCATGTGTCACATTGTCTAGTCCTCTGTTAGGGCTAGACAAAAATCAAATGCTCTCTTCAAACATCTTAGTTTGTGTGACCTGTCATGTAATTCCCCTGCATAGCATTAGAAAGCTGCCTCTTCCTCATACTTTCAAAGTCAACATGCTACAGCACACCCTCTACAACATCAAACCCAGATAGCCACCCCCTGACAGACATCTTGATACCCTCTACCAGGCTCACCCTGCCAAGTCCCGTGACCCCAAGTTAGGTGCAACTCGCCTACTGAAGAACGTCACAGACCATTTAAATGATTGAGCCAATGACAATTGCTCAGCTCATAGCAATTGTTTCATAAACAGAAATATAATAGAAGTGTCCTTCAATAGATATAATATTTTGAATATTAATTGTTTCTAAGATAGATCCATTTTTGTCTGTAAATTTTTTTTATAAATTTTAATCTTTCTAGGTCAAATTTAGGTTCAATTTACTCTACCATTTATCAAGGTCATTTCTTTCTGCTTTTTGATTAGTTCACATTTTTTATTTGTCTTTTAATTGCTTTTAATTAAATATTTACTAAATAACATGGTTCAAGTTGTTGTTTTGTGTTGTTTCATATTACAAAGTTTATTTTTTCCAGGCAAACACGTTTTCTTTTTGGTGCCCCATAATCTAGGCCGTCTTCTTTAACTCGAGTCACTTTAAATTCTGTTTGTATTTTTACTTGTTTATATAATTATTCGCTAAAATAAATGATTCTAGTTGTCATTGTCCACTTTTTCATATTGCATTTTAATTATGGAACCTTTTTTATACCTTTTGCTTCTCTTAGTAAATTTTTTTTTTTTATTAAAATATGTTGATTTCCACTGACCTACTTAACCCCTTAACTGCGTTGCCTCCAAATGTGACACCCCCGCAGTGCGCAGGAAATAAATTCTCTGGAAAAAATTATTTTTTCTTTTTAAAGTGTCAAAAACCCTTCCCTCAGTATGGGTATGTAAAAAAAAAGTCGAAATTGTACTTACTTTGGCTGCTATGGGGTCCGGAAGTTGGGGCGTGACGTCATCATTCCCCGTGCGCCCATGCCGTAAGCTCTCGGGGGCGGTGGGGCGCTCGGGGCGGGGCGCGCGAGTTGCCGCGAATATATTTTCGTTCATTTTTTGCGCACCTTTCCAAATACATTTTCATTGTTTTATGTGCCAATCCAATGTATAATGAACACGTACACTATAATATCGCAGTACAACATCCGTACTGTCCGTAGACACTGTGTTACGTGCATGAAACTTGTGTACACATATGCAGCACATATTTACTATGTATCATGCTAATTTGTGTATATATACAATCTATTTACACACTATACACTGTCACACACTATATACATTCACCATCAACACATTCAGAACACCGCGTAGCAGCTGCTTCGTATGGGCCAATAGCAGCTGCCCCGTATGGGCCAATAGCAGCTGCCCCTTATGGGCCAATAGCAGCTGCCTCGTATGGGCCAACAGCAGCTGCCTTGTATGGGCCAATAGCAGCTGCCTCGTATGGGCCAATAGCAGCTGTCTCGTATGGGCCAATAGCAGCTGCCTCGTATTGGCCAACAGCAGCTGCCTCGTATGGGCCAACAGCAGCTGCCTTGTATGGGCCAACAGCAGCTGCCTCGTATGGGCCAATAGGAGCATTTGGCCATGAACACATTCAGAACACCTCTAGTGAGAGCAGCAACACCCAGCCAGTCTCCCTCACTCCAACATCTTACTCGCCAACATTGCTCCTCCCACCATATTGTTATAGTTCTTATTACACATGTTCTATATACCTATCTACATGTTTTATTTACCAGAACTATGCAAGTAAGCCGATATTGTGTCCAAACAGTACAGTGGCCACTATACACTGCATGAAAAATCACACAGCAGATGACGCTACGATTACGTCACCTCCCTCACCAAAATAGCTCCTCTCAACATTCTCCTGTTGCTGTTCTTACACTATATATACCCATATACATATGTGTTGCCCATAGCGAACCACTAAGCTAGTATGGTGAGCAAAAAAAGAGTGGCAGCAACACACACACGATGAGGCTACCTCAATTCTCGCCCTCCCTCCCTCATCAAAATTCCTCCTTCCACAATACTACGCACAATGCTAATTATAACCACAATCCTGCTATTATCACAATCCTGGTCCCTAATTCCTGTAAATGAATAATTGACCATATGTTTATTTTGAAAAGGAACCTAAGAAATCATCTGAGGATTCCTTGATGAACGAAATAATGCTGTGGCTACCGCTGTGAGCATCGTGAACAGCATTGAATCACTGATATTTGAACATTGTACCCAGTCATTATCACACTCAGGCTCTAATATAACACTATCATAGCTAAATAATACAAGTTATATATATATATATTTTGACATTATTAGGCAATGCTGTGGTCACATGCTGAACAGCAGTGCTGTGCGCTCATGCTGCGAGCGCCAGCCTTGGTTGCTCACACACTACTGAGGCTCCCACACCCGGGAATGTGGACCACGATTTTTTTTAAAGATGGCATCTGTTTACAAGAGCCCTGAGGAAGCTGATGTGAACCCCATGTAGCCGTGGGAGTTTTGAATGGAACGTGAAAAATACAAATATCCGGAGGCGCGTTGCGCAAACCAGACGTGAGCCTGCAGGCGCGTTGCGCAGTTTAAGGGTTAACTACCTCTGGTCCCACAGTCTCCACGGAGCTCCATCCATCTGTGTGTCTCAGGTTGCCTCACCCTCCACAAAATGAATCATGTCTGAATGGCATAATTCACTGTTTAAAAGCATATGGCAAGTCTTTTAAAAAAAGTCATATGCTTAATTACCAGCCATAAACTGATGAGCTTACCTCCTGAGGTTGTGAATGATAAAGATGGGCAGGTAGAGATGGAAGGGGTTCTCCCAAGTTATAAAGTAAAAGCCCTCGTATTAACTTGTAGTTTAAGGTATCAATGGTAGCATGGACCTTCTTCATCATTCCATGGACACTAATATCTGCCACTGAAACACAAAGTCAAAGTTTACTTCAATTCCATATTATTCCACCATCCATCTGTCAACTTATCAGAAACTGCAACAAATAATAAAATGTTCAAATACACTTTCAGCATTGCCTTTTATAGATCAATATTTCAGATTAAAACAACATTCACATATTGACTGATCATAATTATCATTTTGCCATGTCTTATACAGTATTGATGAGTGGAGACATCAGCCAAGATATGAGATTAAAATAAGAAGAGAAGATTAAAGATATTGAAATATGCCGCTCATCCAGTCATGCTATCTTGCACAAGACTCAACTTGACAGGAAATGACACCACCACACACCAAGTCATCTACATCAGTACTCAACTGCTTCATAGTGTAAAGTTCTCCTCTTGAAATGTCAAATCCAAACATATCAAATACTCTCTCTTGAGAAACTCATGTCACCTAATATTCTTTTCTACAGATTCTTTTTAAACATCAGCTTTAGCTATAGCATGTTTCCAAGAGGACAGGGAAGTTTAATATGGCAGACAACAGGGAAATAGTTATGCTAATTTAAGTGCAAGCTCAAGACACTTCCTAAGCACACAGGACAGGAAAGACCATCTGTATCACATATATATATATATGGTCATACACATGTCATACAAATCAACAGTTTCATGGAGACCAATGACCTCCACAACCCAAGCCAGCATGGATTTAGAGCGGGAAGATCATGCCTCTCACAGCTACTTGACCAATACGACAAAATCACTGAGGCATTAGAAGAAAAACAGAATGCAGATGTGGTATACACGGATTTTGCAAAGGCATTCAATAAATGTGACCATGAAGTCATAGCACACAAAATGAGGTCAATGGGAATAACTGGTAAAGTAGGACAGTGGATACTTAAATTTGTCGAACAGAACACAAAGAGTAACAATCAACCATATAAAATCGAGTCCAAGTGCAGTTAAAAGCTCTGTAAGTTAGGGCACAGTTCTTGCACCATTATTTTTCCTTATTTTCATATCAGATATAGACAAAAATACAGCAAATACAGCATGATACAGCTGTGACAAAAGTCACAGCTTCATACTATCCTTTTCAGACGACACAAAACTAAGTATGAAAATTACCTCTACTGAAGACATTGAAAAACTTCAAACAGATATTTATAAAGTTTTCAACTGGGTAGCAGAAAAGAACATGATGTTTAACAGTGATAAATTCCAGGTACTCAGGTACCATAAAAATGAGGACATTAAACATAATACAGGGTATAAAACACAATCAGATTTGCCCATACAGTAGTAAGAAAGCAGCATGTAAAGGATTTGGGAATAATAATGTCTGACAACCTAACGTTTAGGGATCATAATCAAGCAAATATTGCGTCAGCCAGAAAAATGACAGGATGGACTATGAGAACTTTCAAATCCAGGGATCCCATCACAATAATTGTACTATTCAAATCACTTGTGCGGTCTCGTCTTGAGTACTGCTCAGTACTCACTTCCCCTTTCAGAGCAAGAGAGATTGCTAAAATAGAGGGAGTACAGAGAATATATATATGCATACATAGATGCGATAAACCACCTAAATTATTGGGATCGTCTCAAAGCTCTCCAAATGTACTCGCTGAAAGAAGACAAAAGATATAAAATAATATACACGTGGAAAATACTGGAGGGCCAGATCCCAAATCTACACAGTAAAATAACAACATACTGGAGTGAACGATATGGAAGAAAATGTAGAATAGAACCAGTGAAGAGCAGGGGGTACCATAGGCACAATCAAAGAACACTGTATAAACATCAGAGGTCCACGGTTGTTCAACATCCTCCCAGCACGTATAAGAAATATTGCCAGAACAACGGTGGACATCTTCAAGAGAAAACTAGATAGTTTTCTTCAAAGGGTGCTGGACAAACCGGGCTGTGGTCCTTAGCTAATGTCCCGGTCTAATATAACATACATTAGCCCGATAAGCTCCAGGGAGCCGTAGGGGCTCCCCACAGAAAAAATGTGAACATTAAAAGTTTTTCTTTACTCTAAGTTAATGAGTCAATACAAACTTTGTAAGTTTTCATATTACTAAAGTATTCTTAAGTATTATACTATACCATGTAATATGTGGACGATCTTAAAATTGGCCTTAAATTAGGTAAAATAATATCAATCCAATTTTTTTAAGATACTGAAAATTTTAATAATTTATAAATCAATGCCTAAAAGTTAAGACATGAAAGAAGGAACAATGATTAACAAAGTTGTTAATATTTAGTATAGAAACAAAGCAAACGCTACAAACCTGCATGACTAAGTGCTGTATCAAGGTTTCTTTCTACTTGTAACTTGAAAGCGCATTTTTCCTGCAGCATGGAAACTCCTTGTCGCATGACACTGTACGATCCAAAAATCCATTCAACATTTTCACCAGAACTACTGCTTCCTTTGCTTTTACTCGCTTCTTGTTTTTCCTTTTCTGCAAATGTTGAAGGGTGCTCTTTTTCTCTCACTTTTGAGTTAAATGGTATTTTTGATAATCTAATGCTCGTGTAAATGTCCATGTTTACCAAGTCAATATACATAACATCTAAAAGGCACTTTTGTAATTTAGAGCTGTTGCTTGTGACTGTCTGCTGTCTTTGGTCTCCTTCGGCTTCAGAATCACTTGGAAACGAGAGACCTGTGTCTCTATGTCGGCTGCGTGATCGAGATCGCGGGTCGAGTGATCTTAAGAAGGAAATATACACTATTATTATTATAATAAAGAACATGGTTACAGGAATATCACCCAACAATATAATAGTTTAATAATTGAAAGAATCACAGATTTCATGCATGTTCCTCTTTTTGACATTGATCAGTTCATGACCAATAAAATTCCTTCATTACAGGATACAATTTTCAACTTTTGCTTGTTTAAGGTCATTATAAAGCTTGCTTTCAAATAAATAAATTCCAATATAGTGTTAAATAATCCTAATGGAAGTGCACACAACTAGGATCATGTTCATGTTAATTTTCTGGTCCTATAAGAAAGGATCATACTAGATAAGGCAGACAGACATTCTGCATTGGAAGAGCATGCATCTTATTACATATATTAGAGAGGCATTAAAGAAAATCTTAAAATAATCTTCATAAAATGAAGAATTAATAAATATGTTAATCCTTATTAATCACCCACCTAGAACTGGACCTGGTGGAGGGAGTCCCCTGCTGACCCCTAAGTCTTTCCTCCAAGTTCTGACGCTGCACCTATTAAAATGATGAATCATTACTAATGAATATTAATACAAATCAAATGCACACACACACAGGCATATAATCAGCGGCATATGCAAGACTGGCAAACACAAGAACTGCCTTCAGAAACTTGTGTAAGGAATCATTCAGAACTTGTATACTTCGTATGTCAGACCAATACTGGAGTATGTGGCTCCAGTGTGGCGTCCTTATCTAGTCAAACACAAAACTAAGTTAAAAAAGATTCAGAGGCATGTCACCAGGCTGGTCTCTGAGCTGATGGATATGAGTTACGAGGAAAGATTACTGAAACTAAACTTCATGACTCTGAAAGGCACAATAGTTAGGGGGAGACATGATCACCACCTATAAAATTCTCAGATGAATTGATGGGGTAGATAAACTACTTAGCACAGGCAGTACATGAATAATTGAACACAGGTGGAAACTTAGTACCCAAATGAGCCACAGGGATGCTAGAAAATACTTTTTTAGTGTCAGAGTAGTTAACAAATGGAATGCACTAGGCAGTGATGTGGTGGAGGCAGATTCTGTACATAGTTTCAAATGTAGATATACTGTATGAGAGCCCAATAGGCTCAGGAACCTGTATATCAGTTGACTGACAGTTGAGAGGCGGGACCAAAGAACCGAAGCGTAATCCCCAGAAGCACAACTAGGCGAGTACATACATACACTTGACAGATGAAATTCAACTTGAATAAATGCCACATTATGGAATGTGGAATAGGAGAAAATAGGTAGAATAGGAGGAAGATACTGGAGGGCCAGGTCCCAAATCTACACAGTAAAATAACAACATACTGGAGTGAATGATATTGAAGAAAATGCAGAATAGAACCAGTGAAGAGCAGAGGTGCCATAGGCACAATCAGAGAACACTGTATAAACATCAGAGGTCCGCGGTTGTTCAACACCCTCCCAGCGAGCATAAGAAATATTACCGGAACAACCGTGGACATCTTCAAGAGAAAACTAGATTGTTTTCTTCAAGGAGTACCGGACCAACCGGGCTGTGGTGAATATGTGGGCCTGTGGGCCGCTCCAAGCAACAGCCTGGTGGACCAAGCTCTCACAAGTCAAGCCTGGCCCGAGGCCAGGCTTGGGGAGTAGAAGAACTCCCAGAACCCCATCAAGCAGGTATCGAGCAGGTCACACATAACCTACAAATTACTGTATGTGAAAAGACTTTAAAGAACACGTACAAAGAAGGAGATCTAGGGGTGGTTCTGGATAGTAAACTGTCATCCGAGTACCACATAAAGATCACTAGTTGAGGTGCCTATGCAACACTGTCTAACTTCAGAATCATTAATAGTCAAGAAATTGTTCACAATCTTCATGAGACCAAGACTGGCATGTGTACCAGTTGAATGGTGTCCATATCTCTAGCACAACAATAAACTGGAAAAGGTGCAAAACATGCTATTAAATGGCTTCCAGAACAAAAATACATGAGCTATGAGAGAGGCTAGAGGTGCTGAATTTTCCAAAGCTGTAAGATAGAAAAAAAAGAGAATATATGATCATTACATACAAATAGTAACAGGAATCGATAAACTTAACAGAGGAATTCTTGAAAAACTGCAATGTCAGGAACAAGAGGTCGTAGATTCAAGCTAAGAAAACAAAGATGCTGAAAAAATATTAGAAAGTTCTTTGTAGATGGTAAACAGTTGGAATAAGTTAAGTGAGAGGGTAATGGAGGCCAAAACCATCGGTAGTTTCAACGTGTTATGTGACAAAAATTACTGGGAAGACGAGACACCACGAGTCCCTGTAACTACACTTAGGTAATTACTTTATCACTATTACCAAACTTTTCACTTTGATGCGGTGGGGAGGCATGAGCACAAGGGAAATAGATCAATACAGGGACAACTGCAAATCAAAAGAATTACATACATGTTGACAAAACAGTTCAGGCATCATGAGGGGATCCCTAATTAACATGTGTCACTTGCTGTGATTCATTCAAAGTAACACTTGATATTAACATGATGACTGGGTTCTCATTTTTTGTAATCACTCACCTGACTAATGGTTCCTTTAGAACCAGCCCAAAGAAACTTATTAGAGATGGTCAAGCTCCCAAGGTCAGCAACCATTAAAGTTTCTGAACAGCTTGACATAGGCATGAATATGACAGGTGAACCAGCACTAATGTCTAAGGAAACGCGGGAACCTCTGCTATAGTCAGCTACCTGTAAATAAAATTTAAATATTCACTATTTATCTAAAACTGGCTAATTCAATAAAAACATGACATGAAAAGGAAATGAAGATAGTTAAAACACAAAGGAACAAAACCAGCGTTGAATGTAATGAAACGTCATTTTCTGGGTGAGCCCCGGAGGCACTCCCCTGGAGCTTATCAGGATAATGTATTTAATATTAGACCGGGACATTAGCTAATGAGTTCAGACCTACCAGGGACCAGCACCAGAACCTGGCCCCTTCAGAGAGGTTTCAGGGAGCAATGGCCCTGGAAAACCCCCAATGTGGTTGGGGGTTTTCCTTATCTGCTATCGACCGAGGTTAGGCACCCAGAAAGGTAGGCATAACAAAACAAACCCAACATGGTCAGAAACTAGCAACAAAAACCAAACAGAGGTAGAACTCCCTTCAATCCCAAGGAAACAAAGAAACAAGCAAACAAGCAAAACGGATCGAAAACCGAGGGACACAAGATGTGGGAGCAAGCATAAACAGACAAGGGGACAGGCCAAATCCTAGGGCCCAGACTCCAACAGACAGAAAATGCAAAAACTGGTGTAAAAACCAACACACAAGCATTCTCAGAGGAAAAGATGAAGAGCAGAACACCACAGAAAAAGCAAAGAAATGGCAACAGGAGGATAAAAACCCCTGAAGGAGGTGAAAAACACCCCCAAAACGCAAGCTTACACACCCAGGCAGAGGTAAAGAAACCGCAGCACCACCCCGGTGACCAGGTGGGGAAGCAACCTGTAGAAAGAAAATGGCCACCAGAACAAAGGAGCAGCGACCGACACAATAGATCCGAAAACACACCAGCAAATGTGGGAAGCAAGCAAACGAGAGGGACAAAAAACCCCGCCCAAAAAAAGCAGAAAACCCAGGCAGGGACAAGCAGCCCCAAAACTGCAAGCGGACATTCCCCACAGCCCCGGGAACCCGCAACAGAAGACCCCCCGAAGCTGCCTGAGTCTTTGCACAAACAAACCCCGCCCCAACCCCAAAATCCGTAGATGGTCAGGAGCCAGGAACAGGAAGGGGAAAGGGGCGAACAACACCTAACCAAAACGGGGAGGCCCCGGGGCATCCGGGTGGGAAACCAATCTTGTGTGTTGCAGCAACCTAACAAGGCATGTAACGCGGATGCCGCCTGTACTCTAACAATAAGGACATCAGAAGAGTACTGGAGAACAAGCAGAGAACACAACTCGCAAGACTCCGGGTTAAGATGTCTGTGACCCAACAGGCAGCATGACGGAAGTAAAACAGGTGACTGTCACCCTGAGACACGGGCACAGCAACCAACGAACCCGCACAAGACAAGTTGGAACCCGGAAGACACATCCACGGGTCCACCGAGGCCCGACAGGGTTTTCCAGGGACCATAGGGTGACAACTATGGGAAGCCCGCGCAAGGTGTTGCTAACCGGTTAACACCCAAGCTAACAAAGAGTAGATGCTAACACTGAAAACCTCTGGGACGTGTACAATCACAGGGGCCTAGTAGAGGGCCACCAAACACTACCAGTGGAACTATAGCCAGGCAGACCCCCACCAGGCAAATTTAAAGAAAAAGAAAAGAAAACCCCGCAAAAGTACACCATCCCCCAGAGGCAATAGGAACCGGTTGCTACGTAGGTAGCAGGTCGCATAACACCTGAACGCCCCAACCAGCACGATACCAGTCCCTACCCAGGGCCAAACAAGGGCCCCAAGCCCCAGCTGGCCCCAAAGGCGAGGCAAATGCCAAGCAGCAAGAACCCCTACAGGAATGGGTCGCAAACGCCCCAGGGAAGATAACCCTGACACACAGGGGCAGTACTCGCAGGGCGCTAAGGAAAGGAAGCCCCTAAGCGCATGCAGCCCCGGTACTGATGAGGAACTCCTGGCCTCCACACAATAACACTGCAGTGAGCGCCACAGAGGCAAACACCACCTAGGAAATTGAGGCCAGAGAAGCATCTGTTCCGGTTGACATTAGCTTGAACTGGAGTGCTATGCAGCCGGCGCGGTGAGGTCCGGGGTCCCCCCCTCCCCCTCTCGGGGAGGGCTGCACAGACGAGCGGCACGGCAGTAGTGTGTTACGTTTGCTTGATTGCTTGTTTCTTTGTTTCCTTGGGATTGAAGGGAGTTCTACCTCTCTGTTCGGTTTTTGTTGTTAGTTTCTTACCAAGTGGGGTTTGTTTTGTTATGCCTAACTTTCTGGGTGCTTAATCCCGGTCGATGGCAAATAAGGAAAACCCCCAACCACAGGGGGGGGTTTTCTAGGGCCATTGTTTCCTGAAACCTCTCTGAAGGAGCCAGGTTCAGGCTCATGGTCCCTGGTAGGTCTGAACTCCATAGCTAATGTCCCGGTCTAATATAAAATCCATTAGCCTGATAAGCTCCAGGGAGCCATAGGGGCTTCCCTCAGAAAAAATAATGCAAATCATTGACATTGGTGTAGTTTCCCATTGTTGGGAAGAAGAAGCCTAGTAGGCTTACCAAGGTTCCACTTGGCCAAAGATCGACCTTCCCCAGAATGCCTTCCCCAACAGTCACCTAACTCCCAGATACTTACTTACTGCTAGGTTAACAGAGGCATGACATAGGGTATAAGGAAATGTGCCCAGCCCAGGAATCAAACTCAGTTCCAATCAGTTGTAAGCCAACTCTACTAGCCTCTAGCTACAGATCACCAGTACCAGTTTTGCAATGTTAAATTCAAGAATAAAAAATTAAGAAAAACAGAGACAGCAATATCAATGATTTAACATGATAGTGACCAACACAAATTGCAAGAAATGTGTTATAGTATTATGAATTTACCTTCACTTAACCTAGAATCACATACATTTAGTCTTCATCTCCTTTTTTTTTTAGTATATTTTTTTATTAAACTTGGTGAATTTTGCCACCAACATATTGTATAGAATAAAACTAGTTGCTTTTATCATTGAAGTAATAATAGGGATTAATTACCTCAAGGCCAGCACTTGTAGCCCTCCATCTCGACACAATATACCTCAGCTGGTTGAACTCTTGCACAAACTGTGTTATTTCTAATGCAAAGCGCTGAGTATGTAGGTACATCACAGACGACATTTTCAACTTGACACGAATATCACATTCCCGTTGCATGTCAGGATCCTCATGGCCGTATCTGTAGAAATGTTGCCGTTATCTAAACTATTCATACTTATAATAATAATAACAACAACAAATGCTATCAAAAATGAAATAGCACACAAATGCTGTGATATATATTGTGACCAAAGACAAGTGGAAAGAATGATTGAAGGGGTATTAAGATTACATCCCATAACTGCTTTAAAATGAAATTATATCCTGTTTTTTCTATAAAGTCATTAATGACAAACATTTACACACACACACACAGAATGTGCAGTGGTTGTACGGTGTCCATATCTTAAGAAGCACATCAACAAACTGGAAAAGGTGCGAAGACATGCTACTAAGTGGCTCCCACAACTTATTTAATATATCATATCCATCAAACATTAACATTTTAGATTGAATTCTGACCTTCATATACTACTGTACTGAATTGGTATTAAGTTTTGAGCAAGTATTCTCTACCATTGAGAAAAACATTGTCGCCTGAGTTTATATAAACTATAATATACAATTAACAATGTTTAGATTAGAGATAGTATACACATACCATGATATTCCTCTCTCGCTATTATGAACTTGTATGTTATGTACAAATATACAGAGCCCTTGTCTCCAGCTGTGGAGACAAGGGCTTTGACAAGGACATCGTATCCTATATTTTGACTTTAACCAAGCCTGTGGTATAGTATTCCTTCCTAAATTTTCCCAGCAGACAAGCAGCACAAGCCGTCTCGAAAATACACAATGACATTAAAGGAGAAATGATTCTAGCCCATGAAGTAAGTTCTTTAGCAAAATTCTCCCCTGTACCTATAAATATGCTATAAATATTGTACCTAGTCCAATATTTATAGCAAAGAGCAAAGCATAACTGATAATTAACTAAGATGCTTTAAGTTCAATCAGTACTTCTTATTTATCAAATTCAACATCTAATCAGAAAATTAAAAGATTTTTTATTAGACAATCGAAATTTGTCAAAAATAGACAAATCTCTTTGATAGAACATTAAATTAAATAAGCAAGAAATTAGAAAACTATTCCAGACGTCTATTACATTTTATTAATGTCATACTAATATTTATATCAAGCCAACTCAAACTGACTCGACCAAGAAGCAAAATTTGAGAATAATGTACAAAATGCAGTAACTAATAATTACTAAAAAAAAAAAAAAAAAAAAAAAAAAAAAAGTAGATCTTACCTAAATATCTGGAAAGTCATTGCTTCATTTCCAGCAGTGATGAATTTTTCACGGTACAAATGTCCATGACTAGTGCAATCAATGAGAGAAAGCGACCCCAAACGACCCGTAAGTGTCAAATTGCCCTCAGATCCAACCGAACGAACAAGGATTTGAGAAATACTAGCACGGGCCAATTCAGAGTCGGTCTTGTTGAGGATGAGAGTGAGAGAGTGCACTTGTATCTCCATGATTGTATTCAGTTCCTCTGAAACTAAGTTTAATTACAAATATATTAGAACCTTTTACCATACACAGGGGGTTGGTAAGATTTCTTTCACAACAAAAATATGAGAGAAACAATATGAACAGTTTTAGAACCTTGTGTAAGGTACAAGAAGAATTGCAGTGATGGTAAGGTAAGGTCAAGAGAAAGTGCTAAGCTATTACAACTATATAGCACTTAGAAGGGGTATGAGGATAAGGATCGGGTATAGGGAGGAGGGAAGGACTGGTGACCAACCACTTGGACCATCGGGGATTGAACGCTGACCTGCAAGAAGCGAGACCGTCGCTCTACCGTCCAGTCCAAGTGGTTGGGTTTGCAGTGATGTAATGAAATGCCCTTTTCAATTTAGGCTCTCAGTAGCTTCCTGAGCTTAAGCACTGGTATTAACAAGTCTTAGGAAATAGTGCCAGGCCTCTGAGAACCACCCTGGCCTACCGGAAGCCAGGACCATAATCTGTACTCAGGTAAAAGATTTCAAGTTATATAAAACCAAGTCATCCCACCATAAAAAATGGGGCTCTTGAATTTTAAACCTTAAAGTACAGATATTGTCACAGGTTGATTCTCAAAGTAATGCAGTTTTCATCACACATTGATTTTACATATTTTTGTCTATTTTCTATACTCATGATGCTAATATGATAATACAGTTACAGCTCTACATGGATGTAGTGGAGCTAACCTAGACCCATGAATAATCGTGCTGCTGTCTCATGATGGCTGTCTATACAAATGCAGTTATCGGCATGCGCGTTACTATGCTAATGCAGTAATCGTCACAGCTATGATAATACAGTTTTCACAACGAGATAGTTTTAGTGAAGTATATGTTACCTATCGTACGTTACGGCTCGTGATCCTACAGCAGCCAAACTTTAATAAGTCTAGGGATACGACACAACTGCTGTTCTCAATAGCGAATCACCAGTATAACCCCTTACTAGGTAATGAGCACAACAATAGAATCTTCATAGGACTGAAGAATAAAGACTAAGCATATGTATATAATTTATATTAAATAAATCTCAAAGGCAAACAGATGATTATATGGTCACAATATATCACATTAAAAAATATCACTGTAACTTCCAGACATTAAATCAATACTAAGAATAATTATATGGCTAGAATAAAAGAATGACTTAACTCCAACAAGTGTTATCTCCCCGGTTTCTGCTCAGCTACTCAACTCTCGCTCTGTCGCCACCCATATTCTCACCTCCCGTCTGCCTCATCCCAGGATGAGGGATGGAAACTAAGGACTTTTTAATATTTTAAACTAATTGAACAACCACTTGTTCTCAAAACACATAAGACTGCAAGTTACATATAATAGTTACTTACAAAATATATAAGTATAATGACACCTGTTTAATTACAGTATATGAAACATTTTCTAACTAAAATAAAGTGACATCTGGAACTCTCAAACTGAACAGGTCCAGCTTTCCCGTATCAATCAAGTAATAGACGTGTGCAACGGCAACCGCTCTCCTGTCCACTGACGCTGCCAAACCACACGACAATTTACCCAAAACACAATGTGTGTACATATACATGCAATGATAAAATAAAATAATATTTATTTTAAATTTATATACGTATTCTGCTAGGAGTACGTAACAGTATACACGGTCAACCTATCATCATTTGAACATAAGAAAAAGAAATTGCAAAAGGTACATTGGCCCATACAAGGCTTTCATTCATTCAATGATATTCATACATACATTACATATATACATACTGTATATACATTCAATCATTGGTACATTCATTAATACATAAATTCAATCAATGATACATGTATTCATTTGTTGATACATTCATTTATTGATAAATTTATTCATTAATAAGTTCATTCATTAATGTGTTCATTCATTCATTACTACCTATATTCATTGATGCATTCCTTCATTCAATGTTATCTATATTCATTGATACATACAATTATTGATATATTTTCACTATAAGCCTAAATACAATATCCTTATAGTTAGTAATGTACTCAATCCATGTTTTTGAAAATTACATTTACATAAATTTTGTTATTCAAGATAAATACGGTAGTGGATAAACTAAAGTAAAAAAATGATCATAGAAACATTCAGTGTCAACATTGCAATCATTTGTCATATGCCACAGTATCAGCCGACCCCATGTCTGGCGCCGACAGGTCCGGCGTATTATAAATATTTCCCTGATGGTGAAAATTAACATTAACATTTAGATGCTTTATATAAGATCTTTAATGTCTATGCAAATATTTCAGCAAATAACTTACTTTTAGGCCCAGCCAACTTTGTGGTATCAGGCGTAGCTTGTCCAGACGTTCTGTTGAGAACATTTTCATCTGCATCAGTACTGAAGAAATCCAGAACCATAACCCATGACGAGATATTGATGACTGTATTGAGACTGTTGAAGTCAACATCAATGAATCTGTTTGTCTGGAGGAGGAAACAAATGGAGATTTACATCATATGATTGAGCAACCTAGAGAATTGAGCTATGTGAAACACTTTTTGGGGATGGTCTTCTCAATGGTACCCCCCCAGACCTTGTGTACCTAATAGTAGTTTGCAAGTAGATTGGAGCAAATGTTATCTTGAGATATCTTGAGATGATTTCGGGGCTTTAGTGTCCCCGCGGCCCGGTCCTTGACCAGGCCTCCACCCCCAGGAAACAGCCCGTGACAGCTGACTAACACCTAGGTACCTATTTACTGCTAGGTAACAGGGGCATAGGGTGAAAGAAACTTTGCCCATTTGTTTCTGCCTCGTGCGGGAATCGAACCCGCGCCACAGAATTACGAGTCCTGCACGCTATCCACCAGGCTACGAGGCCCCTTTTTGTTAGTGTTAGTGGCTGTTTTGTCACACTTTTGTGTGCTTACATCTGACAGTCCTGTCTGCTGTCCTCTTTAGCCTGTCTTATAATTCTTATCCCCTTAGGTCCTAGTGGAGAACCCAATTTTTTCAGAACTTCGTTCTCACTGTGGGACCAGGTTAACCAGGTGGTCCAGATCCTCAGAAATGTGAACATTCTATTGGTTAGGGTCTTCCTTGCAGAGGAATTCTGCACAGGTGGGACAGGAATTCTTTCCCAAAAAGTTGTGAAAGAATGCGAAAAGAAGAATGTGAAAAATTTGAAGAATGCAGATGGAGCTGCTTGCCTTAATGTGGAGTTAACAGTTTTTGGCATAAGCTCTTTGAGGGAGGGGACATCGGTGGAAACTGGACATGCAACCAAGTTGAAGAGATGGAAGAAAATTCTCATTCCTTGTATGAGTGGTAGGCAAGTGAAATGCATTGAAGGAAGAGATTGTTAAAGCTAATTACATCCACAATTTTGAAAAGAAATATGAAGAAAATGTTAATGTTGAGAGGGGTAATTAGCACACCTGATATGAATGGCTAGGAGGCAAGGCATAAAGAGCTAGAACTCACTCCCAATTGTCACTCATAGGTAAGCACGGATGACGGATGGGTACAACTGGGTGGATGCCCTCCATCTGGGCTAGACTTCTTGGGGTTATCTTGAGATGATTTCGGGGCTTAGCGTCCCCATGGCCCGGTCCTCGACCAGGCCTCCTTTTTGTTATATACCCCCCTAGGAATCAGCCTGTGGCAGCTGTCTAACTCCCAGGTACCTATTTACTGCTAGGTAACAGGGGCATCAGAGTGAAAGAAACATTTTGCCCATTTGTCTCCGCCTTCACCGGGGATCGAACCCGGAACCTCAGAACTACGAACCTGAAGCGCTGTCCACCCAGCTGTCAGGCGCCCTAAACAGTAGGGTATCTGTACAGTATCAGCTACATCATGTTATTCTTCCTGTAGCTTCCAGGTTGCAGACTTGCTGGTCACACACTCTTGTCTACTGTGTGGTAGACAGGAGAATATTCAATTGTTGTAGGTGCCTCCTCTTCTTCCTTACCAAGAATAAGTCTGCTTGTTTTCTACAAAACTCTTTGCTTTTGCAGCTTCTTCATCCACTAACTGCCGTTTTATGGTTATCTTGAGGTTATCTTGAGATGATTTTCGGGGCTTAGCATCCTCGTGGCCTGGTCCTCGACCAGGCCTCCTTTTTGTTACACATCCCCGGGAAGCAGCCCATAGCAGCTGTCTAACTCCCAGGTACCTATTTACTGCTAGGTGAACAGCCCCATCAGAGTGAAAGAAACTCTGCCCATTTGTTTCCACCTCCACCGGGGATCGAACCCAGAACCTTAGGACTACAAATCCCAAGCGCTGTCCACTCAGCTGTCAGGCTCCTAGCAGGCTTCAGCAGGTGACTGAAGCTTCTGCTGAGGTAGAAAGGTTATTCTTCTGGTACCCTCTTTGTTTTTCAGCATTGTTCCCAGACTTATTGTACTCTGTTCAATGCTGGTGGTAGGATTTCTCCAGTCTTTCCTTTTTCCTTCCCTGCTTGGGTTAGATTTCGCATTCCTGAATGCTTCCCACACCCTTCCGGGTACAGCTTCAGGGAAGTCAATATTCATGGTTATGCCCCTTGAGGGTTATCTTCTCTATACAAGAAGGACTTAAACACAATTTCTCTTTTAGTTTTTTTTATCTAGTATTAAAAATGTGTTGCATGACTCCTCATCCAAGGTGCCATGGGTTAGAAGCTTTGAATAACCACTAAGAAGGCCAGCCTAGAAATAAAAGCATTGAGTAGAATATAATAAAACACCAGTCATTGGGGGGTCCCTCAGTGGCTTTCCCTTTATTCCCGTTTCCCTTGTTTACCCAAGGATTCAAGGTATTCGTTCAGGCATGAAAATGAAGGGCTGGGTGGTACTGGAGCCTTGGTTTATTAGTAATTATCTGGTGGCAGGAAAGGAAAGCAGCAAAGGAATTATTTGGGTGTTTGGGATAGTTGAGTTTTGTTTGGTATTCATTCATATCAAACATTTATCTGCATGCTGAGCTTTGGTGAGCCTATCAGGGCATTTTGGGTAGGGTTTTCCATCAGTGTGTGTGTGTGTGTGTGTGTATGACACACTCACACTCACACTCAGGGAGCCGGTCGGCCGAGCGGACAGCACGCTGAACTTGTGATCCTGTGGTCCCGGGTTCGATCCCGGGCGCCGGCGAGAAACAATGGGCAGAGTTTCTTTCACCCTATGCCCCTGTTACCTAGCAGTAAAATAGGTACCTGGGTGTTAGCTGTCATAGGCCTGGAGGCCTATGCTGCCATAGCTGGAGGCCTGGTCGAGGACCGGGCCGTGGGGACACTAAAGCCCCGAAATCATCTCAAGATAACCTCATCTCAAGATAACCCCAACCTGTTACTGGGTCTGGATTCTGGTCCCTGCTCCCAGAATGCCATGTAAAAGTTTGAGATGCCTGGTGAGATGGTGTTGGGGCTGGGTACCAGTGAGGAGCTCTGAGGTGCCACTGAGGAAAACCATCCCAGAAAATCGGACAAACATTTGTGAAATAAACTCGATTAAAATGATATGCTGGTTTCCAGGATAAAAAGCAGCATTACAAGGTTGCCTAGACAGCCACCAGTGAAGACTAACATCAGGTTGAGCTTAGAAGCAGAAAAACTCTTTGAAACTCACACACAATTACACTATGGATATTAAAAAAATAAGCTATCATATGGTTCTTTTTTTTTAATGAAAAGCCAGCAATGGAAGAAGGGATCATCTTTTACTACCTCCTTGGTATCTTTGCCATGCCCAACCTAGTTTCTTCACGCACCACCTCAGCATTACAGTACTAGACTCATACCTACCCCATCATATTTACTGTAAAATTCTGGGCATCTCTTGTCTATGTTGGAAATGGTAATGGTGACAAGAGTAGTATTAGGTTGGTGCGGAAACTGGGAGACTTTTCCTGGAGTTGGTGAGGGCGGTGGAGTACAAGGACTCCTGGCACTCGTTGCGTTGCACTTGGAGCTCACATGAGAACTTTGAAGCGATAGACCTATAGAGATATTAATACAGATAAAAATTAATTTGTATAACATTATTAAATTTGAATTAATGCAATCCACCTTTCAAAATTAAGAAAATAATATATGTAACAGATATATTACAGTGCAACCTCAATCTGGTGAACTATATGGGACCAACCCTGATTCATGGCAACAGAAGATGCCTTCAGAGAGATTTCCAGCTGCTATGATGTATGATACATTTTTTAAGACAAGAAAATGTAGTGTTTTATCCATTTCTCCTAATCTTTCCTTCATCTATGAAATTTGTTAAAGATATGATTCAATCTATATTATGAATGCCTTAATATACCCATGTTCTATGGCAGCATTTTTCAACCACTGATGTGGCACATAGGTATGCTGTAGGAGTTTATGGGGAAGTAAAAAACTAGCGTTGAATGTAATGAAACGCCATTTTCTGGGCGAGTCCCGGAGGCTCCCCGGAGCTATCCAGGCTGATATGGATATCCCTAACTTTAGCATCAGTCAATGTGAGTGGAGTTCTAGGCCTACCGGGGACCATGAGCCAGAACCTGGCCCCCCTCCCCCCCTCAGAGAGGCACGGGGAGCAATGGCCCATAGAATGCACATATGATTTTGGAGCATTCTATATCTGCCATTGACCAGGACAGGCACCCAGAAAGGTAAGCACCACAAAACAAATCCCTATTCTGGTTAAAAATAACAAAAATAGACAAACGAGTGGACAGAACTCCCCAACTGGAAACGAGCAAACAAGCTTGATGTTACACAAGCCGCGCAGCGTGTCTGCGCAGCTCCCCCCTCCCCGGGAGGGGGAAGGGGGAGCCCCAGACCCCCACGCCAGCGATCCACTCCATCAGTTTCAAGGTTGGATATCAAAATACGCGAAAAAATCAGCGTTGAATGTAATGAAATGCCATTTTTTGGGCGAGTCCCGGAGGCTCCCCAGAGCTATCCATGGCTGATATGGATCTCAATCTGTTGTACCATAGTGTTGTTGATATGATAGTTGTGACATGCTTTGTTATGCTGAACATGCAAGGTCTTCCATTTTTTCAATACTGAAAAGCATTTACCAGTCTTCCGACCATTTGTGGAGTTCATGTAATAAGGCTTAGTAAGGCTTCAATATCATTTTTAATTTCCATTGTACCATAAATCTTAAACATCGTCTACAAATTTGATGATGTAGTTTGTTATATTCTCATCTGTCACTGATGTATATGACTAAAAAGTTGGCCCCAAGATGGAGCCTGATGGTATTCAATTCAAATAAGTTTTTCCAGTCATTAATTTCCATTTAGGGCGACCCTTTGCTTTTTTTGTTTTACCCATTGTTTTACAGATATACAATAGTATGCAAAGTTAGGATTATTAGTCGGTAATTTCTGTCAACGTTTTACCGTTTTTTATTTTAAGACAGGGGTGACATTTACATATTTCCAATCTAGGGAGACATTCCTTTGGTTTAGATATTTTCAAATAGGAGTTTCTATGGTACACAGTTCTTTGGCTAGTTCCCTTATGATTTTGGACTGAATTCCATCCACACCCGCAGCTTTGGATTACTTTAATTTGTCAGTGCTCTTCTTGATTGTTTCGCACATTATGGAACTATCTCTTAATTCATTCTCTTCATGTACATCAAACACTTGTGTGTGTGTGTGTATTGGGATATTGTCTAATCTTTCTTGGGTGACACTGATACAAAGTATTCAGAGAGTTAGCTGCCTTTTTATTATAAATTATAACTTTGTTGGTTTTATCTTTCAAGGGTCCTACCAAGTCTTTTGTCTTGGTTTTACTTGTTATATAGGCATACAAAAATACTTGGAATCTTTCATAATGTTTTGGGCATGTCTCCTTTCAGTTTTGAGCAAGCCTCCTTTCACCGTTCTGTTTGGCTGATCCAACTTCCTGGGTAGCCAAGTTTAATAACCTTTGACCTGTATATCTCATAATCGATGTGCAGCCTCAGGAAGATAGGACACTTCTTCCTGAGGATGCCCATTGTTGCTATACCTTATAAGGACTTTTGTTATCCAGTCTGATCCTTTTAGTTTCCTTCAGCTAGTTGGCTCATAATTTTTAACAAGTTCAGGATGACCTGCCTAAAATTTTCTTATGACGCTTCCACGTTTTGATCTATCAACTCCCTCCAGAAGGTATTTTACAATTCCTCTCTCAGCCTATGATTATCTCCTTGAAAGTTGTCTAGAAAGTCATCATCCCGAACCTTTTAGAAGGTTTTTATAAGAGTCCTCAAGACACATTCTGGCTGTAATTACCTGTTCACCTACCATGACCAGCAACATTTCTACAAATCTGGTCATGTAGTTAGAGAAGGGAAACAAGAGCATATTGAAACAAAATTCAATAATTTATTTCAAATGGAGTTTGACAGTTTCATTTAGTTAACGAAGACCATAACAAACCCTTGTAAGTTCTAACCAAGACAGTGCAAGTTATATGTATGTTTCAATATATTTACTGCCTGTGTAGGTTGGGAGTAGCCTGTATATACATTTGATGTCACCAAAACCTACTAGGTGTCCAATCTTTTACCCTTATCCTACACTACGACTTAATCAGAGAATCAATTCATACAAAAATAAAGGCTTACCTCTTATTTTTTTTTTAGGAGTAACAGAAGGCTTCTGCAATGCTTTAAAGAAAGGTTTCTCCATTTTCAGCTCACTGGGAAGTGATGATAATGCTAAATAAGCATGATGAGGCTGCCAAAATTCTGGACATGAGGTAGATATATACTGGGGGGTACTGTGCTCATGAAAGGAGTGGCTGTGTGAGCAGTATGAAGAGTGATGGTTGGAGCATGATGTATGGGCATCTGTTGCTGCCTCCAATACTGTATCTGACTTCATTAGGAATCTGTGCTGTGTACTACTGTCTGATTGCTGCAGATCTTCCATCATTAATGATCGAAGAGTTACCTGTAAGAAAAAAAATATGCAGTGAACCCCAAACTCATTACTGCATATTACTGTGCATTACTGCATTACTGTGTATGTGAAATTCATTAGTAAGGAAAATTCATTAATTTAAAACAATATAAAAAATTAACTTATATTAACAATATAAAAAATTAATTAACTTTATATCCTGAGTACTATTGAATTCAGATTCCCAGTTTATATCATGAAGTGCATTTACGAGGTTCCCTATTGCTGCTTTGCTGTGTAGTCTAGAGGTTAAAGGTAAGTATCTTGGTATCCGAGGGTGTTACGTCAATGTTTGTTGAGAGGAAGATAGGATAGTGATTGACTGTTGGTGATTATACCAGAGGCAAGGGAGCTGTTATGTTATTACATATGTGGTCCAGAGTCGAAGCAGATGTTTGAGTAATTTGTGTCAGCTTGGTGATTGTGGGGATTAGCATACAGGAGTTCATGCTGTTTAGGAAGTATTTGACTTTGGGGCTATTTTATTGACAAAGGTCAATGTAGAAGTCACTTCCTAGAATGACATGATTTTTTTGGAGTTTGTTGTTTATGATTAGGTTCCTTATATTATCTGAGAATGCAATTGTATTAGTATTTGGAAATCTATAAATAGCTCCAATAATTATTGACAATGTAAGGGATTTGACCGAGAATTGAGCAAAGGTATATTCACAGTAGTCGTCTCTATTGCTAATAACACTTCTGCAAGTATAGTTACCTTAATAATATAAAGCTGTACCACTGCCTTTTTTATCATGCCTACAGTTGTGAATGGCTTTATATCCAGCTAAACTGTATAGTTGGGTATGGTCTTTAATTAGCCATATTTCTATTAAAATAATGAAAGATAGTTTAGAGTCCAGTGCTTCAAGTAGCACACTAATGTCATCAAAATGTTTATCAAGTGATCAGACATTTTGGTTGAATACTGATAGGTTGAGTTATTTGACTTATTTTTTTGTAAAATTTGCTGTGTAGTAACTGCAATAGTGATGATCAATGCACTGGTTATTGTAGATATGTGATAACAGATTAAGATCAGGGTCAATGGTAGTTTGCATGAAGCAAGAACGGAGAAGATTTTAAGGACATTCTGATTAGAATATGGGGGAGATGTGTGACAGTAAATTACAATAAAAATGTTAATGAACAATTGCTATAAAAATTTAAATTAAAAAATAATCACAGTGAGATGGAAGTGGAATATAAAATTGAAGGCATATGATTGGTAATAAAATAAACTTAGCAAAATTACTCAAATTACTCTAGAATAAAATAGTAATAAAAATAAAAATAATCCCAGTTGAATAATAAAGCTTAGAAGCAATCACAAAAAAAATCTAGATATAAAAATCTAAATAACTATAGCAAAAAATGCAAATACTGATCACATATAATAGTAACAAGTAAGTAAAATAAGAATCAATGTAATTAGACAAGAAGGATACAGATGACTAGGGGAAAAAATTGATTCAATTAAGATTGAAAAGGATAATATTCTATACTGAGATAGACAAGATTAATATTCTATTCCTTTTAAACAAGTAATAAAACATTCCTTTACTCATTTTGTGTCTGAACCGACCACCTTTCCCAAGCTTTCACATGCGTCCTCACCCCCCAAGAAGCTAGATATAGTTTCTCGGGCTGCTTACTGCGACACCACAAGACTCTGTACACTGTCATGACCCACACCTGCATGACCCAATACAATATGTGTAATCTGTGTGTACTCATGGCTATTGAAAGCCTTCCCTTCCCCACCATTTTATTACACAGAAAATAATCAAACATTTTGCCACGATGGCTTCCAAAGTTGCAGGTAATGTGATAGCCAAGGCCTCAACTAGCAGCAAACTGAAGAAGAAATACTGTGATAACTAGACATCAAATCCATGCATCTGAAACTAACTGAAACAATCTGAAACAAACACATCTGAAACAAACTGGTGGCAGGGTTGCTGATTCAGGAGAAAGCCAAGTATTTCCACCAGGTAATGAACATTATCAAGCCAAGTATAAGCACTGATTGGAAATTAGGGCCAGAACTGCCTGCCACCTGGTAGCATATGGAGGGGAGGGGATGGAAAGCATTGTGTTCCATCAGGAGTGTGCATGGAAATTGAATTCAGAGTGTAATGATATGACTCTTCCTGGGCACTGTCTCAGTAACTCGTATTCCCACCTTATCTTTCCAATTCTTAATCATTGCATCTGGACTGGAGAGTGAGGTGTGCTAATTATGTAGACCAGGGGTGGGTTGAGGGGCCACCTAGTGGCACAAGGGCAAAGTTGTGGGCTCTGCTTGTGTAGTAGTTATCAAGAAATGTTATGGTAGTTCCACACCTTCCCCCAAACATTTCTCAGACTAAGTGTGAGTGTCTTCTAGCCTCCTTTAGTTGTATTTAGGGCAATTTGATTCAGAATTTAGTTAATCTCTGTCATATCCTCCATACCTCATGGAGGGGGCAATGGGACATCAAGTAATGTAGGTTCTTGTTCCTAGTAGGCAATAAATCTCTCATAGATACCCGATGTTGCCTAATCTAACAATGTAAAGGCCAGTGATATTGCTCACAAGGCATTGAGGCAGTGCCCAGAAAGGGGCATTCCATTACATTAAATCATCTATAGTCTTTGTTACTGAATGTCATTTGAATGCTTGATGCCTGCAAATGAAACAATGTTCATGATATAATGGCAAAGTAACAGTTTGGTTCTCACCTGAATGCTTGTTTTGTAAGGTTCACACGACTCGTAAGTAGCTTTTAATTCTTCCAGAAGAAGATTGACCAGTGGTTTTTCTTTCTCGCCAACATCTCCACGGAGCTCAATACACATGCTTGGTACAGAAAATGACCCTGTCATGGATAATAAAAATTTATAGTAATGTATTAAAGTTGGAATTACAGTACACAAATTAAAATAACATTTGGAACAAAAATATATTTGTATATTATTTAAAAAAAATAGAAAGAAAAGAATGCAAATAAGGCATTTAGTATAAATGAAATACTAATGTCCGAGCTGGGCAACATCCCACTCCCTCCTGGGTATGTTACCTTTCGTCTTTTGACGCAGCAGTGATCTTTTTTCAATGCCCCTGCCAGGCCATAAGAGAAATAAGACACCAAAATCTTCTCAATCCTGTCCTGAATGAACATCAAAAGGAAAATTCCTCAACATTCATCCTCTAGTCTACTTGTATATTGGACGATATACTTTGATGGAAGTCTTCTTGTTTTCATTACCCAATTCCTTTATGTATGTCACAAAGTAAATGTAGTACATTCATGAACATAAATCCTGGTAGGGAGTCCCGATAGAACAGTTGGCTTTGTTCTCAACTAAATATTGGGAAATCCGAGTTTGAATCCCAGGCGGGACAGAAATGATTGGACACATTACCTATCACCTAATGCCTGTTCACCAAACAGTAAATAGGTACCCAGGAGTTAGTCAGCTTGTTGCATCCTGGAAAGGGTTAGTAATTCAACCTTAGAGGATTTTGATATAAGCCTAACATGTATATAAACACTGGTTGCCTATCTCCTGACACAGTGAATTATTCAATTAATATTATGTTCCAGTTAGCATTTACCAAGACTAATTAATAACAAGAATAATGTACAAACTAGATACAGATAAGGATAATGAGAATATTTAGCATTTTCTAAAGGTAGTGCTAACGGCACCCAAATGTCCATTCTTACCTTTCACTGCTATCAAGGCTGCATTAGTCTCAGCTGAAGCCCGTACACTCTCTGACTGATGACGTTTCTCTGATGCAACACTGGTAACTTCTTCACGCACAGAGCCTAAGACACAAGCACTGAATTGCATTACTGATTACTTATGATTAAACAATGAAAATGTTTTGCTAAACTATAACCAAAGATTAAAATGATTAAAGAATTGATCCAGCACCAGCTGTCAGATTTCTGAATCTGAAATTTTCACTACATTAACAAAAGCACAAATTTATTACAAAGGCTGAATTTCTATAGAAAGGACACAGCATACTCACTGAGACCCGGTAGATCTTTTGTTTGTTCCATGTCAGTGAATGACAGATTGGACAAGGTCTTCACTACCTGTCTGTACTGCTGACGAGAAACACTAATTTTCAGTGGAGTTATAATACCACCATCAATCTGTCAAATAAATACCCAATGTTACTATTGAGCATGAGCACAATTCAAACTACTTGACCATCATTATTCATTACACAAGTTCCACCTCATGTATTTAAATACTGTACTGAATGTTACATTCTGGACTGTACCTGGATAGGGTTGTGGGAGTTCTACTCCCAAAGCCCAGCATGGGGCCAGGCTTGACTTGTGAGAGCTGTCCATATTTGTTAAGCAATATTTCTTATAATCGCTAGGAGGATGTTGAAGAACTGTGAACTTCTGATGTTTATACAGTGCTCTCTGATTGTGCCTATGGCACCCCTGCTCTTCACTGGTTCTATTCTGCCTTTCCTTCCCCCCATCATTCACTCCAGTATGTTGTTCTTTAACTGTGTATATTTAGGACCTGGCCCTCCAGTATTTTCCCATGTGTATATTATTTGATACCTCTCATCTCCTTTTTAGGTAATACATCTGGAAAGGTTTGAGGAAATGAGCAGAAGTGACATCCACCTTGAACGCAAACAGAAGCGACATCGCCAGCACCGCACGATAAGAAGCAACACTATTCGGCATAAGATGCCAGTCCTGAAAAATCAAAATAAAGAAAGGACAAAACAACACGATCAGAAATGGATGACAGTCTCCTACAAAGAGAAAGGAAATGGGGAAAAAACGCCAGAAGACTTCATACTGTCGCCGAGAAGAAGATCGCGGGTGGGACACCATCAAAGAACCCACTTGATCACTATACAAATGGTGATACGCTCTCGTCAAAAAACACCAAATGCGAATAATAGGGCAAACCAGTAAGGTATCTCACTGACCCGACTTGCTGCAAGAGGCGGAGCCCGAGAGAAAACTCTCGGGTTCGGACAACGAGCAAACAGGTTCAGACGGGACAAGTCCAGAATGAACTGAAGATCTGCGCAGTCCGTTTCGGAACTGGGAACAAGCGAGAAACCCATTTGAGGGACAAGGACGTTTCAACCACACCCAAGCACACCCACTCCAAAATAACCCAACAAAGTGATGGGGAGGAAGCCTGCCCCACCAACCCCGAACCCCCCAGAGGAGGAGCCACCCAATGCCACCGAAGGCCGGTTGACACCACCTGAAATGCCCACAAATTGTGGGACCAAGCATGTGGAAACAGTCAGGCGCCCCCCTGCCTTACCCTGTCAACAGGGAGACCCGCGAAGGGCCGACATAACCCCTGAGAAGCCGACCTTCGAGCAGAGTGAGCATGGTGTCGACCAAATGAAGAAGGCCCCAGAGGAAACACCGGCTCAGAATCTGGCACCAAGGGCCCACCTCAAACTACCAACACCCGAGCCCTGGCATGACCCCCTCTGGGAAGAGCAAGAATGAATCCCCCACCCTTCCCGGAGCACCAATAAATCAGAAATAGGACAGCAACTGGAGGACGCCGTAGTCAAAAAGTCAAAATGGGTCTGAAAACAACAACGGACAAAATAAAGTTGGAGATTGAAGAGCCAGGGCCCAAGTGGAGTCAAGAGAGAGAGAGAGAGAGCAAAGATGGCCTGTCTTCACGTGTGAGGCATAAAGCATGGAAACCGCCTCTCGGAGAATAGACCCAAACAGCTTCAGTAATGCCGCAACACCCAAGCCGCCGAGACCAGTTTAGTAGTCGAAGGCCCAGCACTCAACACCTCCAATGTCCTCCGAAAGCCTGTCTGAAGATAGCTCGAGAAGAATGACTGCGAGCATGATGATCCTCACAACCAAGGCAGCTGAAAGAACAGACCTGAGCATGCAAATGCAGCAACCCAACCTCATGAGAAAGTGCAGAGGCATGAAGGTACTTATTGAGGAACTCAAGAGAGCCCCTCAGAATACCTGTAATACCAAAGAAACCTCATGCCACTCAAGCGCACAGGTATGACAAAACCCGTGCCAAGTCCCAAGAGCAAAGAAATGGCAGTCTGCCAGCCATGAAGATCCAGGAACCTCATAATGCATCCAATATGGGGACGAGGAACTGAACTCAAAAGAGGCTGGGTCCAAAAGAGGTGAATTCTGGGTCTCGCAGGAAATCCAAGAGGCAGAAAAACTCCAGAAGGATGAGTCCGAAACCCAAAGGAACCCAGAAACGTACCCGGGGGGAGGGGGGGAGGGGGGCCTAAATCAAATTCGTACAGGGAAGGGGGATACGAAAACCCCTCACCCTCAAACAACAAACACTGCCTCGAAGGTACCAAAACCCAGGCAGGGTCAAACAGGGTCCACGAGCCCCAAGGCAACTTCCCCGATGCCTCTGGAACCTCCGACACAGGCCCCGGGGCAGAACCCACATCCATACACACCACCCCTAAAGAAAAGGTGGAGTCCAAGGAAAAAGCCTCCAAGAAGGGGGTCTGATGGGAGAACCCAGAAGTCTCAGCAGGACAATTGGGTTCAACCGCCTCCGTACCCGCATCAAATGGGGCAGCCCATGAAGCTGCCCAAGCCTCGTCCTAAGCAAAACCTCACCCTGACTCTGTAACCCTCAGACATTTGGGAACTGGAAACAGTGAAGGAAGGAGCAGGGCCCACCTCTGGGCCCAGGAACCATGCCCACTGGGAATGGAATCGGGAAAGCTGGCAAAACCAAGGTTGAAGCGACGAACATCCCAAATTGCGGGTCCCTAAGACCAAAACGGAGCAGCTCTGAGGCATCCAATCAGGCCACAAACCGGGTGCATTGCAACAACAAAAACCTAAACTGCAACGCAGCCGCTGCCTGACCCCTAAGTTCCTCCGAAGACGAACGGGTAAGCTGGAGAATGATCAGGGAACATGTCCTACGTGACTCTGGGTTGTAGGTGTCCCCAACCCAACAAGCAGCATGATAGAGGCAGAACAGATGATCGTCGCCTTGAGACAAAGGCAACGAACAATCTTCAAACTTGCACAAAGCGAGTGGGGATCCGAAAGACATCTATAGCTGCACCGAGCCCCAATGGGTTTACCAGGCACTGCAGTAGTAATCCCAATGGGGAGCCCAGGCACTGGTGTAGCTAAAGCCGGTTGAACTCGGTCTAATACCGAGCAAACTGACCCCAAGAATCCATGCGTGCAACCTTGAGGGGTCCAGAGGAGAGACAAAGGACAGATAAAAAGATATTTTTTATTAATATCACTCTAAAGTGTCCGGAGACGCGACAATTTCTTATGAAATTGATGCGATATAACACAACCTAGGCAAACCTAATCAGAAGCTAGGTAGACCTCCTCCAGGAAAAACAGAAAACTAGAAACCATCGAAAGTACACCACAACAACCAGAGGCCAGAGAGAGAGAGACAGTTACCGCGATTATGCAAGCTGCACAAAATACTGTGTGCCCCAGCCAACAATAACAACACTCCATACCCAGGGCCAGACGAAGAGCTCCACATCCCCTACAGAACCCCCAAGGGTGAGGTTAATGATAAGCAACACCAACCTCAACAGAAGTGAAGTCCTGAATGCCCCAGGGGAAGAAAACCCAGAATATGCAGGGGTAATACCTACTGGACGCCTAGGGAAAGGAACCCCTAAATGCATGCAGCCCGAATACACAATAACATTTGGCCAATGCCCAAACACAGCAGGCACAACCACACAGGGCAAAATCCTGACAGGAAAATGAGGCCAGTGAAAACGTCTGCTCTATATAACATCAGTTGACAAACTGCCAATGTCAGCGCTTGGTCTCCCGGGCGGAGCCCTTTCCTACTCCCAGGGGTGGAGGGGGTTGCTAACGAGCGGGCACGCTGGCTGAGTGGATATCGATTGTTTCCTCTTGGGAGGAGTTGTTGGGCTCTGTTCGGTCTTGGGCTGCAATGTTTTACCAGTTGGGGTTTGTAATATGTAATTGTAATTTTGCGCCTACCTTCCTGGGTAATACCCTTGGTCGATGACAGACATGACTATACTCTCACAAAGTGGAGTGTTCATAACTCATTGCTCCCTTCGCTTCTCTGAGAGAACCAGGTTCTGACTTGTAGTTCCCGGTAGTCTCAAAACTCCAATTAACTGATGCTCTTGACTAATATAATGGCTATCAGTCCATTAGCTTCGGGGAGCTATAGGAGCTCCCTCTAGAAACCATTAGAGTAGCAGCATTTCAGTTCAATATTAATCATATTCAATATATAATTTGCATTTCGTATTAGAAGCAGTATTATAATAAATTACATTTAATGCAGAAGTATTCAAACAAATGTTTTGCTTTAGTGTGGTCATAGACAGTTACTACAGGTTGTGTCACTTACATTTAGAGAATCACGAGATGCTGGATGGGGGTCAAGATCCACAAAAATATCATTGGGGAAGAAGAGACCAGCATCATGGTCTGCTAGAAGAAAAGCTGCTTGCTCATGTTTGAGTCCTAGCTCAAGGGTGGTGCTGTGTAATATTGGGTGCCCATGATCCCGGCAGCTATACAACTCCTCTGCACACATCACAGTTGTTGACAGAGGACTAAGGAAAAGAAAAATGTTTCTTATATAATACTGAATCTACACTATAGTATTTATAACAAATATTTTCAATAAAAGATATTTAGAGTTAGTCAATTAAGCAATATTAAACATATAAAAATCTTAAAGTAAAATATAATATTTGGGGCAAGTCATTTCTCCGGCTGGTCACCGGTCTCCGGACATGGGTGCCAAAAATAAACCTGAAGTGCCCGTACCAGTGCATAAAATAAAACCTCAAAAATGCCAGGAACTTTTCATATATATACTCCAAAAAGATCTTGAAACATCTAATGGAAATCAGTTATGAATAATTATAATTTAATTAGTGTTTCCATGACTCGGTATACGCTTCTTACAAAAATCAGAAGTTAGTTATTTTTTTGTAATCGTAAAATTTAAGAGGCTATACACACTTTATTTAATTTATTCTAATTTGATTTTCAGAGGTACTCTCCATCAATAAACAGCATAACACAAAGGGTAGACACCTAGAAAGGTTCATTATGAGTAATGAATCGTGTCTGAAAACAGGAGCAAAAATCAGTCCTATTTCCAGCCTCTGAATACTAAAGCCAAGAATTTCCAAATCAATTGAAAATGTCACCAATGCATGCCCATACACTATGTAACCTTGCATATACTATATTCAGATTTTAATGGTCTTAATGGTAATGCAGGAATTGCCCACCAAACACTGGGACAGCTGGTACCTGTCTCCAACAACCAAGACACTAGGCTCTGGACACCCACAAGAACAAGCATTCAAGGATTGGGTATGTTATTTTAGGGGGTTACCTATTTGTATAAAATGAAGGGAGGTATAACGAAGACCATATTAAACATGGTTATAATGGCAAAATTTCCTAACAAGTGGGGTGCTATGTCTCAACATTTAGAGACCAGTGGAAAGGCATCAGCACACTGGCATGTGTGACTAACTCAAGCACCACAATTTTGGTTAGCATCTCAAAGGGTGCTGCATGTGCATAAAATTGCAGTAAATTTAATGTAACAACTAACTACAACTAATGAACAACTAAACTGTACTACAGTACAGTACACTGTACTGTACTGTGTTTTGTAAATTTTGTAAATAAAAATTATTTTTTATTAATATCACTCTTAAGTGTCCGGAGACAGGCGACATTACCCCAGAAAGTTGTGCAAGTGGAATGGAGAGAAAAGTAGAGATAGGGGACACAGGGAGAGAGGAGAGGAGAGAGGAGAGGAGAGAGGAGAGGAGAGAGGAGAGGAGAGAGGAGAGGAGAGAGGAGAGAGGAGAGGAGAGAGGAGAGGAGAGAGGAGAGAGGAGAGGAGAGAGGAGAGGAGAGAGGAGAGGAGAGAGGAGAGGAGAGAGGAGAGGAGAGAGGAGAGGAGAGAGGAGAGAAGAGAGGAGAGAAGAGGGAAGAATGATTGGGGGAAGAATGGAGTGGAAGAGGGAAGGGGAAGGTAGAGTGGTAGATAAGAAAACGGGCAGACATGATGGGTGAGGAAGCAGAGATTAGTGTGAACTGTGCACTGGATATTATGAATATTCTTATGAACAAAAGAGCCCTTGCCCCCACTGCTGTACATATATTAGATATTAATGTGTGGACACATAGATGAAGGAAAATAATGAGCGTAGGCAGTAAGTGTACAGCTGGTGAGGTGTCGGTAGGGTAGGACTGCACATACAAGAACATGAAATCTACTCTCAAAGGAAGTTGAGAAAAAATAGAAGTCTGTATAAGGTATGAAAATATTTAAATATATAGTTGAATAAATATTGCAAAAACATTATTGCATGTTTTCTCACAACATTCATATAAAAGTATTAAAATAGTACTGTGCTGTACATAGATATTTACAACTACAAACATTTGAATTTCAATTTTATGGAACATAATATTCAGTTAATAGATTAAAACAGCAGACAATAATAGAAGACATTAATAAGTATTGTAAATGAATGATCTGAGGAAACATGTAGAACTGAAACAGGATCCTCCCCAGTCATTGTGAAATCTCTATCGATATAACTACAGTATGATGAAATGTCTCCATCAGACCAGTTCAGGCACTGTCTTCTTGCATTTTGCATCTACACAGTTATTTTCAGGACTATTTCCAGCTGGGAAGAACCCTGGAGCAATCTCGTGACATATTATGCTACACAGTTGGCAAAGATGATACTGAAAAAAAGCAAGTGCAGTACAAACAACATACTTTACAATAGAACTGCATATACGACTGACTCAGGAGAGCAGAAGTTGCAATTACAAAGAGAAATACAAACTGACTTGTTAATACTGTAATGCATCTTTACTTACGCTATGATCAACAGCTGGTTGCTAAAAGAAAAAGCAGAGGTTAAAATCCCTGACATTGTGTATTACTCTAGAATTGATGTGAATTTGACAAAGTTTAAGACAGTATTGGTTACTATAAATTAATTATATTCCTAACTTATGCACACAGTATAACTCGTTTTAACTAACACATTCTGTATCAGTATTAAAAGTATATTAAATAAATATTCAAGGTCTATATACTTCTTTACGGTATACAAGGACAGAAGAGAAAAAAACACCAACGTTGAACGTAACGAAAGGCCATTTTCTGGGTGAGACCCGGAGGCTCCCCAGAATTTACTGGGCTGATATGCAAATGTCAGACTTTGGCATCAGTTATGTGCAAGGAGTTCTTATGGGCCTACCGGGGACCACAAGCCAGAACCTGGTCCCCTCTAGAAAAGGCAAGGGGAGCAATGGCCTATAGAAACCCCCGTGTGGTTGGAAGCATTCTATGTCTACCATCGACCAGTTGAGTCACCCAGAGAGGTAAGCATCCCAAAACAAACCCCTATTCTGGTGAAAATTGCAACCAAAAGCCAAACGAGTGGATAGAACTCCCCAAACAAAAACTAGCAAACTAGTATGATGTCACCCGTCACCGTGCCGTCATCTGCGCAGCTCCCCCCTCCCCAGGAGGGGGAAGAGGAAGCCCCAGACCTCCCGCGCCGGCGATCCACACCCCAGTTCTGAGGCTGGATATCAAAACACGCAAAAAAAAAAAAAAAAAAAAAGTCAACCGGAGGGAGGCAGGGATGCTGGGGGAGCCTCCACGTCTCACCCAGAAAATAGCGTTTCATTCCATTCAACGCTGGTTTTCTGGGGGGAGCCCCTATGGCTCCCCGGAGCTAACTACCCCCACAGAGAAAAAGAATAGGGACTTACCCGGGAGGTGTCAGTCACACCTCAACTCAAAGTCGAGACAACTGGCTGCATCCGCTTACCCAACGTGACACAGGCCTGACTGGGCCCAGGGACGTTAACAAGGTAACGAGCAGCCAGTACCCCTGTTCGACCGCCAAAATCCCCACGCCCCAAAATCAGTCCAAGACATATTGCCAAAGACGGCGGCAAGAGCCGCGAACTTGCGAATGTCATGGGCGCGGGGATAGATCGCAGGCTGGCTAGCCTTAACAGTATCGCTCTCTTTGGACACCGATCATGTCCATTTTTTTTTCTCTTGAGTCTTAGCCGTAGACAGGACTTGCGTCCACTACAAAAATATTTGTATAAAATTCATTTTTTATCCGATCGACCTCGGAATAGTTTCAAAATAAGCGCCTTTAGAATGTGCACAATTTGATACCAAAATGAAAGATGTAAAACAAAACTTGATGTCAGAACACTTGAAAGATTATAAATACGTTTTTGGGTCTAAATTTTAAATTTTAAAATATTTGTTAAAATTTTATTTATTGTGCTATTATTATGGGATTAGTTTTAAAATGCGGGCCTTTATAATGCGAACAATTTGATAGCAAAACAAGCGATGTAACATGAAAATTGATGTCAGAACACTGGAAAGATATAAATAATTTTGATGATGATCGTCCAAAATTAAACTATGTTAAAATTCCAGTTATTGCTCTATTATTATGGGACTAGTTTTAAAATGCGCACCTTTATATTGCAAACTATTTGATACCAAAATGAGCAATATAACACTTACCCTCTTACCCTTACCTCCTACCCTAGGGGAGCCGGTCAGCCGAGCGAACAGCACGCTGGACTTGTGATCCTGGGTTCGATCCCAGGCGCCGGCGAGAAACAATGGGCAGAGTTTCTTTTACCCTATGGCCCTGTTACCTAGCAGTAAAATAGGTATCTGGGAGTTAGTCAGCTGTCACGGGCTGCTTCCTGGGGGTAGAGGCCTGGTCGAGGATCGGGCCGCAGGGACATTAAAAAAACCCGAAATCATCTCAAGATAACCTCAAGATAGGAAGGTAAACGAGGGAGACAAAATATCCAAGTACCCAAAGGGCGGCCGAAAAACTGAGCAGTGAAACGGACCCACAGAGGCAGATTCCAAGCAACCTGTGGAAGGTAACCCCAAGCTCCAAGGGCAGTATTTACAGGGCACCTAGGGAAGGGAATCCTAGGCACATGCAGCCCGAGTACGGAAGAGAAACTCCTGGCTCTCGCACCCCTGGAGAACAGCCGCCACACACAAGGCACAGTGCTGCAAAAGTCTGGAGTCAGATCACACAATCGCTGCCTATAGCATCAGCCGAAGAACTGGGGTGTGGATCGCCGGCGCGGCAGGTCTGTGGCTCCCCCTTCCCTCTTCCGGGGAGGGGGGGAGCTGCACAGACGACGGCGTGGTGACGGGTGACATCATACTAGTTTGCTAGTTTTTGTTTGGGGAGTTCTATCCACTTGTTCGGCTTTTGGTTGGAATTTTCCCCAGAATAGGGGTTTGTTTTGGGACACTTACCTTTCTGGGTGCCTGCCCCCAGTCGATGGCAGACATAGAATGCTTCCAACCACACGGGGGTTTTTATAGACCATTGCTCCCCTTGCCTCTCTAGTGGGGGCCAGGTTCTGGCTCGTGGTCCCCGGTAGGCCCATAAGAACTCCATACACATGACTGATGCCGAAGTCTGACATTAGCATATCAGCCCAGTAAGCTCCGGGGAGCGGTAGGGGCTCCCCTCAGAAAAATAACCTCAAGAGACACATGCACATCTAATGTTCTTGTAAAATATCAAGCACCTTCTAAAGAACTCCAATTTAAACTATGAATGTCTCAGTAGCAAGAAGACAATCGAGAAGGTATTCCCATGCAAGCATATTTTACAATAACAATATGGTACTGTATTGTTAATACACGAGGGTGCTATGATTACAGTTAGCTGTAATGAACAGGGAGTGGTGGTGGTGGTGGTGGCTCTGACAGCAGTGAAGTGGCTGTGGTGGTAGTTATAACCCATAGTTGGTAAGTCTCAATTTTGCATTAGGTCTTCCCTAGTAGGTAACTCGTGAGCTTCATCTTCACTACATCCAAACACTTACTTTTTTCAACAGCTGCTTAGTTTTAACACTTACTTTTGGTGCATGTCTTCTGCTCAAGGTTATGGAAGCCACAACTCATTTTGGCACAGCATTAAACAAGGTTGGGGATCATTTGAGATTCAAAGAAAGCAATTCTGTTATGCTGTCCACCAACACTGTTCAGGTTTTTGGACAGTTTGGGACTGGAGCTTTGTCTCCAGTTGTCCCCTTAACTGGTTAGGGGTGTATGGTTCTCCTTAGTTGCAGAAGGTGCATAGTTTTATGTACTTATCTGTCAGGATTCTGGCTGCTGTCTTTGTTGGCCTGTCTTCCATGCATTTGGTTGTATGCGTTTGGTTGTACTGCCTATGGCAGTCTAGCTTCACAGGGTAGCAAATGTTCTCATGGTTATTCTCTTCTGCTTCTGCCTCCTCATGGTGCAGGGTGTGGTAGAATCAAATTATTTTATGTGGTTTTGTGATAAGTTTGGAAGGGCCCAGTTGGATTTTTTTTCCATGGATTTGGAGCCATCAACCCCTAGTAAATGTAGTGACATTTCAGACTGAGGTTCTCAGTAGATGCCTTTCAGTTGGAGTGGTCCTAGTGAGATTTTGATTCTGTTGTTCCAATATATTTTCTTCCTGTGCCTTCCAGTTTGGAAAATTTTGCTGGTAGCATTCTCCTCATGTTTGCTTTGTGAGTGGTTCACACATGCTTCCTGGCCCTTTCATGTATTTGCCCCAAGTTCTTTTTTTTATGGTCTTACCTCTCCTTGCGTTCACCATTTGCCACTCATACTTCACAAGGTCTCAAACCTTCTGTTCAGAACTTTGCCGAGTCTCTGTTGCCATTATTGTGGCCTTTTCATCAGCCCTTATGACTATGTTTTGACTTTCTATTCTCTCAGGTCACTCAGGTTTTCACTAAACAACAGGGATTTCAATCTGGGCTCTTGCAAGCTTATCCTGTAACTGGATTCAAGTCTCGCCTTCACCATTATCTTTTCAGTTTCCAGCTGCTGTCTGGCATGGCGAGTCGAGCAATCATGTAAGAATCCTCCAAGCCATTCAACTTTAAAGAGCTCGTCATTCTTTTGGTCCGGTGGATCAGGATCATTGGTTGCAGGCAACTTCTTCCTTCCTTGTCATGAGTGACTGCTAGTTTACAACATAGCACTTTGATCTTTGTGGCTTCTGTCTAGTGGTCACAGTTTACAGAATTTGCAGGTAACTTGAGCTTGTCATGCGGAAGCTTTGTTTTTCCACTCTTGGTCCCTTCTTTCCTGAACCTTCCCTCATTTTTCTATGGCTGTAGCAATTGAATCTTTCTGGTCTACTTTTTCTTTTCTCGGCTTTTCACCTGTAATGTGATGGTCTTGTCACATCCTCTCCCAACATGTTGACAATCATCATTTGGATTTAAGGTTAGGAGTGTTCCAGTAATGATGGTGACCACATACCTTCCCATCATATTTCGTTCTCTGCACTACTGTGTGACTTTGGGAAAGGTTACATGATACACGTCCATGAGCCCTCCTCCACATCCAGTTGCACCTGACATCAAGGGTGTTAACTTTTTGGGTAAGTTCATTCTCTTCTTTGAATTATATGTATTTCCCACTTCAGGTTCCCATGTCTATGTTGAGGTGTGGGTTTCTTATGTAAGACACCATGCAACTATGATATGTTCAAGAACACACACACACACAGTGTAGGTTTGCATGTTTACCAAAACTCATACATGTGTCAAAACTATTTCTTTGTTAGTGCTTCCACTATATTTTACTCAACAATGCCACTCTTCAGGCCAAAAAAGGTGTCCAGCAGCTAATCTTCATCAATTAATCTAGATTTTACCTTACGCCATTACTGACATCCTCATTTAAGTCATCTTTGTTCCACTGTATATCTTATATTTGACTCTTGGAAAAAAAAAAAAAAACCTCACTGCCACTTCAGCTTTTCAGCTCATTAAATCAAGTATTTTACCTAATTCTGAGTTCTAACCCCCATTTAACTTTCATGTCAGTCATGCACAATGCAAAGCCTAAACTTTAATATAGTTTTTACAAAATATAATAAGATGAACTTACTGGAACCACTGGAATGTGCTATCTTTGGACTTAAGTCTCTCTTCAACATTCAAGGAAAAGAGACTCATATCACGCACCATCACCTGGTACTCTGCAACTCTGAGAAAATGTTGATTGTTAATACTTGAAGTATAGTTTAAGATTTTACTTTAGATATAGTCAATTTATTTTCGTAAATGCTTATGTATTATAACAGAAGCAATGAGTACACAAGAGTTAACCATGATACTAAAGAAAGATTACAAACAATTGAACCTCAGTGTCATGTGGAATGTATACAAGAAATGTTTGGTAAAGATTGTCAAATGTGTGGAGATGTAAAAACTCCCGACAGAAAAAGAATGAGAGAAAAAGTGCTTGATGAGATGAAGTGGAGGCAGCAGCAGTTGATAAAAATAGTAGATTTAGTGACTTTTAAAGTATACAAGAAGGATAAGAAAATTAGTCAATATTCTGTTAGGGACAATACAGATTTGACACAGTTTTGAAAAATAAGGTCGGAGGCTAGGGTGAGAAAAAGGACAATAGTGAAATCCCTATCCAGTCAGACTCTGCTGGTAGCTATCTATCAGATGACAAGTTGAAATTAAAATTTAATTAAAAAAAAACAGAAAATGGCATTTCATTACATTCAACGCTGGTTTTCTATGGGGAGACACTCCGGCTCCCTGGAGCTACTTAACCAAAAACAAGCAAAAGAGGGACTAACCCGGGAAGTGGCCACCACGTGCGCATCAACTCAAAGTCAAGACAACTGGCTGCAATCTGAGACCCAAAGCCACACATGAATGACCGGGACCAGGAATATTGACTAAATAATGGGCAGTCATGACCCAAATGTCAGCCCAAGACATATTGCCAAACTTGGCAGCCAAAGCAGCATATTTACGAACATCATGGGCACGAGGGTAGACCACAGGCTGGCTAGACTTAATAATCCTGCAGCCAACTTGAAAGACCAATGCTCTGGAATAGGGAACAAGGAAAATCGAGTTAAAGCGCGTCCACAGCCACAGCCATTACCTGCGGAGGCGCGCAGGTAATGGCGGAGAGCCCCAACTGGACAATACATGATGCACCCCCGGCCTGACCAACCAAGCATCAATAAGCCAAGGGCTCCTTCGGTAGCCCACCATCTCATTCTTCACCAAAAAAGAAGGAGATGGCTGCAACCGAACAAACCGACCACCCGGACCGAAAGAGCAGAAACCCCTGTGCCAGAGGAGAGCATGAAGCTCACCAACCTGACTCCCAGAGGACAATGCCAACAGAAACAGTCTTAGTAAAGCAATCTTGAATCGATGGGGCAACCACAAACCAAGGAGGAGAAAAAGAGAACTCTCGGGCCAAGGACCAGGACAGCTCAGGTGGCGCAAGAGCAGGCCTGCTGAAATGCCCAGCTGGGAACACCCTGCCTGCTGTAGTGGCCAGCTGGGGACACACTGTCTGCTGTAGTGCCCAGCTGGGGACACACTGTCTGCTGTAGTGGCCAGCTGGGTACACCCTGCCTGCTGGAGGTGAAACAAAGCATGAGAAAGCTAACGGAACAGGGCAGAAGTTACATCCACCCCGAACGCAAGCTGGAGTGCTACACCAGTGCCGCACGATAAGAGGTGGCAGTATTGGGCACCAAATGACGGTTCTGAAAAAGCCAAGAAAGGACAAAACAACCCAAACAAAAACTGAAGACAACCTATGAAGAGAGGAAATGGTGAAAAGAATGCCAGGAAACTTCATATTGCCGCTGAGATGAAGCTCGCAGGTGGGATACCATCTAAGAAGCCACCTGATCAACATACAAGTGGTGATACATTCACATCAAAGAGACCAGATGCAAAGAGCGGAGGAGTAGACCAAACCAGCCATGTACCAGACTGGCTAGATCTGCTGAAAGAGGCGGAGCCGCAGAAAACGCCCCAGATTCGGACACTGAGCAAGCAGCACCTGAAACCAAGGCTGGGCTGGCCACAAGAGGCCACAAGGATGACTCCCGCAGTAAGATTCCAAGAGAGCCAGAACCCAAAGCAACAGCTGGACCTGGGGGAAGAGGAATAGGTAACCCCACCTCGACCAGTTCTGCCAAAAGGAACCCGTTCTTCCACCGCAACGGCTCTGCAGTCGGAGAAGGGCGCCACATATCGGAAAATGCCGAGACCACCCCGACGCCAAGTGGTCCACCTCCGGAAGTCTGTACGTCCGGCAGAGTCAACTGAAGAAGTCGGCATCGACCGTCCATTCCATGGACAAGGAAATGAACCATGACAGGCTATCAGCCAGGACGTTGGACACTCACCGGATGTGAACCGCATGGAGAGCCAAACCCCGAGAATTTAGCAGACGAGTCACTCGAAGCAACCAGTTCCAAAGAGCCAAGGACTGAAGAGAACCCCCATGGTTCAGATAATGAACCACTGGAGAGCAATCCGAAAGGAGGCGGTCGTAGAGCCCCGAGCAACCAGAACCTCCAAAGTGACAGCCAGACCACCGTGAACTCCCGCACCGTACTGTGAGCGCGACGGGAGGACGGAGCCTACTAGCCTGGTGAGCACTGGTCACAAAACCCCAGCCAAGAGATGAGGCATCCATGAACACACCGAGCAAGGGCTCGGGTAGGCGCCAAAGACTCCCCTCCAGGCAAGGAAATAAAAAATAAAAGAAAAACCCCGTAAAAGAACAACGCCACCAGAAGGAACAGGAACAAGGTCGCAGCACAGGTAAGCGTGCATCCCAACCAGCAACACCACAACTTTCTACCCAAGGCCAAACAAAAGCCATGAAACCCCAGCTGGCCCCAAGGGTGAGGTAAATGCCGAGCAGTAAGATCCCCTGCAGAACTGGAGTCCTGAAGGCTCTAAGGAAGGTAACCCTAAAAACCAGTAGTACTTACAGGGCGCTTAGGGAAATCAGCCCTTAGCGCATGCAGCCTCAGTATACTGAAGTTACTCCTGGGTCACCACTCCACAAAGAGCAAGAAACACCACAAAGGCACAAATTCTGCCTAGAAATCAAAACCAGATTTAATGACCGCTCCAGAGCACATCAGTCTACGAACTGAGGTGTGAGTAGCCGGTGCGGTGGGTACAGGGCTTCCCCTTCCCATCCCAGAGAGGGGAGGGCTGCGCGGACAAGCGGCGTGGCGGTGGTGAATGACGTTTGCTCGTTTCCTCATTTCCTTATATTTTTGGGGGAGTTCTGTCTCTCTGTTCGGTCTTCGGTTGCAATTTCTTACCAGGTGGGGTCTGTTTTGTTATGCCTACCTTTCTGGGTGCCTAACCCCGGTCGGTGGCAGATATGGAATGATCCCAAACACATGGGGGTTTCCATAGGCCATTGCTCCTTGTCTCTCTCTGAGGGGGGCCAAGTTCTGGCTCATGGTCCCCAGTGGGCAGAACTCCAAATGACTGATGCCCCAGACTAGTATAGAGTATATCAGTCTGGCAGCTCCAGGGAGCCAGAGTGACTCCCCACAGAAAATTCAACCACAATGTGAGAATTAATCAGCTCTTCTACAAGTAACACAGTTTTTCCTTTTTATAAAAGTATTAACTTTTTTCTTCTATTTTACCTTCCAGTATATCTTAAATGCATTGTTTGTTTACCTTCTTATGAAATATACTGTACAGTATATGCACAAGAATGCCTTCTATCCTGTAAACTATCATTTAAAAAGTAAATCATCTCCCCCTTTATAATTCATCACAGGTTGTAACATATTCATCATTTGAATGAATTGGGTCTGGTCCTATATTGTTCACTTTATCAAGTATACACTGTACTGATTTAACAGGTTTCATCTTCTTAAGTGCGTGAAAAAGACTCCATTTGAGTAAAGCCTAAGCCATCATTTAGAATCCTTCAACATATGATTTTTTATGTAGTACTGAATATAGAATAAATCAAGAATATAGAGAATCAGTGTTGAAATGCTTAGAGAAAACTACACAAGTATATCTCCTCATAGATGAAATTTTCTAAGGTTATCTTGAGATGATTTCAGGGCTTAGCGTCTCCGCGGCCCGGTCCTCAACCAGGCCTCCTTTTTGTTACCCCCCCCCTCCCCCAGGAAGCAGCCCATAGCAGCTGTCTAAGTCCCAGGTACCTATTTACTGCTAGGTAACAGGGGCATCAGGGTGAAAGAAACATTTTGCCCATTTGCCTTCGTCTCCACAGGGGATTGAACCCGGAACCTCAGGACTACGAATCCAAAGCGCTGTCCACTCAGCTGTCAGGCGTCCATTAATCAGGCATGCATTAATCAGAGAGACTGAGTAATGCATAGCTTACATGCAATTACCACAAAAACAAGCATTATGGACAACCTTTTATGAAAAAGCATTATGATGTACATAATTTGTCTTGTACTGATCATTTTTTGGCAAGAACTAATAAATATTTATACACACTCACTCACCTGCTCAGTGGAAAAGAAGAGTATGTATCTGGTGAAGTGTGCCGAGATGGCAAAGCATTGTTAATAGAGATCTGCCCAAGGTGAGCCACTAACACATCTGGACTGTTAGGAGACTCGGGCAGTACAACCACTGGCGTCTCCAGGATGACATCCAGGCTGGAACAGTATTTCTATGTTAGTATTCTCTTAAACTTAATTTGTCAGAGTTTAGATTTCATAATATTTTCTCATGGTCAAGACAATTAATTAGGTTACTCATAAGAGACAAAAACTATCGTCTTTTAGGCTAACAACTTTCAAGAAAATAATGTTGAAATTTAAAATGTTCTCCTTCAACTTTGTGCTAGTTATACTTTAAATTCCCAAATATTCTAAGAAAAATTCCTTCTACTCCTAATGTTGAAACAAAATTGCCCATGCAAATTCTTCTTAACTTCCAATGGCTAACTTACTTCAGTGAAAAAGGTAGGTCAGTGCTTTCTTCATGTTCTGGACTTAAGCCTGAACCAGATGCCGAAGCTGGAGGTGCTGGAAGGTTCAAGGTATCAGTCGAGCGTGAGAAGCTCATTCTTCGTCGGTGGCGAGGGGACGCCTCCCACTGATTACTTGACAAGCTGGCAAACGACTCAATCCTGGAAAATTATATCAATTTAACCTTAAGTAACAAATAAAATTATTAATAAATTAATTTACACACTAAAAATATAATAAACACTAATAAAATATAATAAAGAATGTTTGAACATTCATTTCTTCAAACTTTTTTTTTCTTTGTCTGCTCAGGCCACATATAGAGTACTATCCCCACCTTATTCCCTTCCTCATTCATCTCCCCATCTGCTCTAACTCACACTCACTAACTCACCAGCTCTCTTCCTTGCTTCTCCCTCCTCCCTTCCCCTCCTCTAATGTTTTCCTCCAGGTCTCTTCACCTACTACCCACTCTTTTACATGCACTATCATCCCCTTCCTTTTTGTTATTTCCTCATCTCTCTCACTCCCTCCTTCACTAAAGTCTCTCAAGTAACAATGAGAAGCAATCATTCAATTTAAAATAGAATATATTATTTCAAGAATATATTGTGAAATCTGAAGCAATCTGGCTGAATTCTCCATATATTAAGGATTTATTCATTAAAAATTATTACCGGTAATTCAATTTCTTGAAGTGTGTGTACTATACCACATGTCAGTAGTGCACATGTATTTGAGAATCTGGAAGACAATATCCAGATAGAAACAAAATGTTCAAGGTCAAAGTAAAAGCACATCTTCTGACACATGGAGACAACCACCAAGCAATGAGTAGGGCAAACGGAGCACACGTTAACAAAGGTTCCTCTACTACTGTAAACACAAACCAGGAACAAGATGCTGAAAATCTTTGTATTACAGTATTAATAAACATACCTCTTACTAACAAGACCCATTGCCATTTCAGTAGCAGCATGTTTGATTGATTGAGCAACTAAAGCCATGTAATGCTTGAATTCTGTGGCACAAGACTTCAGTTCTTGCAGAAACAGTGGGGAGTGGGTGTAACACACCGACGCCAGTCGCAGCTTCACACTCAAGTTCTCACTATCCCCAGGGTGACCATCTCCACAAACTAAAAAACATTTTTTCTTTTTTTTAGGAAACATACTTATAAATATGACACATATGATACACTGAACAAAATACTGGATATTTTAAATAAATTATACAAAATATTTGTAAATAGAAGCACAACTAGAACAAATAAAATTACTTGGCATGTCAATTTAATGCAGTACTGTATTACTGCATTAACATAAATGCAGTGTATGGAATAAAGTGTGTGTAACTAGTTATGCAGATTGTCCTCATCTTTCTAAGCACATGTCTCAACTAAAGCACATTAGTTCAAAATTAGATGGACTCAATTTAAATACTGAGTATGATAATTCAGCAAATTTAAGGCAAACACCATCTGCCAAAGGAACTAACCCCAAAACTGGATAAAACTGAACTAAGGTCAAAAGACAGACACCTCTGAAGTCCTCAACCCCTCACTTGACACCAGAGCAAGAGGACTCATTAACTATTCCATCTCACACCAGAACCTGAAGAGAGGTAGAAAGAAGACCACGTCACAGAGGTCTCAATCACCTTAAACTAAAAATAGTCCACATCAAACTGAAAAAGAGGTGGGACTGTAGAAATCTAGTAGAGATTCACAATATTCCAATACTGGTCACAGCAGACAGATAAAGCAAGTCACCACTCATGAAAAAGATATTCCACATTAAAACACCTGCCAAGTGACAAAAGAGCCAGCAGCAAAACATACCAATATAAAACCTTTCCATCACCTGAAAGGCTGTCACCCTAGATAGTGACTCAGCAAAAGCAGTATGCAGATGATTCAGTTCATCTGCTCAATCGACTTGATAAAGAACCAGGACAGACCAAAACATCGTCGTCTTTTCAGCTTCTAGTGTGTGGTTTAGTCAACACTAGTAACAATACTCGTCAGACATTGAGAATAAAAAATCACAGGGGTGAATAAAAAATTCCCAGAAAAATCTAATTCTGAGCAAAGGTTGGTTCTGACCAGAGCATAGGATCCACCAAAACTCCAGCAAAGATGGGTAGTAAAAACCATTTCCACAATGCACAAGAATAAAAATGCACACCTGCAAAACTAGGGAGTAGAAAAAACATGGAATCAAATCAGGTGATGACATTAGCAAACATTCTGCAATGCCAAGTCAAAGCTAGAATGGCAAAAAACAGAGAAGGAACTGCAGACGACCTTCACTAAACTACATGTGAGGGAGAAAGCCCCCCTAAAACCACACCCAAAGTAGGCTAAAAACCATGGGACATGCATGGTGACTGGCACATCCTCTGGTGAAAAGAATGATAACACAGGAAACCCATCACTAATTAATAAACCAGAAAATCCTATCGCTTGACAAAATTAACAGTCTCAGGATATGCCAACCAGAGTTGAGGGCATCAGGCATGACAGTGCAGGGCTGCAGGCACAGCCCAAGCAAAGCTGGACCCGGCAAACAAACGACAAGCAGCACACTTGCCTAGAATAGCAGGGGCAGAGGTGAAAAGCATACCATTGAAACCCCCAAAAGTCAATGAAATCTGGCAATTTTCACCAGAATAGGGGTTTGTTTTGGGACGCTTACCTTTCTGGGTGCCTGACCTGGTCGATGGCAGACATAAAATGCTTCCAACCACACGGGGGTTTCTATAGGCCATTGCTCCCCTTGCCTCTCTAAGAGGGGGCCAGGTTCTGGCTCGTGGTCCCCGGTAGGCCCAAAGAACTCCATACACATGACTGATGCCAAAGTCTGACATTAGCATATCATCCTAGTAAGCACCGGGAAGCCTCCGGGTCTCACCCAGAAAATGGAGTTTCATTACATTCAACGCTGGTTTTCTTCACATCATTTGCACCAATATATCCCAGGACATACTTTTGAAAAGATCCCTGCAACACCTATGTAAAATGTCAACCTGTCCGAACTTAGCATGATTCTGTCCATGGGACCAGTTCGATCTTGCCTAAGTCACCAAATAGCATGACAGAGTTGTTGTTAATAAAGTAATAAAGTGCAAACTCCATCCAACGAACCTCATTTTAGCGCAACTTTGGTTGGAACACACATTTTCCATACCAGATTTACTCACCCACTTTCGCCTTAAGAAATACACCATTTCATATGGAAATTCAGCAGACACCATAGAGCATGGGGAAATATTATGGTGTGAATGGTAACTCATGATATTATAGCTCCAATCATATTTTTAATGATTTTCGTAGATTAATGAAACATTATTACAGGGGTACCACAGTTTTCGCAGTTAATCCATGCCCAGAGATGGTACGAAAACCGGAAAATACGAAAACCAAAACAAATTTTCCCATAAGAAATAATGTAAACTGAATTAATCCTTTCCACACCCCCAAAAATATTAGCTTAACAATACATTTTATACTGAATAACACTCCTTTTGTACTAGCTAAAATTGAGTACACCCCTGTCAATACCCCTGAAAAACATCAAAATGAAATTAATTATTTTTCATAGAAAATGGAGCAACCTACCTGACATCCACTGAACGAATCTTTTGGCATTTTTTTTTTTTTAAATTTTTTCAATTTTTTCTTATTTTTTATTTTTTATTTTTCATAGAAAATGGAGCAGCCTACCTGACATACACTGAATGAACCTTTTGGCATTTTTATTTTTTTATTTTTCATTTTGTTTATTTTTCATTTTTTTTATTTTTCACAGAAAATGGAGCAGCCTACCTGCCATACAATGAACAAACCTTTTGAAACTTTTATATTTTTTCAAATTTTTTCTATTTTTTTGTTTCATTTTTCTAAAAAAAAAAATCAATGCTTTGCAGCATTAAAGCAGTCACTCTTTTACATCCCAGCATCATTAGCATCTTTTAAACAAAATACATTGATTCGCATCATTTGCAGGCATCCAAGAGCTCGTAGATGGGGTTGCTTGTCACTTGTCATCTGCTTATCTTACCTTGAATGAGGACTCTTATTGGCGTATGGAAGATGGTGAGGAGGAGAGGTGTTAAGTGTTTGGAAGGGTAGTCTCCTTCCATTATAACATCAGGCAGTGATGAATTTTCAGGGGTACTCAATCTCCTTCATTTTTCCTGCATACCACTAGGACCTGGTTGTGGCTCATTGCTTGCTTCTCTTACTAAGAAGCTGTCTATAGACACTTGTTTTTCCCTACATTTTTAACACTTGTCTGTAGTGAGACATCACAATGTCTCACTATGAATGATCTCTTTGTTTTCCTCTATTGTCATCCTTACAACTATTTTCTTAGGTTGAACATTACCACTGACTTTCTTGGAACCCATGGCATGATATATAAAGAACTTTTATGTTCAGAAACAAAAACAAAAAAAATGAAAATCTTCACTAAGAATTTAAGCGTGATCATTACTAGGCGAGAGAGACTGGCAAACTGAAGCGCCACACTCGCAGTGGACCCGTACGTGTATGAACAAACTCCGAGCACCGAGGCAAACGAGTACCGTATCAAATTTTTCAGAGAAATTTAGTACGAGTTGTGAAAAATACGAGAACAGGGGCATACGAGAACTGAGGTTCCACTGTATAGTAGAAAGAAACAGGCTTAGAAATGTACAGTAATTTTATCTATAAAAATAAATGCCTTCTGTAGGCATCTCTGGTAGCAATGAATCCCTTACTCCAAAAATCAGTTTTGGTCGCATACAGTTCGCAGAATCAAAGTTGCATTGTACCACTGCTGGTATCTATCTTACTTATTAATTCAACTTATCTGCCTATGATAATCCATCACAATAGTTCTAGCATGCAGCAATCTATCAACTACTGTAAAATTTTAATAATTTGTATAAATTTGTTACAAATAAAGATTTCACATATACTGTACGTGAATTGTTTAAGACTATTACTGTCGAAAGAAAAGTTTTAGATACAGTACTTACTATGTGAGTTCGGAGTGGAGAATGCAAGTGGGCGGACAATGGTAAAGCTGAATGCCCGAGCTATACTCTCTGAGCTGGAATATGACCGATAGATATCGCTGTTCAACCGGGAAAACATATCCTAGAAAGACATTATTATTTATTTAAAATTTTGGTTCAAGTTATGAGTACGTATACTGTGTATACAAGACCCGACCCTCAATATACTTTACCATGATCCTACCATACACTTTACCATGAATGAAAGCTAGCAACACCACACATTAGTAAAATATTTGCAGCAGTATTTCAGCTGGTTCACAGACAAGGTATCAAGTGCTGTACCAGTATAACCATGACTAGCAGTGGAAGGGTGTCAGGATGAAATGTGTGAAAGTGAGGTGGAAGGGAAGTGATAGTGACCTATTGTAGTTACATAGTTTGCCAGAGAACAACTAATTATGTTGCAAAGTGGCACTTAGAGTGAACAAGGCGATAGTTCAAAAGTTAGCACAAAACATTAATAAATAAAAAATAATTTAGCAGGTGTTAGTTATAAATTAAATGAGGTAGGGGCAAGACTACCAAATTCAATAAAATAAATACTGCTGTCTTCATAAAAATTAAATTAATTGAAAGCATATTAAAAGACACACAGGTAGCCCACAATTTGTGTAGTATTAAGTTATGAGGATTTGGAGTCACATAATTAAGTACATTGACACCAAGTTTCTGCAAACTGAGAACTAATAATTATGAATTAATTGATTACTTTGAATGATCCACACTAATCCTTGGGTCTACTCTCAGAGAAGAGATCTCTGGTGGGGAAAAAGTCTTCACTGACAATGTCAGGGAAGGAAGCTGTGAGCACAAGCTAAGGCGGTTGAGGGAACCAGAGGCACTGAAGGTGAACACCGCTACATTCATGTGAAACAAACACAAAGTCCCATACTTAGGATCAGAAGGTTTAATGAATGAATAAGCAATTAGCTCTGAATGAGAAGTTTAATCTCACAGACCACCAGTTGTATCCACACCAACACCAGACCAAGTGAGAGGTTGGTGTAACACCTGCACCAAGTGAACCAACTTGCCCCATGGCAGTGGACTAGATGGAGCACAGGGATTACTTGTTCAGTAGTTGTCAGATCTGTTTTGTTAGTTTAATACTTTACTCAAACACTTCTTGGATGGAGATGGTATACAGTATATTGTAGTCTCCATTCAATTATATATCTACCACAATATTTGGTTAATCTATGATCCAAGTGCTTCCAGCCTCACAGAGGGAAAAGGGGGGGGGGGGGGGGGGGATGGGCAAGATACTGGTCCTTATCCCCAGTAGGCAACAAGTCGTATCAGTACCTAGTATTGCCATGTCTGACCAGCAATGGCAGCAGCACAATACCAACCAAGGGGCAAGTCCAGAAAATAGTGTCGAGTGGTATAAAACACTAATTGCCAAGCAGTTCCTCAGATGATTCTACCCATTTTTCTCTTCCCCAAGCTTGCTAGGATGTGCAGAGCTTAAAGTGTTATATTAGCTCTCTCCAACCATGTTTATTATTAGAGCTGCCACCTGACAATGGTGGGAGGTAGCATAATCAGCAATGGTTGTTTCCCCGAGTGCAAATTATTATTCCTTGTGATACTAATTAGTGAATGAAAGTGCTGAGGGTAATTCTTACTACTGTGTATCATTGTCACCTTACCCACCCAATTTTATCACTGATAAAATCATTTGTAAATATCCTTATCAGGCTTAGGAAGAACACTGGAGCCTAGTATAGTGACAGTGTCTTGGTGGTCCAAATGGCTCCTAGTTCAGGAAGCATTCCAAAAACAAATTTGTATCTGAATCTAGAGAGGGTTTATAGAGTTTTTCTACGCCCTGATCCTGGCCATAGCCTGGCCATAGCCTGGCCATAGCCTGGCCATAGCCTGGCCCAAAATTGGACAGTTGTTTCAGTACACTCACCGCAGGTGGCAATCTGGGTAGCAACTGATTGCCCCAGTTAGTAGTTAGCAGAGATAATTGACAAATTGTCATTATTTGATTTCTATTTTTGTTTGGAGAGGATTTATTGTCTAATGTTCATTGTTTTGTATGATTGCTAGTTGGTCTCTTGGTGATAGCTAGAGTTAAAGTTCCCACTGTCTCCCTCCCTCAATTATGTGACTAGACTATTTGGAATGTCACTGGGCATTGTGGATATGCAATTGCATATGCGATTCGAGTCCTCTGAATGCAGAAGAGAATTACTCGACAACAGAACGTGAAGCTAAACACTATAGATAATTATGCCTATTATATGCAAATAAACTTGACAAGCATTCTATGATTCCACCAGTAGCCATCAGATATTATCTATCTCCAATGACTATAAATCAAATTCTACTTAAAAGTAATATTCAAAACAATTCTATAATAATATAAAAGCAGTAACTAGATAATTAGGTTTACCTGTGAGCGCTCAACTATGGGATCCTGACCAACACTGATGATACACTGATGCTTGTTGCCTTCTGGAGTTACATCTCGTACCTGGAATCCTCCTAGTGAGCCTTCCACTGTTAGAATATCACTCTCTGTTTTAAGTAGACAGAAGTTACATTTGTAAAAACTCCAATGAACTTTATGGTATTCGGGCATCTGTTTCAAATTTTATGAATACAACACACATGAAGCAATGAGGAGCAAAGTCAAGTATAAGGTATAATACAGGTGAAGAAAAAATCAGCATTGAATGTAATGAAACGCCATTTTCTGGGCGAGACCCGGAGGCTCCCTGGAGCTATCCAGGCTGATATGGATATCATTAGACTTTGGCATAAGTGTGAATGGAGTTCATAGGCCTACCAGGGACCACGAGCCAGAACCTGGCCCAATCAGAGAGGCACGAGGACCAATGGCCTATAAAACTGCACATGTGATTAAGAGCATTTGGAGCGGTCTGCCATCGACCGGGTCAGGCACCCAGAAAGGTATGCATCCTAAAACAAACCCCTATTCTAGTTGAAACTACTACTTTAAGTTAAACGAGTGGACAGAACTCCCCAAAGAAAAACAAGCAAACGAGCATGACGTCACCATTTGCCGTGCCGCCGTCTGCTCAGCTCCCCCCTCCCTGGGAGGGGGGAAGGGGGAGCCCCCAGACCCCCCACGTCGGCTATCCACACCTTCAGTTCTGAGGCTGGATGTCAAAACACGCAAAAATAAATGCCGACGAAAAAAAAATGTTTTTGCCGAAACGGCAAAAACGGGGAGTCATCCAGAGACAAGGGAACAGAGCAACCCTCAAACTCGCTCAAGGCGAGTGGGGATCCAGGGGTCGCATCCATTGGGTCTCTTGCGGCCCTGCAGGGTTTCCCAGGGCACTTAGACTGGTATCATTAAGGGTAAGCCCTGGCAGGGTACTGCAAACTGGCACCCAAGTCTAGCAATCAAAACTGCTAAAAGCTGAACCTCCGGGAAGTGTCCACTTACAGAGGCCTAGCAGGGGGTACCTCTCAGAAATACAGATAGATATACCTAAGTTATAGAAAGGGGGCAACAAACCAAAGGCAGACCCCCACCAGGCAGGAAAACAAAAACAAAAGAAAAACCCTGCAAGAGGACAACGTATCCAGGTGGAACTGAGCCAGCCGCCATAATAGGTGATAACTAGCTGTGCAATACCCCGCGCCCCTACCAGTGCTAACTACCCTTTACCCTAAGGTAAACAAGGGAGGAACTCCCCCCCCCCCCTCCGTCCACTCCGTGTAAATGGGGTCTGGCTAGGCCCCATTTACATTATGTAGTTCAGTTTTGGTTGCCGTACTATAGAATGGATATAAATTCACTAGAATTCACCAGCGTAAGATGACAACGTTAATCCCCCAAATTAGAAATCTGTCACATGAAGAAAGATTGACAAAGCTTAAGTTACATTCGCTAGAAAGGCGAAGAATTAGTGGTGACATGATAGAGGTGTACAAGTGGATGAATAGACATAACAAAGGGGATATTAATAGGGTATTAAAAGTATCAACACACGACAACACAAAACAATGGGCATAAATAGCATAAGTTTAGATTTAGGAAAGACCTGGGTAAATGCTGGTTCAATAATATGGCTGTTAATTTGTGGAACCAATTACTGCGTAACATAATAGAAGTAGGATCCCTTGATTGTTTCAACGTAGGTTAGACGTATACAGTATATGAATGAGATTGGGTGGATATAAATAGGAGCTGCCTCATATGGGCCAATAGGCCTTCTGCAGTTACCTTCATTCTTATGTTCTTATGTAATCACCATCCCTCCCCAGAGCCCACTGCAGGTGTGTGGTCAGGTATCTATATATATATTTTAGAAAAAAATATAGTAGTTATTTTCATATGGTGATTTATTACGTTATTTTTCCCAAAGATTTTTTTTGTAATTTGTTAAGAATCAGGGTCCAGCCTGAGTAATGTGTGTCACACTAGACAATGAACCAATTCTGGCTGGCAGAATTGGTTCTGACAAATCTACATAAAGACCTCTTAGGCATTAAACGATATCTCTACCATTAAACATGTGTTGGTGTTTTCAACAAGAGATTAGATCCCAACACTAGGTACAATATTCATATTAAATTTAAAAATCCAATCAATACAAATAAGTTCACAAAAGACAATATCAATTTTAAGATTCCACTTACTGTTATTTCAAGTTTATATTAGTAACTTCCCACTATGATAGCTCCAAAGCTGCAAATGTATACAAAGTATACTCACCAACAGTGGCCTGTATCTTGGCATCTGAGAGAACTGCCGTTCCCACTTTTCTACCAATTAGATCTTTATCCTTATAAACGCCTCGTAGTAGAAGAACAGTCAATTTGTGGAAGTCAAAGCTGACTTCAGCCCGAATTGGGCTCTTCTCTGGAGTTACTTCGTACAAACTTGCGTGAGACACACTACTATCATCTTTCCCTGGAGAGATAACAGTAGGCGTGGTAGGGGCTGCAGACGAGAGGTGAGAATGCACACGAGGCGTGGATGTGGGAGGGTGATGGGGAAATAGCTGATGAATGAAGCCCACAAGTTCTACTACCGTTTCTTGATTTGCTGCAAAAAATGTAATAAGAATAGGCATCAGGTGCTGCAGGTGATGGAAATATGTATTCCTATGCACTTTCACAAGTTAAATATCATGGCACAAAGGAGCTTTACACAGTATTATAATTACAGTATATTACAAATTAGAAGCACAATTCTGTCTATCAAGTTCCAATACCTTACTACCTCCTGGAAGCTCTCCACCAGGAGGTGGTTGCACCAAAATTTCCACAATTAGAAAAATTAGAAAAGGTGGTGGCATTGCTGCGTTGGTGAAAGAACACCTACAGGATAAGGAAAACCCCAATCACAAGGGGGTTTTCCAGACCCATTGCTCCCTGAAACCTCTCTGAAGGGGCCAGATTCTGGCACTGGTCCCTGGTAGGTCTGAACTCCTTAGCTAATGTCCCAGTCTAATAAAACATACATTAGCCCGATAAGCTCCAGGGAGCCGTAGGGGCTCCCCACAGAAAATCGAGTGTGTTTGATGAAACTTCGGTGCACAGTCACCCGGCCCCTTAAATACAAGACAGTTTTATGGGTTCACCATAGCCTGTGCTACATCAACACTTTGTTCTGAGTAGCTAAATCTGAAACAACAACAACAAAACAAAGTTAGAGAAGATTCAGAGGTATGCCACCAGACTAGTCCCAGAGCTGAGAGGTATGAGTTAGGAGGAAAGGCTATGGGAATTAAACTTCATGTCCCTGGAGGAAAGAAGAGTTAGGAAAGACATTATCACCACCTACAAAATCCTCAAAGGAACTGACAGGGTGGACAAAGAAACTATTTAACATGGTTGGAACATGAACAAGGGGACACAGGTGGAAATTAAAATGAGCCACAGAGACATTAGAATTTGTTCAGTGTCAGGGAAGTTAACAAATGGAATACACTAGGCAGTGGTGGAGATAGATTTCATACAAAGTTTCAAATGTAGATATGACAGAGCTAAATAGGCTCATGAACCTGTACTCCAGTCGATTGACAGTCGAGAGGCAAGACCAAAGAGCCGAAGCTTAACCCCTGCAAGCACAACTAGGCGAGTACAGGTGCCCTTACCCAACTGTTCAACTTGACTCTGCAGTCACAGACCACCAATAAACTTTTGTCTTGCATTTCAACTTGCAGAATTCATTTATAAATCTTCTCCAAGATTTATAAATAAATCCACTGGATCACTCCGTGTGTACACTGCCATCTCCTAGTTGGCAGACAGATTTTGCACATGCAAAATTTACTTATTTTCCAAAGGCGATTTTAGTATGACCTTCCTGCCTGAATCCTCGAGTTGCAATGACATCCCACTGGGCCCTAAAAGCATCACTCAGGTGTCTCTCACTAGTCATGTGACTTCAGGTCACTTCTCAGTTGATTGATTCATGTTGAATGCTGCCAATTATCTGTCCACCCTTCATCAAGTATATATGTAGCCCTCGCCTGTTTCCTCTGGTGTTAAAACCAGCTTTCCTCAGATGACTTTTGTCACACGCTATGATGTAAATGGCCGGCAAGGCTTTTCCCAGAATTTGATAAAGCAACTTGTTTTAAATTACAAGCATCTTGCCTCCTCACAAATACACTCAAAGTAAGCCTTGTGGCATCTTACACATTTAAAAATGGGTTAGCATGACTCTTGTTAGACAGAAGGTGTGTGTTAAGCAAATAACACTCATAATACTTGGTAGTCAGCCAGGGTTAAAGAAACCCTCCAACAATAATTGGGAAGTGAATAATAAGATACTGTACTATGAAATTGGTATAGTCTATCTTATGTAATAAATATTAGATTGTATTTAATTTTCTATAATCTTTCTTTGTACTTCAACATATTTTACAAGTAGAATGGCATATCTCAAGAGATACTAGTAGCAATAGGCGTTTATCAATTCATACTTTATATTTACATTGATATAACATACGCCTACAAATTATATAAGTAAAACACTTTTTCAACAGTTGTGGATTGATCTCTGATCCTTATGTACACCCCTTACCTCTTTAAGGAAGCCAGAGTCTGAGTCTTGTACTCAATAGGTCAAGAAAACCTCAGGAGCATAATAATGGAAGGCCTGGCAATTTCAGTGCCAAAGCACCTGGGCCCAGATTCACAAAGCAGTTACGCAAGCACTTAAGAACGTGTACATCTTTCCTCAATTTTTGATGGCTTTGGTTACATTTATTAATCAGTTTACAAGCATGAAAACTTCCCATTCAACTGTTGTTATTGTTATAAACAGCCTCCTGGTGCTTCAGAGCTCATTAACTGTTTAATATTTGTAAACAAAGCCGCCAAAGATTGAGAAAAGATGTACAGGTTCGTAAGTGCTTGCGTAACTGCTTCATGAATCTGGCCCCAGGAAGTTACTGACAGGTCCAACATAGAGAATAGAAAGATGAATATTTAGTAGTCTTAAATAATACTCTATATTAAACGAGAAAATCATCTCACCAATGATGTCAATTGTATTGAATTGTACTGAAGCTAGCAGCAATGATCCAGCACCTTGTTGTGAAGGGCACAACCCAGAAACGTACGTAACCTCCAGGGTAATAAGAGCTTCAAAATCTCTATTTTCAACAAATGGCAATGATCCTATTCCACCAAACATCGGTGAATTGATTAGTGGCGGAGATGGCATACAACGTGCAGATTGGGGAGGCGAGTGTGCTGGAAAGAAAAAAGTTGGGTCACATTTAGAGAAGTCAGCCAATGGTCTTTAATGGTTTCATTAACATAAAATTATGAAAAGAATCTTAAGAAATTGCAGAAAGAGAATAATTACCTAAAACCTATATATTATAGAAAGGTGGATTTTAGTCTTGTATGAAGAAAACCTGAAAACTTGTATATAATCATTATCTCATTTACTATTTCTATGAAATGAGAAGGCAGCAACCCAGAGGAAACTGTGAAGCAGTACATGAAAAGAATGTTAAAAATATTAAAAACATTGAACAAGTGTAATGAAATGCACCTTCTTTGCATCACCTCAATAGCTTCCCTAAGTTTATGTCACTGATACAAACAGATCATTACGAACACACAAGAATCTGGTAACTATCTCGACATTGGAGAAAGTTACTATTGCAGCTCATCCTATTTACTCTCTACATTGTGGGGAACTTATGCTGATCAGAGATCAATCTATTACCGATGTGTACTGCCACAAAAAACAGCGTTAAATGTAATGAAAAGTCATTTTCTGGGTGAGACCCGGAGGCTCCCCAGAGCTTTCCAGGCTGATATGCTAATGTCAGTCGGTCAGGTGAAGTCACAGTGAGAGGTTGTGTTAACCGGAGCTCCTGAGTGTTGTTATATTATCATAGCAATATGGAAGTTGTAGTGAAGGACCTGGTGACTCTAGTGGGAGCCCTGAGGACAGAGTTGGACTCTCTGCGGGAGGAGGTGCGTCAGCTTAAAAAACAACGAGAAGTAACGAAGGAGGAGACCAGCAGTAAAGGGACCTCGTCTTGGAGAGTTGCGAAAGACAGGGGCCTTAAGAAGACTTTGATAAAGCCGCCTTCAAACGCCATAGCAACTTCTAATTCATTTGACGTTTTGGAGGACGAGTGCTGTGGAGAGACTGTGGATCGCGCAAAAGGGAAAGCAACGAAGAGAAAGGAAGCGCAGGCCCCTCAGAAAGTAAAGGAAGTACCTAAGCAAACATTAGTTGTGGGAGATTCCCAGATAAGGTATTTGGATAGAACGTTTTGTGCTAGAGATAGGGGGAACAGGTTAAGGGTTTGCTATCCCGGAGCTGGCATTGGTGATATTATAAACAACATGAATGATATTATGGCTGGTAATGGGAACAATCCCATTATTTGCATTAGCGTGGGAGGAAATGATGTTGGTCGAGTCAGGAGTGAGGAACTGATTCAGAGGTATAAAACAGCCATAGAGTTAGTTAGGAGCAAGGGAGGAATCCCGATCATATGTGGCATTCTTCCAAGAAAGGGAGTGGGAAATGAATGGATATCGAGGGCACTTGGTGTCAATTGCCGGCTGGAAAGATATTGCAAATCAAATGCAATATCTTTCATAGACAACTGGGAACACTTCTATGGAAGAAATGAAATGTATGCTCGTGATGGGGTGCATCTATCGAGAGCTGGGGTTGTTGCTGTTGCGAACTCGCTAGAAGAAGTGGTTAGAGGTGTTTGTTTGGGTTTAAACTGTTAGTAGATAGAGGTATGGGAATTGATTTGGAGGAAGGAGGTAATAAAAGTATGTGTTTGTGGGAGAAAGGAATTGGCAAAACGATCAGGGAAAGAGAAGGTCCGCAAAATAACAATTCACTTAGGGTATATTACACTAACAGTAGAAGTCTAAGAAATAAAATTAACGAATTAAATGCTCTTGTCTGCACAGAAAAAATAGATATTATTGCACTTACCGAAACGTGGATGAATGTAGAAAATAGAGAACTATTAGCTGAATATCAAATATATGGATTTAAACTATTTCACACAGATAGATATATTAGACGAGGAGGTGGAGTAGCCATATATGTTAGGGACAATTTGAAATGTAGTCTCAAAGAGGGAATCAAAACAGAGCCACACACAGAAACTATTTGGATTGAATTAAACGAAAAAACTAATAATATTATAATAGGAGTAATATATAGGCCACCAAATTTAGACAGAATGGAAGCAAAGCATCTATGGGATGAAATATCTAGAGCATCTAGATCTAACAGTATTTATGTCATGGGTGACTTTAATTTTAGCGGAATAAACTGGTTGAACAAAACAGGGAATAGTGAAGCAGAAGATTTTCTAGAATTAATTGACGATTGCTTTCTTACGCAACACATTAAGGAACCAACACGGGAAAATAATATTTTAGATTTAGTGTTAACTAACAGGGAAACGCAAATTAATGACATCGAAATAGGGAGTGAGCTAGGGAGCAGTGATCACAAAGAAATCAGATTTAGCATAGAATGGAATAGACCAGTAGGAGAAAATTCTGTTAAAGTGCCAGATTTTCGAAAAGCTGATTTTAATAGCCTAAGAAATTTTTTGGGTCAAATTGATTGGAAAGGCTTGGGTATGGGGTGTGGGCCGGTCTTGGAGCAAGACATGAACCCCGCGATAGGTGACTTAAATGGGGATTTCGATGTGGATTCAATATATAACTTATTTAAGAATATTCTAAACAAAGCACAGGAACGTAGTATACCATACAAATTGAATAGATCGTATACTAATGACCCAAAGTGGATAACAAAGAATTTGAAGAACCTTATAGGTAAAAAGAGAGCTTGGTACAAAAGGATTAAAAATGGGGAGGTCACTTTAGAACAGGAATTCGTACAACTGGTTAGAAATGTTAAAAAAGAGATAAGGAAAGCAAAAAGGAACTATGAAGTTCGCATAGCAGGGCAAGCAAAGACAAATCCTAAAGGGTTTTTTCAGTTATATCGTACTAAGACTAGGGAAAGGATAGGTCCATTAAAAACTGAGACAGGTCAAATAACAGATAGTGATGAAGAGATGAGTAGTATTTTTAATAAATATTTTGTATCTGTATTTACTAAAGAGGAACTTAACAATATGCCTTCAGCCGAACAAGTCTATGTGGGTGGGGACGAGGACAGGTTGACGAGTTTAGCAGTTACCAGGGAGGATGTTCTTAAACAAATAGTAAAACTCAAACCAAACAAATCCCCAGGGCCGGATGAAGTGTTTGCTAGGGTGCTTAAAGAATGCAAAGAGGAGCTTTGTGACCCACTGTCAACCATATTTAATAAATCAATAGAGTCAGGCAGAGTGCCAGAGTTTTGGAAAGTTGCTAATGTGATACCAGTTTTTAAGAAAGGAGATAGATCACTTGCGTCTAACTATCGACCAATTAGCCTAACGTCTATTGTGGGAAAGTTACTCGAATCTATAATAGCAAATAAAATTCGTCTTCATCTTGAAAAACATAAATTAATAATTGAGTCGCAACATGGTTTTATAAATGGCCGTTCATGTTTAACAAATTTGTTATCTTTTTATTCTAGCATTGTTGAGGCAGTTGATAGTGGTAAGGATTGCGATGTTGTATACCTTGACTTTAGCAAAGCTTTTGATACAGTGCCACATGAAAGACTGATTAAAAAAATAGAGTCTCATGGTATTGGGGGTGCTATATTAAGCTGGATTAGGGCATGGCTATACCAAAGGAAACAGAGAGTTAGTATAAATGGAATCAAGTCAGAGTGGGAAAATGTTGTAAGTGGAGTGCCTCAAGGCTCTGTCCTGGGACCTCTGTTGTTTATAATATATATAAATGATTTAGATTCAGGTTTGAGTAGCAACATTTGCAAATTTGCCGATGATACGAAAATCGGTAGGGAAATTAATTCGGAGGAGGACTCACTATCACTTCAAGTTGATCTAGATAGGGTTTTGAAATGGTCAAAGGATTGGCAGATGCAGTTTAATGCTGATAAATGTAAAGTTCTGAGGTTAGGTAATGATGATAGAGTTACAAGATACGAGCTAGATGGTGTTGTGATTGCGAAGTCGGATTGCGAAAGGGATCTGGGAGTTATGATTAGTAAGAATTTAAAACAAAAGGATCAATGCATAAATGTTCGTAATAAGGCAAATCGGACACTTGGATTTATTAATCGCAGCGTTAGTAACAAGACACCTGGTGTGGTTCTCAAGCTATATCTTGCTCTAGTTAGGCCCCATTTAGATTATGCAGTTCAGTTTTGGTCGCCATATTATAGAATGGATATAAATTCACTTGAACGTGTCCAGCGTAGGATGACTAAGTTAATTCCCCAAATTAGAAATCTTTCATATGAAGAAAGATTAACAAAGCTTAAGTTGCATTCACTGGAAAGGCGAAGAGTTAGGGGTGACATGATAGAGGTTTACAAGTGGATGAATGGACATAACCGGGGGGATATTAATAGGGTATTAAAAGTATCAACACAGGACAGAACACGAAACAATGGATATAAATTGGATAAGTTTAGATTTAGGAAAGACTTGGGTAAATACTGGTTCAGTAACAGGGTTGTTGATTTGTGGAACCAATTGCCGCGTAACATTGTGGAGGTGGGGTCCCTCGATTGTTTCAAGCACGGGTTGGACAAGTATATGAGTGGGATTGGGTGGTTATAGAATAGGAGCTGCCTCGTATGGGCCAATAGGCCTTCTGCAGTTACCTTTGTTCTTATGTTCTTATGTTCTTATGTTTGGCATCAGTCATGTGTATGGAGTTCTTTGGGCCTACCGGGAATCAAGGCCAGAACCTGGCCCCCCCCCTTCCCGAGAAGCAAGGGGAGAAATGGCCTATAGAAACCCCCATGTGGTTGGAAGCATTCTATGTCTGCCATCGACCGGGTCAGGCACCCAGAAAGGTAAGCATCCCAAAAAAAATCTCTATTCTGGTGAAAATATTGCTACAAAAAGCCAAACAAGTGGATAAAACTCCCCAAAACGAAACGAGCAAATGATCATGATGTCACATGTCATCGCGCCGCTGTCTGCGCAGCTCCCCCCTCCCCTGGAGGGGGGGAAGGGGGAGCCCCAGACCCCACACGCCAGCTATCCACCCTAAGTTCTTAGGCTGGATGTAAAAATGCGCGAAAAAATGCCGACCAGAGGGAGGGAGGGGTGCCGGGGAGCCTCAGGAGCCTCCAGAACTCTGGAGCCAAAGCACACGACCATTGCCTCTAGCATCAGCCTAAGAATGTAGGGTGGAATAGCCACCTGATTCTCACAACTACTACTTCCAATTACATGGTGGTGTCTTTAGACCATTGCTCCTCGTGCCTCTCTTGAGGGCACCAGGTCCTGGCTCTGGTCCCCTTTTTTCCGGGAGCCGGTCGGCCGAGTGGACAGCACGCTGGACTTGTGATCCTGTGGTCCCGGGATCGAACCCGGGACCACAGGATCACGCTGGCGAGAAACAATGGGCAGAGTTTCTTTCACTCTATGTCCCTGTTACCTAGCAGTAAATAGGTACCTGGGTGTTAGTCAACTGTCACGGGCTGCTTCCTGAGGGGTGGAGGCCTGGTCGAGGACCGGGCCGTGAGGACACTAAAAAGCCCCGAAATCATCTCAAGATAACCTCAAGATAACCCATAGGCTTAGAACTCCTTCGACTGACTGTTGCCACGGTCTAATATATACACATCAGCCCGGTATAGCTCCGGGGAGCCGAAGGGGCTCTCCACAGAAAAAACATGGGATATTACCAATTACCTCTGGAAGCTGCATATGATGAAATAGCACGACTAATGGTTACAGGAGAAGTTGGCTTAAATAAAGCATTGTGGTCTGGAGAAGCGGGTGATGTGGGCGAACACGGCTCACTGTCCAAAATACTTCCACTCACGCTATCCATGCTGCAAAATGAAACAAATTTTAAGAAAAATTACACTAAATATAAATAAATTAGCCGTCAGTAACAAAATTCAATTGAGTGGGATCTGGGTTACACAGAATTCTGGTAAATTATAATCCCTTCTGCTGTAAACATATTTAAGCATGCCCACAAGGCCAGAAAAATAAAAGTGCCCCAAAAAGCCCAGGATTATAATCACACACCATTCCTACTATCATGTGAACCAGCCAAACCCAAGAGCAGACAAGCCAGCCAGCAAGCCTCTCAACCCACGTGAATAGTAATGATCACAAGCACAGGTCCCATAAAAACCACAACACGAGAACAAATGCCTAGGGATTTTTTTTCAGCCAAGACTACAGGAAGCATCTACTGACAAATGTTTTGTAAACATTTAAATCCAGCTATGCCAATTCTGACTGCCAGACACAAACAAAACACTACATACATTAAATGTATTAAAAATTTTCTATAAAACCTGTCATCAGGGCACTGCACGGTCCAATAACAATAGGGTCCTTACTTTCAATAGCATACATTACACTTTGCCTGGGTGGGGATGCATGTTGCGTCCATAAATAAATGTACGGATTTTGGGTGGGGACGCATGTTGCATCCACAATTTAAATATTTGTTAAAAATTAATTTTCCTTCCGATCTGTATGGGACTGGTTATAAAATGTGTGCCTTACAATTGTGAACAATTTGAAACCAAAATAAACAATGTAGCACAAAAATTGAGGTAAGAAAACTGTAAAAAGCATACACATATTAGTGCAGGTGCATGTGTCCGTCAAAAGAAAAAATAATTTTCAGACCAATTTGTTTCTTGTGCATGACAGACAATACATTGAAATAGTCTGCACAGTTAATGGGGTTAATGTTCATATGGCCTAAAACTTACCTCACATGCTTATGACTTGCAACTAAGAGCTCAAAGTCAGGTCCAAAGGTTTGTAAAGCATCCACAAGAAGTAAGGAATGGACACTCAGAGTGGCTGTACTATCAAATGGACGTTTGTTCAAGTGTGCACGGACACCAGTGACCTGCAGCTCCGCTATGCTTCTTCCCCGTGACTGTAACTAAACACAATTGAAAAAGATTACCATTAAGTTAAAATATAAAAGAATTCATTATCTTAAATGACCTACGTATTATCATCAAAATTTTTTAGTCGTCATTACAAAATATTTTAATATACTTACCTATTCTAACACATCTCTCACTCGTCTCTCTCATATATCATGCATTTAAACATTCAAGTAAATATATTTTATACTTAGGGAGCAGGAATTCCTTTAAACATATTTGGTAATATATGACCACATTGCTGGTGTTAATGAACTTGTAGAGTATGTTTTGTATTCTTGTAACTATATTCTTAGTATTAGTATTAAGAAATCAAGTTACTAAAATTCATGGCAAGGAAACTAGTATTTATTAAAGGATGTAGTGTGTAAATTGTTTTGGGGAGGGGATAAAAAACAAAGCAATGAATCTAATGAAACACTCTTTTCTGAGTGGTATCTCATGGCTACCTTAACCTTCTGGCACTTGCACCCAAGGAACACAACAGGTACAACACGATCCTGTGGCAATCTCTATCTACAATGAGCCAGCACAAATTTGCTCTTGACCCTTGCACAAGGTAGGATGCAAGTGGGAGATCAAAGATCAACACAGATCTCTAACAAAGAAAGATCTCTAGAGGTGATTCTGGATAGTAAACTGTCATAAGAGGAACACACAAAGGACATTGTGCGAGGAGCATAGGTTATGCTTTCCAACTTCAGAATCTATTTTAAATACATAAATGGTGAAATACTAAAGAAACTGTTCACAACTTTTTTGAGACCAAAATTGTAATATGAAGCAGTTGTATGAGGCCCCTTATCTCAAGAAGCACATCAATAAACTGGAAAGGGTTCAAAGGTTTGGTGCCCTAATATCCACCAGACAAAGGTTAAGCAAACACAAGTCTCTGATCTACACACACATTCTATAACTGTACAAACGCAAGGAGGATGTGAGAGAGTCCGGTCTCATGTTTATCTGCTTCTTTTCCTCTTGCTAGTCAGTTGCCTCTCCTTTGCTCCTCTGCAGTTTTCCCTGATCTCTGTCGTGTGTTGTAGGGGGTAGTGAAGTCACAACAGTACTCGTCCCCCCCCTTCCAGACGACGAGGTAACAGAGTCCAGGAATCGGGCAGGGTGGTGTACGTTGCGTCCCGTGCAACCCTTCATGTTGACGTCGCTGTCGGCCATCAGCAGGCTCTGCAAGGCTTGGATCTGGAGATGGTACCGGAAGATGAAAGAAATCGGTACGTACATCTTCAGGAAAAGGGTCCGCTGATGGTGGGGATTCAGTTTTATGGTGTTGGTACTAGACCTCCTCCACAGCAGCAGCTGGGGGCCGCCACTGCTGGCATGGTGTCGAAATGTGCTGCTTTCACCTGCTCGATTGAAGCAACCACTACAGCATCCCAACAGCAGATAATAATGTTTTTTGGATTTCTCAACAGCATCCGGAAAGGCCCCTTGTATGGCTGCCGTAGCAGCTGATGCACCGCATTAAACTTCAGAAACACGTGGCTAGCAGACAGAACGTCCTAGGGTATGTATATAGGGCATGTAGACAAGTGACGAGATGGCATAGGATGAATCTGCGACATCACCCTCCAAAGCTGCCCCATGAAGGCCTATGTGACCATCAGCTCATTATATGGTGTTGGACTGATCAGATCACCAGGAAGGTGGAGATCGGAACCATATACCAGGTCAGCCGCTGAGAACCCAGTCTTCTGTAGTTGCCGAACGGATGCTGAGGAGTACCAAAGGAAGGTTGTCGATCCATGAAGTCGGGTCTGGTTGTGCCCTTACAGCCGTCTTCAGTTGGCAGTGAAACCGTTCAACCATCCTGTTAGCCTGAGGATGGTAGACCATAGTGTGGATGTGTATGGTACCCAGGAACGGCAGCAAGAGTTTGACAATTTGAGTCCACAAGTGTGACTCAAATTGTCGACCCTGGTCAGTGATAATCGTTGCAGGGGGCTCCAAAACGGGAGACCCACCCATGAAGGAAAGCCAGAACTACCGACTCAGCTGTCATCTTCACCATAGAAACTGCCTCAGGCCATCTGGAGAAGTGGTCAATACACATGAATAGCACCCACCGGATCGAGGAAATGGACCGACGATATCCACATGCACTACTTCAAATCTGGCCGATGATAACGGAAAGGTTTGAAGAGGCAAATGTATGTGTCGATGTTTCTTTGATTGCTGAAGTTGGAGGCAGTTGCAAGCCCAGCTTCGAATATCAGTGTTGATTCCTGGCCATACCACCCTTTTGGTCAGAAGGCGCAGTGTAGCTCAGATGCCCTAGTTAGCCAAGGAGTGGAGAGCCATGATGTTCCTCCGCCGATGGGTCATCGGAATATATGGCTGTAGGATGCCACTGAGAGACGTGTCCCATGTGATAGTAACCTCGGAATTAGGCACAAGTACGTCGACGAGCCTAAATGCTGAGGAAAAGGTGTGCAATTGTAGGAGTTCTGGACCATGTCGCTGGACTCTAGCAATTCCGGCGTAATTGATGTGGGTCATCCCGAGAAAAAGTGCAAACAAGCCAAGTCGAGAGAGGGCATCAGCGACGATATTCTCAGTCTCCCTTCACGTGCCTGATGTCAGTCGTGAATTGGAATATGTAGTTCAAATGTCGAGTGACTTGCGGTGAGTGGGAATCTCCTTTTGCCGCCATGGCATCAGCCAGGGGTTTGTGGTGGGTGAGGACATGGAAGTCATCCCTGAAGTGTTGAATGGCTGCATATATAGCAAGGATTTCCCTGTCAAATGTGCTGTATTTTGTCTCTGCCGGTGTTAAGGTTGCTGAAAAGAAAGCAATGGGTCGCCGGGTGTCATCAATAAATTGATGTAGTACCACTCCTATAGCAGTGTTGGGGGCATCCGTCGAGAGTCGAGTTGGAGCATCGAACACTGGATGGGCGAGGAGAATGAGTTGAGCTAGCTCCTGCTTAAGGTTGGTGAATGCTACCTCTACCTCTGGTGACCATGGCAGGGGTACCTTGGATACCTGCTTACACTCACACTGGAGGACATATAAAAGTTTCAGGATGTCAGAACAGTGTAGGATAAACATATGGTAAAAATTAACCACACCTAGGAATTCTTGAAGGTTCTTAGTTGTGGTGGGTGTCAAACTTTCTTGCACTGTTGGCGGCTCTGAATAGCATTGAGGTGTTGGCTGTTCATTTGGGTCGTCACTGTAGAGTGGTCAGAGGGAAAGGTATTTCCCGACCAGAATGAGTTGCCTGATGCACTATGGATTTGGTCTGCTATTCTCGCCAGGCGTTCTGGTGTCATGTCGTCGCTCTGGGCAAGGAGTAGCATGCGAATATGTAAGGGCAAGCTTTATATTAACAGAATCCAGAGCATATCATTGTCACATGCTCCACTTGCCTGCCGTAGCAAGAGCTGCATTTGCTGGAGCATTTGGGATGGTGTCTGATCCTGAGGCTTCAATAACTACTATTGGTGAGGTCACACTGGCAGCCTCACACCTTGGCTGCAGCGAGGAGAGCAGTCTTCAGGGCAGTGAATCTGTGGTTGGCGGTGTCATAACCACAGCTTGTTCCTCCTGAAGGGTGTCTGGAGGCAATGCAGTCAGAGTGAGTGGATATTGCTCTGCATCCTTGGTTACCTTGTAAGCCTTAAAGTAGGCCTCTACCTGTGCAAACCATGCCTCTGAGTCAGACGGAAGGTATGCTGGTAGGTTGAACGCGAACGTCATAGTTTGTTTACACCCTGTCTGGGGAAACACTGGTGTGAAATCGACTCTGGGGTTACCACTTTAGTGCCCTAATATCCACCAGACAAGGATTAAGCAAACACAAGTCTGATCCACACACACATTCTATAACTTTACAAACGCAATGAGAGTGCTATAGAGAATCTGGTCTCGTGTTCATCTGCTTGTTGTCCTCTCGCTGGGCAGATGTCTCTCTTTTGCTCCTCTGCCATTTACCCTGATTTCTGCTGTGTTGTAGGGGTACTGAAGTCCCTACAAAGGCATGCTACAGAATCCCTTCCAGAACTGGACAACAAGAGTTACGAAGAGAGGCTAGAAGCATTAAATATACCAAATCTAGAAAATTGAAGAAAAAAAAGGCAATATGAACACAACATACAAAATAGTAACAAGAATAGACAAAATTGATAGAGAAATTCCTGAAAGTGGCAACTTCAAGAACAATATGTCATAGATTCAAGCTAAGGAAACAAAGGTGCCAAAAAAATATTAACTTTTTCTTTTGCAAACAGAGTGGAAGATAGCTGGAACAAGTTAAGTGAGAAGGCAATGGATTCCAAAAACATCATTAGTTTCAATGTGTCATATGACAAAGAATACTGGGAAGATGGGAAGCCACGAATGTAGCTCTCATCCTGCAACTACACTTGGGTAATTACACATTACCCTATTGAGATGAACCAACCTTAAAATGACATTTACGAAACATTCAAAATGACTTGATAAAATGACTTCGGTCCAGGATGGACCAAAACATCGTTGTTTCTTCATTTTCTGATGTGTGGTTTGGACATCATTCCACTGGAAATATTTCGTAATCAGCTAATAATTAAACAAAGCTCTGAAAGCCATTACAAAACCACCCTCAACATCCCATCTTGCCACAGCACCAGCTAAAGTTAAAGACTACAATAGCCATTACCATAAGGTGTCTAAACATAGGATAGATGCAGCCTGATAGGCTGCTTCTATCTGGTGGACAGCTCAGCTGACACAGATGTTTAATGACAAAAATATCACCTGTGGATAACAACAAAATTTAACACAGCAGACAGTGACAGTAGCATATGTCCATCAAAGTCTGAAAACCCAGACTCACAACCCTGAAATCTGCAAGAAACATAATTCAAGATTTATAAGAAGGGCTTGTGGGGAAGGGGGAAGGGTCAGTACTGTAACTAGTGTCTGGACAATTAATAAGTGACGAATTATGATGCAATCGGTATTCTGAAAGAACAAGTTACATTTGAAAGAGAACACAGTGCACATTTTCATTCATCATGTTTTCCAATTGTTAAACACTTACCAGTTCCATATTAGTAACTTACTACATTCCAATTCTTACTTTCTAATACACTTTTAACCAATCAATACTGTCAAGAAATAAAGTTCCAAGATAGAATATGCAAGATACCAAATACAAAAAATTTATCTCACCTCCAAAGACAATTTATCCACTGTGAACTGTACAACTAGAAGCTTTCCATCATCTGTCGGCGATGATGGTTCTTTACTGGAGTCCTTGTCAGCATGGTCATCAATGGACATTAGTGTGCTGGACCGACTTGAGCTGCTTATGCTATTATTATACTCAGTAGAATCTTTCCTGTTTGACATTAATAATAAAGTTAATACAGTACATGTAATCCTAAAATAGAATTTTTTTTAGCATAGATGACAGAAAATCAATGACCTAGATCAAGAATTGGGGTGTTATAATTATGCATATATCCTATGCACGGTAGGAGTGAGTTTTTAAAAATTGGTTGAAATTTGTTTAGGGAATATTAAGAGTTAAATATGGATCACCTTCATAACTATTTAAATTGTATTTAATTTCCTCAATACAGTATAGGCATTTATTATATTTTAACATAAATGGGTAAAACAATGACTGCATTAAGAAAGAGGGAAGAGGATATATAGTCATCCTTATCAATACCCTACACTCAACACAACTTTCATGAGATGATGGAGGGGCATCAGTCTACAGAAAAATCTACCATTAAATATAATGAAATGACCTTCTCTGATTTATTAATATTCAATACATTTAATTTGTATGAAGTGCTCGGTGCAACCTGATAGCTATAACTGAAAGACTGGATAACTGAAGAAACCAGGGGGCCTGATTCACGAAGCGGTTACGCAAGTACGTACAAACGTGTACATCTTTCCTCAATCTTTGACGGCTTTGGTTACATTTATTAAACAGTTTACAAGCTTGAAAATTACCCAATCAACTGTTGTTATTGTTATAAACAGCCCCCTGGTGCTTTGGAGCTCATTAACTGTTAATAATTGTAAACAAAGCCGCCAAAGATTGAGAAAAGATGTACAGGTTCGTAAGTGCTTACGTAACTGCTTCGTGAATCTGGCCCCAGGTTAGGTTGGAGGCGAGACACTTTCACACATCACTCAACACTGATAACTCTGTATTTTAATGGATTCTCAAGGAAAAAAAATTAATTTTCTCTCATTTCATGTTCCTATGTGTAAACAATGCAAGGAAAGTAGATAGAGACAACTGATGCTGACACTGCTGCCTGTCTTCCACCATTTATCACTGAAAAAATTTGCATAGAAATTGAACAAATCATCTAAATTTATACATGTTATTTATCATTCTTATGTAAATAAGCAGTCTATTTATCCAATCTTTCACTTTACGAGATAGAGCTTAGATAGGTTTATTTAGCCATTTTTTCTATTGGCTGGTTAGTGATCTTGCAGTACTTCTGGAGGCTTTAAGGGAGTTTATTCCCTGGAGGCTTCCAGGTCTATTTCTCAAGCTAAAAACCAATGCACACAATAAGAGTAGGGGTTTGCCTCCAGTTCTCACCATGTTGGCCTGGGGGACTGGTCTTCTTCATTGATGCAAGCACACATCCATGTTCAGACAATGCAGAAAGTATGAATAAAGGCAAAATGCATCTTTCTACCCAAAGTCTAAGCACTTCTGCTGTACTTTAACAAAATGGTAATGCACTGCCTCAAAAGGAAAAGTTACTTCTGGTCTTTTCTTATATGGTGGTGTAATCTGGCCTTAGCTTCTTGTCTGGCTACCTAGGGTTTAGTCCTCACAGTTGTTCATTTTCTCTGGGTGCCAAGTGTCTTAGCAAACATCCTCTCTTTGCCTCGGTCAGTTTGCTCTGGGTCGCAATCAGATGGATCCTCCTTTAACTCAATATGTAGTAAGTTTACCCTTCCCCAAGTGGATGTTTTTCATCCACATGGTTTACAATGTATGTGACCACAGTTCCATGATCAGGATATGTTTATGGTGGACTTGTATCTTTCTTACAGTTCCAATTCTGTTACTAGTTCTGAAGAAGTTGGATCTATGTGAAGCTATGTGATCTCACTTGCTCTCTATAGCCAGTTTAGCATTGGTTTAAGGCCTGGTTCCGCAGGCCTCCCAGCCTAGTCTATCTGCTCCTCACGCAGAAGTCAACTGGAGGTGTTCCATGGACACCTTCAGTCTCTGACAATCTTCATGTATGGAAATTTCAAGTTGTGAACATATCATAGTGTCATCACAGCATCAGTTAGAGATAGCCTGGTAGGCACTACTGCTGCATATGAATATCCAGATTTCTTTTACAGTACAGTACTGTATTTCTGAAGACACTACTATAATGTCCTTTCTGGACAAAATAGACACTACGATAATGTCCTCCTCCCAAAATGTTTATGCCAAATCCCATCATATTGCAAGCGGCCATCATTATTCAGGACTGATCTCTACATGCTACTATTTATCTATGATTAATCTATCATAGATTAATTTATCTATGCTAAAGCATGTCTTAATTAATCAGATGCTTTGCAGTGGAGAAATTCACTTAACCATAGGTTCATCCTTCAGCTTACAATTTGCAGAAATTTGCTATATTCAAAACATTCTACTCTGTGATGTCCTGCTTAGACATCCAAGACTGCTTGCCTGTCAAGGAAGGCACTATGTGGCATTAGGCCAGCTGCCCCTTCCTCCCCTCACCCCAAGTAATCATCTGCTTCTGGTATGTTTGCATTTCTTTACCATTCATTATTGGACTCTCTGGGACATGCATAATTTTTCAGGTCTGATGAACCCTCTGCAGGTCTGATGAACCTTTCTTAAGTTTTATGTCATATTCAGTTATCACTTTATGACACGAGATCCTCAGAACATGAGTATGCAGGGAGGTCGTCTTGCTTTCCTACGTCATGCCGTTTACAAAGGCTGCTATGCCTTCCCCCAATTGCGAGTCACAAGTCTGGTCTGGGTGTCTGTATGTCTGGTCTGTGTTATTCATGAAGGCCATAGTGCCGTTTGCCATCCGTGAGTCACAGTGTATGTCTGTTGTGACTGTCAGTTGTCAAAAAGGAAACGTTTTCTTCGCATCAGGAATTATGTGACTAGTTCAGACTGAGTTACTGTGTTGTGGCATAGGTGCCTCCTGGTGGTTGGTGAGAGTTGTAACCAAAAGGTGTTAACTAATAGCTACCAGAACACTATTCAGCAGTCATATTTGACCCAACAGAAAACTTGGAGGGGCTTTAAGTTCTCATCTAATTTCTCAATAGGGTCACTGAAAAGCTGAACTTAATTTTCTCTAGTGCTTCCTAGCACTAGAATAACCTGTAGGGCTCATTATAACTGATGCTGTGAGCCGATGCTTATGTTGCAGGGCCCTCACTATGCAGATCCTGTCCTCTGGTCCCAGCTTGATTTTATCATAGGGAGCAACTAATGTTCATGCATAGATACAAGTTTTCCAAAAGAGCTCAAAGCCTATTTTTTATAAAATTAAATTACAAAATTTCCAAAAACACATTCTATTGTTCCTGATAATATAAATAATAATTGTTGTCAAAAAAAAGACTCTACATTAAGTACAGACTTCCATTAGAGCGGGGTTCCAGTGTCATAATGTATCTGGTGTGTTTGCATTTTGTGTTGCTATTCAAAGCATATCATGTGTCATTTGTGTATTATTTAGGACAACTTAAATTCTCCAGGAGAGTACAGAAATGAAGGGTGAAGCTGTTAAAAATTAAACAAAATATTAAAGACTACTATTCTTATTCCAAATCCATGTTTACTAAAAGGGAGTTCAAGAAATACAAGAGGTTACCCACTTCTATGGCACCCTGTGACTGTATATACTCTTAAATTAAAAGGTAATATAGTAACTAACCTTGCTATTTCAACTGGCTGGTCATCATAAAACGTTGACACCATAGTGCGTAGAGCTTGTATTTTCTGTTCATTGACATGCAGAACCAGTCTTGGTAATGTGCCGGCTAGAGTAGCACTTGGCCACTGCTGCTGTGCATCTGGCATTACTACCACACGCCGCTCAAGTTGCAAGTTGATGCTAAACCGATCTAACACGTGCATGTGACCTTTGGGAAAAGCAAATAAAAAATCAGTTTACATACTGTATTTCACTATAAGAATACTAATTTCTTGTAAAATGTAGTGTAACCCTAAAAAATCCAGACCTTAATATAATGAAAACAATAAAAGGCTGTGAACAATATTTGACGTCTCAGAACAGGGACCGGAACTTCAAATTTGTGTCAAAAACCTAGACCAACATGGCATCATTATTGCTTGCACTGCTCTAGTCACCCGTGATGATTGAGTGGGTTGCCTGGAGATGATTTTGCAGTCCAGATCATTTTACACGTCACGACAGGTGTCTGATTACATATTACATTACTAGATGGCTATGGTGATTGTCCACCACATTGGCCAAAAATCCTGAGAGCCCTAGATTCCTACTTAGGCCTTAGTAAACAGATGTATACTATGTACCTTACTTTGAGGTTACCTTGAGATGATTTCGGGGTTTAGCATTCCCATGGCCCAGACCTCTACTAGGCCTCCTCATTACTGGACTGGTCACCCAAGCTGTTGGACGCAGCTGCTCGCAGCCTGACATATGAGTCACAGTCTGGTTGATCAGGTATCCTTTTAAGGTGTTTATCAAGTTCTCTCTCTTGAACACTGTGAGGGGTCAGCCAGTTATACCCCTTATCTTGAGATTATCTTGAGATGATTTCGAGGCTTAGCGTCCACTCGGCCCGGTCCTCGACCAGGCCTCCTTTTTGTTACACACCCCTATAAAACAGCCCGTAGCAGCTGAATAATTCCCAGGTACCTATTTACTGATAGGTAACAGGGGCATCAGGATGAAAGAAACATTTTGCCCAATTGTCTCCGCCTCCACCGGGGATCAAACCCGGAACTTCAGGACTACGAATCTGAAGCGCTGTCCACCCAGCGCTTCGGATGATTACCTGTTTATGGTTACAAGATGAGAGCCACACTACATGGGGGACTCATCTTCACAGTACTCGTGGTAATTTATACTTTTAAAATGCCGATGGTTTTGGCCTTCTGCCTTCTCACTTAGCTTGTTCCAATCGAAGACTAAACCACACACCAGAAGATGAGGAGACGACGACGTTTCGCTCCGTCCTGGACCATTATCAAGGCGATTGTGAAGGGAGTGAGGGAGGCACGTGCATTAAGTAAGGCAAGAGAGAGAGGTGGAGAGGTGAGGAGGGGGGTGGGGGGGAATTCCTAGAAGAAGGTAAGAGCAAGGCGAAAGGTCCAGGATGACCGAAATGTCTTCGTCTCCTCATCTTCTGGTGTGTGGTTTAGTCTTTATATCTTCAGCCATGTTATTGTGACTCGTCGTCTTGTTCCAATTGTCTACCACTGTTTACAAAAAGAGCCCTTTCTTATATTTTTTCAGCACCTTTGTTTTCTTAGCTTGAATCTATGACCTCTTGTTCTTGAAGTAACAGATTTAAACAAATCCTCATCCTCTATTTTCTCAATTCCTGTTACTATTTTGTATACAGTACAAAGTGTAACGTCACAGTGACCTGACGTACAACGTCAGGTTTCAGAGTGAACTAACGTTCAGGGTGTAGAGTCACAGTGACCTGACGAACAAATTGTTGTTCTTTCGGTTTCTAGGTAAGACAGGTCACAAATTCTGTAACCTCTTAAATAAAGCCCGGCGAGTACACTTTGCTTAACTGAATTGGAATGATACGAGAAAAAATGAAAATACTCTTAGATAAAGTCCCGTCCTAATCATGCACTCTGACCTTGACAAAGCACTCAGGAGATTTTGTGTAAATCCTTACATAAATTTTACAAATACACAAGTGTGGGGTTTTTATCCTATGTTATTATGTCTGTAGGGAAGTCATTACCATTACTTACTAAACACCATATATGCATGAGAAAACAGAATTCAGCTGGAAACTAACAAAACAATAAATTAAACTTCACACACATACCTGTTCCTTTGACATAAGCAAACCGCCAATTATCTCGAACTTTTCCTACTAATACTTGCATATCACACAATCGAAGGTCATACCTAAAACAAAAAATCTTCTATGAGACATTAAACTTATTATATATTTGTGCTTTATTACATATATTGTATTCTCAAAGCCATTTTCAAATTGTTAATTTTCATTGTACAACACAAGCTTTAACAAAATATGTATTGTTAAAATAACATGAAAAAGCCAACCATTAGCCACTAATAAAAAATGTATTTCTTATAGAAAGATAGGAATATACCAGATGAACAGATAAATACATTCTATAAATGTCAACATAAAATTATTTTAGAATGTCTATTTACTTTAATTTTAATGTAATACTGCCGAAGAACACAGCACTTACTTGTCATACATCCTATCATGCAGTAGAGACTCAGAAATCTGTGGCTGTGATTCTGGCAGTGAAGTTTTTCTCGCAGATCCGTTCATTCCTCCATCAAGCGGTGACATAGTTTCAAGCTCGTCCGGGGTAGAACACGGAGTGGCAAATTCATCTAACAAGAAGTCAATTGAAACAGAAACTACAGTATTTCTAATATTCTATCTAAGAATTTTTTTTAAATTATTGTATAGTTTTATAGAATGTTCAATAAAAACTATATAATTAAAAGTGATTACTACATCTAGTAACCAGACAACATATTATCAGTAGTATTAATCACTACAGTATCCTTTAAAAACATTTGCCATTTTTAATGAACTGACATAGACAGTACAGTATATACTTCAATATGGTTATTGAATGCTAACGAAGAATGGCATGCTGGGGTGCACAAACTGAGAGAAGAGAGGAAGTAGCAAGAGCAATAAAATAAACAAATGGATTCAGAGGATACGAAGTGGGGGAAAGAGAAGGGGAAGGGAACTATCAGAAGAAAGCATCAAGCCATTACAACTACATGGGGGATCAGGATAAGGATTTGGGATGGGACGAGGGAAAGGAATGGTGCCCAACCACTTGGACGGTCGGAGATTGAATGCCGACCTGCATGAAGCGAGACCGTCGCTCTACCGTCCAGCCTAAGTGTTGTAGGGAGAGAGAGAGACAAGGAGAACAAAAAGTATAATGAGAGTAAAATGAGAGTAAAAGGTAAGTATTAATATTAAACAAAAAAAAAAAGACTAAACGAGGAGCCAGGATGAAAAATTAAGCACAATAATTTTGGAAAGCATTAATAATGCTATAACCTTGCCAGTGTGGGGGGTCATCACCAGTCTCATGCCTCCTTCAAAACAGTGACTGAACTGGTAAAAAGCTTTGTCGGTGTTATGCCATATACAAATGAGGAGGAACATATTGAGTGAAAGAATCATAGAGGCATTAATGTACTAGGTGTAATAGACACAGTGCACGGCAGGATAGTGCACAGAAGAATGCACAAAATTACAGTTATTCATCAGTAAAAAGCAAGGTGGGTAGCCAGATAGAAGACGGTATGTAGATTAGACACTTCTGGAAAGACAGTTTGCAGAGAAGTTATGTGAGAAAGATTGTGAGGTGTACATGTCATTTATGGAGTGAAAAAACCTATGACAAATAGAGAAAAACTTTAGTGATGAGCATGTATAAAGTTGGTAGAATACTGTTAAATGTTGTAAAAAATTACTCTGTAGGTAAACAGTATATTAATAGTATAATGAGTAACCAATTTGATTTCAATGTAGGTGTACATCAGGGCTGTGCCCCATCATCCTGGTTACTAAATGTATACATGGTTGAGATCATAAGGTAGGTTAAAATAAGAATGCTAAAGAAAGGTGTAAAACTTATGTATAGGCTAATATACTGAACTAGTTGAGCAGATTTGACGAGTGCAGATGATAGTTATTTTTACTAAGTGAAAGGGTTATGTAGACTACTTAAAACTGTATTCATGTGTGTGAAAGAAGACTTACAAAATTTTATGTGGACATAAGTTATTGTGATGGAGAGAATGAACTTGTACCTGTGAAATAAATGTGAATGATCTGTATAAGTACATGGAATGTGTGTGATGGCTAAATAATTTATTTGTACAAAGTTAAGAGTAGGATCAGTTATAGGAGGAAAGTGGCTGATGCAATAATATCCCTTATTAGAGAAAACAAGATGGAAATAGATGCAGCCAGAGGGCTACATGACAGAGTAATACCTGCATTGTAGATTATGCAATATATAAAAAATCAAGAAAACTGTAGAAATGGATAATCTGACAAGATTGTATAGTATTAGGAGAGTATATATAGTAAGAAATTATACATCAAGCAGAGTTGTGGATATTAAAGTCAATAAACCATAAGCTTGAGGTGTGTGTGTAATAAAGGTGGTTTAGTCAGGTTGAATGGATGGTGATTGACTATTGAAGAGTGTGTATTCCAGTGAGCAAGAGGATAAGAGGAGAGGAAGGCCGGGAGAGTGAATGGACATGGTGAGTGAATGAGTGAGGAAGCAGGGAGTGAATGTGAACAACTTGGGAGATATGCTAAGGTATAAACCTGGGTGATAACAGTCTGTAAGAAAGGAAAGAATGTATTTTTATATACATGTACAGTACACTTATTTGTAAACTGTATATCTATACAACAACAAATGAGGATCACTGTATACCTGGTCTTATGAAGTGGTGGAGTATTACTGTGGATGACTTAACTGAACGTCGTAGTGTTTATTTATCCATGATGCTATAAATTTTACAATACTGTACTGAATAACCTCCATTTACCAAATTCTCGGGTTACCCGGAAATAAGGAATATTGTAAAATCCATTTAAACAACATTATTAATGCACAGAGCATGAGTGTCAGTCTCTCATTTGTATGGATACCATCTCATGTAAATGTTGTCCAGCATGACGACACAGACAAGGCAGCTAAAACTGCATGTGATAAGCCTGAAAATGAGTTGGATATGGGCATTTCAATCTCGTCTGTAAAAGCCGCAATATTTCTGGAAATTAATGAAGACAGAAGAGCAGTCACTGACACACAAAGACCAGGAAGCACGAGTATAAAAGGCTATAACGTGTTGAACCAAGAATTATATGTACGGGCAGCATTAAACATCCACTAGATCTGGTCAATTAATGGAGCACTGTATTGTCAGTCGTATAATGAAACAGGGTAATATGGCAACCTTCAATTACTTACCCTCTTCATCACTTGCCATATCTAGTTCATGTTTCAGATTAGAGTGGGACAAGGGTTTGGCTGAGGAGAAGATCAATTTTCCAAAGTCCAGTACAACCAATGTTGCATTTTTATCTCTAAAGTGTTCTGGAATGATGATTTGTGGAGCAGAAATGTCCAGCTTCACGTCCCAACGCTTTCTTGTCATCTATTAAGGAGATTTTTTTAAATAGTAGTGTACAGAATAATGATCTAAAGAAATCAAAATAATTTATCTATCTGCAATAATTTTTAAAAACCTAATGAAGAGGTCCTAATGAAGAATGTTATTGTTCAGCTCATATATTCCTTACAACATTCCTTTGCTCCATCATTCTCCCCATCAATATTACAAGTTATTTGGAAAACATTTTATATATATTGTGCAGAATGATTTTTTAACACTCTTTTACTGATCTTTTACTGAATGATCTTTTACTGTTTCATTACCTATTTCTTAAGACTTTTGGGAAAAATTATAGATAACTTTTTTATCATTTTATAAATAAAACAAATCAAAATAAGTTACATAATAAACCAAAAAACCACTCTCAACTATTCATTTTATCAATATCAAACCTAAAAGGAATTCTCCCTGTCAGAAAAAAAACTTCTCTCCTGCTCCAGGAGAGAGGAGGAGGAGGAAGCTAGACGGACGGAGTTTAACGTGTCCTAGAAGGACGGGTTAAACAGTTGTTTATCTTAATACTGGTTTACTCACCAAGTCTCCCTCCAGAATCTGGTCCCAGTTCCTTTTTAACTCTTGCTTTGTTTGTTCCTTTAGTTCTTCATATCTATAGAGATATAAATACTATATAATTACACACAGCAAAGTACAGCAATGTTCAACCATGTCATTACACAATTCCTGATAAATGAAGAAGTCTGGTGTGTATAAACAACATAAGAGGTATGTAATATCAAAATTAATGCTGCAAGATAAATTAGTTATTTAAATATACTACAGTGCACACATTTTTTATTTTAAAGATTCATAACTGTAATAAACCATAATAATGCAACCATGATTTACTGTTGAATCAGCCATTACTTGAATACTCTAGTATTAAAACCACAAAAAATACAACCACCCAAATAATGAATAATGTACCCTTAATTTGTTATAAGAACCGCTACAAGCAGGCTACAACAGTGTAATGTATTACCCAGGGCAGATGTGACAATTTTCAAAGCATTTAATTTCATTGTATTGTTGCAATTATCTTAAAAAAAAAAACCAGCATCGAATATAATGAAACGCCAGTTTCTGGGCGAGTCCCGTTGGCTCCCTGAAGCTATCTTACTGATCAAGTGCCATACTACTTGAGTGTCATCAGTCACAGAGATCTTTGTAAGCCTACTGGAGACCACAAGCCAGAACCTGGCCCCCCTCAGAGAGGCAAAAGGAGCAATGGCCCATGAACACTTAACATTGTAAAGTATGCTTAGGTTGCTGCAACCTCGCATGTTGCAACAAACTAAATCACGCATGCAGTGCTGAAACTGCCTGCACACGAATATCAATCTCAGTGGACTGGTGTGAATTTGATTACAAGCAAGGAACACCACTCGCAGGACTCTGGGTCAAAGATGTCATCGACCCAACAGGAAGTATGGCAGAGGCAAAAGCGGTGAGTGTCACCCTGAGACAAGGGGACAGAGCAACCTTTCCACTCACAAAGTGGGATGAGACTCGGAGGTCTCCTCCATTGGACCAAAGAGCCCCAATGGGAGCTTCCAGAGCCCTTAGTTTGAGTGCTGAGGGAAGCCCAGGCGAGGTACTGCTAACCAATTATTCCAAAGCTATCAAGCAAACAAACTAAAATCTGAACCCCTGCGACGTGTGCAAGCACGGGGATCTAGTGGAGGGCCACCAAAATCCTACAAGTGATCCTACCGACACACGAGGCAGACCCCACCAGACAAAACAAAAAACAAAAGAAAAAAAACACAAAAGCACAACATCTCCAGGTGAACAGAACCGGTCACTATGCATATATGCATATATCAGACAGCTGCACAGTACATCGTGCCCCAGTCAGCGATGAAACTACCTCCTACCCAAGGGCAAACAGGAGTAAGAAACACCCCAGCTGAACCCCAAGGGCGGGCAATCACCGAGCAGCTACAGAGCCTCGAGGGGGTAGTTCCCCAAAAGCTCAGGGAAGATGACCCTAGGCCTCAGGAGGGGCAATACTTACAGGGCACCTTGGGAAGGTGACCCCTAGGTGCATGCAGCTCCAGTACTCTTGTGTTACTCCTGGCTTGCAAACCACCAACACAGAAGAACAACTATGCTCTGCAGCACTGCTCAAAAGGATGGAGCCAGAGTCGATGACCGTCACCAAGCACAACAGCCTCTTAAATGAGGAGGAATGGCCGGTGCGGAGGTCTGGGATCCTCCCTTCCCCCTCCTGGAGTGGGGGAGTTGTGTAGACAGCCGTGCGGCGGTTGTGGTGACATCATACTTGTTTGCGTGTTTTCTATTGGGGAGTTCTGCTTGTTAGTCCAGCTTTCAGTTTGCAATTTTTGACTAGCTGTAGTCTGTTTTGGAATTCCTACCTTTCTGTGTGCCTGACCTGGTAGGTAGCAGACAGACTGCTTCCAATTACAAAGGGGTGTCTATAAGCCATTGATCCTCATGCCTCATCTGAGGGGGGCCAGGTTCTGGCTCTGGTCCCCAGTAGGCCTACAACTTAATCAACTGACTGTTGCCATGGTCTAATACATGTATATGCACATCAGCCCGGTATAGCTCCGGGGAGCCGAAGGGGCTCTCCACAGAAATAAGGAATACTGTACATAAACTGCAAAATTACTTAAGAAAACTGCTTTGAACTCTGACTACCGGAATTATACCTAAGCTTCAGGGCATGATTATAGAAATTTTTGGACTTGCACTTATTCATTTCCATAATATCACTGAAAGTCTTCCCTTTCCTTGATATCATTAAAAATTCTTCTAGTATCTGAAGCCAGCAGATTACACTTCTCAACAATAATAACAAATTTCCTTGCACTATCGTACCATACAAAATCCTGAAATTTCCAGTCAATATCCTCTTCACATGTCACAATGCACACAATGGATTTTAGAGAACAAAAATTAAGTTAAGGTTATCCTTCTGGAAAATAAAAATAAATATTGAAACATGGAACTGCACATTTTTGTCTCACCTCTTCCTGGCAGCTGAAGTGAGTGCAGTCATATGAGGCACATATCCAACATCATCCCTCTTGTGATAAGGAGTCGTAAAGAAGGCTTTAATTGCTTCTAGCGCAGAAGGATTATAAACCATGTCCAAAGCTGATGAGCTGACAATCAGCCTGCAAAGACCACTCAAATTCTTGATTGGAATAAGATGACAGGCTTTGATGCCCAATATATGAAAAATGTTTATTTATCTTTCTTTGCTATAGCCAAACTCTTATACAAATTATCTAACTATATTTGCATATCAGTATGTGTAATACAGGTTATTAAAATGTGCAAAATAAATTTATCCTGCAAGTCAGACAATATCACATACAATACAGACATTGCATGTTACTTTTTTTTGCTCCATTTTCCCTCTTTATGATGTTGGCTGCTGTCCTATGATTGCAACTTAGGGCTAACTCCATTAGCAAGTGAAAAATAAACGACTGTACTTACTTGTGGTCAGCTTTGGAATTAAACGGCCGACACTCGTACATGAGGGAGAAGAGGGGACCTTCCACTTTGGTTTGCACTGGAGACATGATATTTGTTAGCTTGGCATACATTGTGGACGTTCTTGACATACTGGTAGTCAGTGTCGATCCTGATGCCCGATTTTGAGGAGATACCAATAAAGGAAATGCAGACTCTTCAGTAACCTAAAAGGAAAAGTATTGTAATTCTAGACAGCTTTTTTTTTAAATGTTTAGGCAATCTTATTAGTATGGTGTGACAGGTTAAGTTTAAGCAAAATACTTCTGAAAGATAACAGTCTTCTGCAAATGTGGAAATTACAATTCCTGTCTGCGTCAACAAATGATATTTAAATTTAACGTTAAAATATTCTTTGAGGAGGTAATCTCAGGAGTTAGTCAGCTTGTTGTGGAATTGCATCCTTATCTTGAGGTTATCTTGAGATGATTTCGGGGCTTCAGTGTCCCCACGGCCCAGTCCTCGACCAGGCCTCCACCCCCCAGGAAGCAGCCTGTGACAGCTGACTAACACCCAGGTACCCAGGCTCGAGGTAAACCCAAGGCTGAATTACTGACCCCACCCAGGGAGCCGGTCGGCCGAGCAGACAGCACGCTGGACTTGTGATCCTGTGGTCCTGGGTTCGATCCCAGGTGCCGGTGAGAAACAATGGGCAGAGTTTCTTTCACCCTATGCCCCTGTTACCTAGCAGTAAATAGGTACCTGGGAGTTAGACTGCTGTTATGGAGCTGCTTCCTGGGGGAGAGGAAATGTTAGTAGTTAGTAACAGTTGATTGACAGTTGAGAGGCGGGACGAAAGAGCAAACCTCAACCCCCCACAAGCACAACTAGGTGAATACTAGGTGAATACATCCCTAGGAAGAAGTGTGTGTAGCAACTGTCTAACTCCCAGGCACGTATTTGCTGTTAGGTGAACAGCGACATCACATGAAAGAAACTCTGCCCATTTGTTTCTGCCTCAGCCGGGAATCAAACCCCGGCCCTTAGGAATACAACCCCAGAGATCTGTCCACCTGGCTGTGAGGACCCTGTGTGTGCTCGTGTGCTCGTGCAGAAATGCTGAAAAATAGAACATCAAACACAGCCTACACACCCAAAAAGGTAGAAAACATAGGAAAGAAAATTAATAGTTGAGGTACCGGGTATGCAGTGGGGAGTCACTGACTGGTAAGCTAATCATTCTGAGTTTAAATCTTCACTGAAGGAAAAGTTCCAGAAACTAATTTATGAATCAGTGTTACTTTACCTTGTCCCTTAAACTCAAGGAGCCCAGTTCAAGGTCAAACTTGTAAGACTTGCTTCTTGGTCTAGACTCTAAGGCCATTTTAACATCTGCAAATTCCAGTTCAAACAATGCAATTCTGCAAGAAAGACCATATTAAATATTTTATACTTTTTCACATATTTGTGTACATAATGGCAGTAATATTTTGTATACTGCAATTAAAAGAAAGAAATATGACAGTGAAATTATGATGATGAGCAGAGCAAAGTAAGGACAGCTTTATCAACTTTTACATCTAAACCAGAAACCAATCTTAAACTCTTTAAAACTGAACAAATTAAAGTGTGATATATTTAGGCACAACTGGATTACTTAACACACTGCACCATTCTTAAATTTTAGAATAATAATCTGTTCAAAGAACAGCTGAAAATGCATTCAAATGTACAGTGATTATATTGCTATACCAAATTTAATTTTTGCCATAGGCAATCATGTTTGTCAATTAATCTCTCTCATAAGAAGATGGTAACACTCGCCAGCACCTCATCTCTCTCAAGTGTATTTAACACATACATAGAGTAGGTTAGAGGAACAGCTTCTTCATTGTCACTCTACTACAACATTATTCATTGCATTTAATGTAATGACATGTCAAGACATCATTACCTTTATTCATTCTCACCGCATCTTCAACAAATTGCTTTTTCATATGGTTGCTATTACTTCTACACTCACAGGGAGACATGCCCCACTCATACCATGCATACATACATTGTTATTACCTCATTCCCCACTTTCATGGAAAACATCAGCCTCAAGAAAATAATAAATAATAAAACACATCACTCGTCCCCTCATTATACCAATTACTCATATATACCACCATGGATAACAAACACAACACCACTCCAGCAGTAAACCACCACTTTTAAGACATGGTGAATAATGCTCCTAGTGAATTGGCATGTACATTACAGCACATACAAACACATTTACTCTCAGATTACAAAAAACCTCCACCCATTTATGTACTTCACCATACACTGTGATGTTCACACACTGCTTCCTCACACAATTGCTCATCTAGTCCACCACATTCTTTTCAACCCTCTTCCTCCTCCTCCTCCTACCTTCAAATATTTTCTCTTCAAAAGTCTACCATCATCCATTCATTCCCTGTTGTACCAGTGTCAATATAACATCCTGCCTGACTGCATGATCCAGTCAACAACAAAAAGGGATCTAAGATGATAAAGCTAAATATTTTACTCCTATGGTATTGTACTGTAATAGAATAATGTACTTAATTACTCACTTTGGTTCCTTTTCCTCCATGTTGGTGCCTGGCACCAGTGATGTGGTGGATGAAAGGGTAAATGTGCTTTGCTTCAGTGCAAAGCTCAGCTGACAAAATACTGCATCTCTCTTCATGAAAGTATTGTTTTCAACAGTGTCAGAAAGCACGTATAAAATTTCTTCCTCCAGGGAACCCGAAGGCTGTTTTTCTAACTCCTGATTGTCATCAGACTCGGGGATGGATTGCACTTCATGTTCCATGGGAATGTTAGGCCTTTGGAGAATATCTTGTTGTGGTGAAGGGGCTGAGCTTGCACTTGGAGCATACCAGCCACCCCAAGCTGGAAACCAACGCTGGAGAATCCCCTCACCACTGTGTATTGGAGATGTCTCTTCAGGGACAGTGGGAGTGGTATAGGGTTTTGTCTCTCGTAATAATTCAAGTTCTTTCCCAACTCTTTCCATGGCAATCTCTCGCAGAGAACGAAGCTCATTAAAGTTTAATTCCTGTTCAACCTGTAGTTTGTGTGCTTTGCACTCAGTTGACACTGTAGCAGGATTCCTAAGGTGTTCACTATAAACTTGCACATATTTAACAATATCTCTGGCTCTTTGTTGTGCCATGGGCCAGTTCCTACCTATGTATTTTTTGTTTATTCTATCTAAATGGCACTGAATAGGATACTGCCACCATTCATGAGGATTATCTTTAACTAAGCAGCATGGCCTCCATTTTCGATAATGACGAGCTTTCTCCAATCTGTCATATTCTTTATTCCATTTGACCACTTGCCGATACTGAGATTCACTCAGACCGAGGGGAAACTTTTCCAGCTTAAGGTCACATGTCATTCGAGGGTTTGAACGAGATCTGAGTGGCGCTTCACTCAAATTTCGTTTGACGCAAGCTGTGGCACTGACAGGTTGCAATAAATACTCATGATCACGCTTTTCGATGGCAGAAAACATCAGTGCCTGTCGAGGAAAACATTTACATATTATTATTTCTTAAAAAATTAATAGGCAATTAATGGCAATAACTGACCCTACAGTTTAATTTTCAAGCTATAGTAATTAGATGCTTTAGTTCAAACTTGCACACGTTTGGTTATTATTCTAGAAAAAAAATTTAAAGTTAATGAACAACTACAATTATTAAGATAATGAAGCCATGTTTAACTACATAACTTGGTAGTGAAACAGTTGGTCACCCAACATGTTTCAGATTTGACAAGACACAGAGGCAGCCTTTGGTCACCCAATAAAGAAATACTTTAGAATGCCCAGTACCATTTGCTGTCTCCACCTATATTTTATACAGTATATCTATACAGTATGTTTGATGCACAATTCCCTCAAGGAACTTTTATCTGAAGGGTGGTCATGACAGGAAAGCATTCAGACAGCTATCTTGAGGTTATCTCAAGATGATTTTGGGGCTTAGCGTCCCAGTGGCCCGGTCCTCGACTGGGCCTACTGTTCGTTACACACCCCAAGGAAGCAACCTGTAGTAGCTGGCTAACTCCCAGGTACCTATTTACTGCTAGGTGAACGAGAGCATCAGGGTGAAAGAAACTCTGCCCATTTGTTTCCGCTTCCAATGGGGGTTCGAACCCACAACCTTAGGACTACGAATCTTGAGCGCTGTCCACTCAGCCATCAGGCCCCCCCTTGATGACTGGTTCATGTTCAGCTCACTTGAACATTCTTTTAGTTCCCATGGCATATTTCCTCTGTTCCTTAACTTTACCTCTACACAATGCTGGTTATCCACCAGTCTTTCTGTTTATAAATTTCACCCCTTACAGTTCACCTCTTTTGTATCCTCCTGTAATCCTATCAGCCATCATTCTCTCCACATGTCCCAATAACTGATAAGGACACATTATGAAATAACAAGAACACTATGTATTTATGAGAGAATACTGAAACAATCGATGGGTTTGAACCTACATTCCTGGGTTTCCCAGGCATGTACAGTTGCATGCCTGCTCATTATCTCAATGAACTAAATGAAGCATAATGAACCAAAAGTATCTCAACCAGAAGTACTTTCTAACTTAAGAGTTGAAACTTCCCTAACACCTCCCATATATTTTTCATTGTTATATTCAAATCAAATCAAATCAAAACCAAATGTTTATTCAGGTAAAAGTACATACATACAAGATGAGTTACAATCATAATGTTGGATTTCTAGAAAGAGCTAGTACATACAATGCCTAAAGCCACTAATACGCACAGCGTTTCGGACAACATTATTTATTCCTGCTCAATCATTGTCACCACAGATTTCGTAGACTATGGAAGAGATAGTCACAGATGACTGGTGTGTTGCATTTGGCGTAAGCTCTGGGAAGCCACCACTGAGGCCTCAAGAAAGGAAGATTTCATTATTCTTGGTGCTTTTTTATTTACAGCTCTAACATGGAAAAGAAATAATCTTTTCATATTTACCATTAATTACTCTAACATTCATAATGGTCACCAACTTTTTAACAGGAAAAAGGGACAGTATCTCCAAATAAATTAGACCTATTGGAAATACCTAGGATGAATATCCCATGAATATTCCATAGATGAATAAATGAATATTTGATTCCACTCACACTGCTCCAAACATTTTATCAGAAGTATAAAGAATGAGAGCCAGGGTTTAATGTTTACAACTCTGAGCAATGAAATTTACCAATAGGCTGTGATCTCATATTTTTCTTTTTTTTTTACGATATGGAGAAAATCATCATATTCATTTATGTGGTAATAGTGATAAATTTAACTAAAACTTTATACAAGGTTTAATAAATAAACAAACTGGAGAAACCTGGTTATGTACTCACCTAGTTGTACTCGCCTAGTTATGCTTGCAGGGGTTGAGCTTCAGCTCTTTGGTCCCGCCTCTCAACAGTCAATCAACTGGTGTACAGAGTCCTGAGCCTATTGGGCACTATCATATCTACATCTGAAACTGTGTATGGAGTCAGCCTCCACCACATCATTGCCTAGTGTATTCCATCTGTTAACCCCCTCTGACACGGATAAAGTTCCTTCTAATATCCCTGTGGCTCATTTGGGTACTCAGTTTCCACCTGTGTTCCATTGTGTATGTACCACCTGTATTAAGTAAGCTTTTTTTTTAAAATCTGTCAATTCCTCTGAGAATTTTGTATGTGGTGATCATGTCTCCCCTAATTCTTCCGTCTTTCAGTAATGTAAGGTTTAGATCCCATAGGCTCTTCTCGTAGATCATACCCCTCAGCTTAGGTATTAGTCTAATGGCATACCTCCGAATCTCCAATTTGATCTTGGGCTTGACAAGATATGGACTCCACATTGGAGCTGCATACTCCAGGATTGGTCCAACATATGTGGTATATAAGGTCCTAAATGATTCCTTACACATGTTTCTAAAGGCAGTTCTTATGTTTGTTAGCCTAGCATATGTCATTGATTATCCTCCTTATGTGGGGTTCAGGGGACAGGTCTGGTTTGGTATGAACTCCCAGGTCTATCTCCCCCCCCCCCCCCCCCCCCCCCCCCCCCCCCCCCCCCCCCCCCCCCCCCCCCCCCCCGATTCTTGAAGGATTTCATCTCCCAAATGGTACCAAGGGGCTAGCGAGAAATAAAGTAGTTGGATCTGATGGAGTTTGACCTTGAGTTATCCATCCAGCCACAACTCAAGACAGTAATTGATACAACAATCCTTAGGCCTAAATAGGTACTCAGACTGGATATTTTCTTTGGTTCATTTAACGAACAAATATTGTGATGTATTATCATGTATAAAATTAATATTTTTCCATTATAAAATTAAGACAACTTGTACAATTGTGAGCAGGTTCAAGCTGATGGAACAGTGCGACAGTGTATATGTAATGTACTGTACACTAGAATCAACCTATATCTTTATCTTATAATCTGTCTTATGTCCATTTTCTTGTGTAATGTTGCACCACATTTATTCAACAATTGTACCAACTTTCCATGACATACATAGTAAGATACTGAACCTAATTTTCTTAAAAACTGAAAATATTATTATTAATAAATTTCATTATATACAGTAATTCTACACCTCCAGTAATGCCAAATAAAATGCAATACACAGATTTTTTTTAGGTTCTTACCGCTAATTCCCCAAAGGACTTGCCACTGTAGACTTCAGTGGTGGTATCCCAGTACAGCCCCATGTTAGTCAACTCCAGTAGCTTGTAGGCCATCTTTGAGTCTCCACCATACACAAACCTAAGAAAAAAAATTACGTAAGTAATTCATTCGTAACACAGAAACCAAGTACAGTATTGTACTAAGACACAGTAACTTCAGTCCTCTTGAAGAAAATTGCAAAGATTATAACAAATCCAGCGTTGAATGTAATGAAAAGCCATTTTCTGGGTGAGTCCAGGAGGCTCCCTGGAGCTATCTAGGCTGATAAGGATACCCTAACTTTTGGCATCAGTCAATGTGGATGGAGGTCTAGGCCTACCGGGGACCACAGCCAGAACCTGGCCCCTTCAGAGAGGCACGAGGACCAATGGCCTATAGAAATGCACATGTGATTTTTGGAGAATTCTATATCTGCCATTGATCGGGACAGGCACCCAGAATGGTAAGCGCCCCAAAACAAACCCCTATTCTGGTGAAAACGACAAAAATAGACAAACGAGTGGACAGAACTCCCCAAATGAAAATGCGCAAACAAGCATGACGTCACACAGAGCCGCACCGCACATCTGCGCAGCTCCCCCCCTCCCCGGGAAGGGGAAGGAGAAGGGGAACCCCAGACCCCGAGCCGGCGATCTACACCCCAGTTCTGAGGCTGCATATCAAAATACATGAAAAACCACTGACCGGAGGGAGGAAGGGTTACCAGGGAGCCTCCGGGACTCACCCAGAAAATGGCATTTCATTACATCAAACGCTGATTTTCTGGGGGAGCTCCTACGGCTACCCGGAGCTACTTCACCAAAGACGAAAGATAGGGGACATACCCGGGAGGCGGTCGGTGCTCACACCTCAACTCGAAGTCGAGACAACTGGCTGCAACCGCCAACCCAAGATGATGCAGGCCCAATGAGGCCCAGGAACAGTCATGAGGAAACATGCAGCCAGGATCCTGTTCGACCGCGAAAAAACCCCGTGCCCGAATGTCAACCCAAGACATGTTACCAAAGGCAGCAGCAAAAGCATAAAACTTACGAACGTCATGGGCACGGGGAAAGACCGCTGGCGGGCTAGACTTAAAAACCCTGCAGATGACCAGAGAGACCCGTACCCGCGAACAGGGAAGAAGGGAAACCGGATGAACCCACGGCACGTCCTCGAACGCACAAGCCATGGCGTGCAAAGAACGGCGGAGGGCCACAATCGGACACAACACATGATGCACCTCGGCCTGACCAACCAAGCATCAACAACCCAAGGACCCCTCCAGAAAGCAGCAGACACATTCTTCGCTAGAAAGAAGGAGACGGCTGCAACCGAACACTACAACCAAAAGAGCAGAAAACCCCTGCGCCGTAAAACCACTCGGCGCCCATAATTTGCTAAACTTCTCAGCGCCATCACAGCTAAAGTATGTCACATAAAAAAAAAAAATTAGTTTCCCGTGATCAGAGATTGCACTTTAACAATATAAGAAAATAAAGTAATTTTGTGCAAAGAATTTATTTTTGGCACACTACAGGAATGTCATATTTTAAGGCTGAACAGCATGTTGGTTAACCACAGCACCCTACAACTTCAATAATGAAAATTATCGAGACCAATATTCCTTCTACTTAATTAACTTACCAACGCTACTCTATACAGTATTTTAGGAAATATTTTCTTCACATGCAAATTAATCTGTGTGACAATTTAAATTATTGTATGCTCATTATGGTATTGTACACACTACTGGACCAAAGACAAAATGTCATTCCAGGTCTTACCTAGGGATCCAATGGTCATCAGAGCTCTGGAGAGCAAGAGAATCAATTGTAAGTCCATAGGCAAACACCTGTCCTGGAATACTTCGGTCATCTTCGTACCTCAGATGAACATCACGTATTTTCAGCTGAAAATACAGTAAGATTAAATTACTGATCTTAAAATACGAGCAGTCATATTCAGAAAGTGGCTGTACATTTATAATTAACTTAGTCTAAACAAATATGCATTTGACTCATTTATAATAACAATTATATATTTAGTGTATAATAAAAATGGCAATGCCCATTATGCCATGATGATAATAAATACACAAGATAATGCAAAGAACAGTAACTTACTAAAGATAATGCAAACAATAGTAACTTATAATTCTAACTTCATTAATAGATATTGTGCATTATAAAAAAGGACAACATAACTGAAAATCATCTGCCTTTTTCGATAAGCTATAACAATTATTCTGATTCTGAAACTAAGATATAAAATGAAAACACATTGTTTACAGTTAGAAGTATGACATGCATATTAGCTATGAAGGAAACTCAATAAGATGCAGTACATGAAATATGAAAATGAGACTTGCATTGACTAAATATAACACAGATTTATATAAATCTGCACAGCCTCTGAACTCATCATCAAATGATTCAGAGGCTAGCTAGATCAAACTCTTTGAGCACAAGAGCTCATTTGGCAAGGATCAGTTTTCAATAGGTCTTAAATTGCATGTCAACAAGCCATTTCTTTGGGACAGTAATTCCTTAATAATGTCAAATATTCAACTGAGGGTATCCCTGTGGACCTTCTTGCTTTATTCTGTCCCTTGCTTTATTCCGTCCTGTAGACCAACTACACCATTATGCAAATCACTTATTCATATGTCTTATAATATGATTTACTTTATGGTTCATGTAGACTGGGACAGGAAGCCTGTTACATTCATCCAGGTCTCTTCTTGGCCAACTACTTATAACCTTCACCAGGTAGTGCCCTCAACAGGTGCCTAAATTATGAGTACCTATTTACCGTTAGGTGAACAGAGGCATCAAGTTAAATGAAACATGTTCAACCATCTCTATCCCACCCAGAAATCTAACACTGGATCCTTGATCGAGAGCTAGGCATGTAGACCACTATGCTTCGAGTGGTTAGTGATAAACAAATGCCTGAAAAAATAATTGACTGTTTACTGGACATTTGACTCCCTTCAAACAAGAGTTTTGTCTTGTACTTGTACACAGTTTGGCTTATCAAGGTCAGCATTTCACAGGTACCATAGTTCACAACCATGCAAACTGAGAACATTGACTGTTCATAGCTTTACTTGGAGCCAGGAGTCAAGATGACTCAAATCACTAACATTTGTTCTGACTTTCAAGTCAATGAGTGCATCAGAAAAATCTACTATCAGGCTCTTTGAGGATATATCACGACTACAATGCTTTTCAAATGTTTCACTAGAATCTCTCTGCCTAGTAGCTCTAGTTCACGCTCTGGATAAAACATAAAAAGTCCACCAAGTTAAAAGCAACAAAGCACATTTGCCAGGATTGAATGCAAGGTTGTATTCAGCATTATATCTTCCACACATTTGTGATGCCAGGAAAGACATGGTAAAGTCTTGAATTTTTATTTCAAATTTTCTTGAGATTTTAAGGTGGTTAATGTATTCTGTTAATGGATTCTGTCTAATTCACTGTTCCCTAACACCAGCACAACCCTGCAGGGACAATCTGGAAATGTTCCTTGTGGCACCAGTACCAGAATGTGGCCCTGGCTAACTGTTCTGTGGATCTTACCTCAGGATGCTTCCAAATGGGATAGCTCAGAAATAATATGTACATAATACAAATGAAATAAATCCATAAAAATATAAAATAAATACTGAACAGTAATACAAAAGTACATTAATTAAACAAAAAAATTAAACAATAAAAATGAAATGCAATATCTTTATTAAACTAACTAAATATGTGACAATATACATACATCTCAAAATAAACTTGTGGGGAAACAAAGTGAAATTACAATGATACCTGTATATTTTCAATGATATTAGTCAAGAATGAAGTGCCATAGCTGAGCCATGATGAGTAAGAATTGGCATAGTGGGAGGCTTCATAGCGGGCCTCCTGATCTGCTCTCCATGCAGCTTCCAATCCATCAAGCTGTGCAATTTTGCGGGCCTGAAATGCTGCTTCCTCAGCCTCTTCATCAAACTGTAACCAAAATATAATTAACGATTTGTTATACAGTATATAGACCAAGGTGCCAAATTTTGTCAATTTTTATGATTACAAGTACCAGCCTACCTAATTATCTATCATAGTTCATCAAAATTAAATCTGATAATGGTGGTTGGGGGAGTCTTAACAATTATTATGGTAGTGCTTTACTTTGTAGCAGTTGTTGTAGTAGTAGTGTAGCAGTGGTTGTAGTGTAACAGAACAGTAGTTGTCGTATTAAGTTTGGTGGTCATTGTATTGGAGGCCGAGATGATGGTGGCTGTGGTGGTCATTGTCTTGGAGGATCGGTACTGTATATAAAATAAGTTATACACTGCTGTGAATGATCTGCTGGAGTGCATCCGTGTCCACGTACTGCTGGAGTGCTGCCATGTCCACATACTGGAGAGCAGCCATGTCCACGTACTGCTGGAGTGCGGCCGTGGAGTGCAGTGGTGTTCACATAATGCTGGAGTGTAATTGTGTTCATGTAATTTACCTGAATTTATTTAAGGGCCAACCATCTTTAGTGGTCTCAATGAGGACAGGAAGCTGATGGCTTGTCAAAGGTACCCCACTTGTCCTGATATTATCAAGCTGGATCTTAAATTCCAGCAGTTTTGACTTTTAACGCTTCCACGGATAGTCAGTTCCAGGGGTTTAGGGTTTTCAACTCTATGGGTGAAAAAGCATCTCCTGTTTTCTGTCCTACATTGTGCCTTGTTCATTTACATCTGACCTTTTGAAGATGGATCTGGATCAATATCTTTCAAACTTTCAAGTTTTGATGAAATCAGCCCTATAATTTCTGGTTTTGCTTGTTATTAGCCCTGTGGCCCTCAACTGTTCCAGGTATGAAAGTCAACTCAGTTCAGGAATGATTTTTGTCACCCTGTGTAGGACTTAATCGAAAGCAGATATCTCTTACTAAAGATGAGGATTCCATGCTAGGGTACAATAATTCAAGTAGGGGTACACCACAGATTTACACAGTTGAATAACTACATTCTTTTCCCAGAAATCATATAACTATTCATATAATAAAGCCACCCAAATGCCATACCTAGCAATTGGTTGCCATTTTTTACTACAGCTCTCACTTGCCGGCCATCTACAAATTTATCAGTAATACAGTATTCTCATTATGTCATTGATGTATATGATAAAAATGGTGGGCCCCAAAATGGAGAGTGACAGTGTTCACGTATTGCTGGCATGTGACGGCATTCATGTATTGCTGGTGTGTGGCGTCGTTCATGTAATGCTGGCGTGTGACTGCGTTCATGTAATGCTAGCATGTGACAGCGTTCATGTAATGCTGGCATGTGACAGCGTTCATGTAATGCTGGCATGTGACGCCGTTCAAGTAATGCCGACATGTGATGACATTCATGTAATGTTGGCGTGTGACAGCGTTCGTGTAATGCTGGCGTGTGACAGCGTTCATGTAATGTTGGCGTGTGACAGCGTTCGTGTAATGCTGGCGTGTGACAGCGTTCGTGTAATGCTGGCGTGTGACGCCAATCATGTAATGCTGGCATGTGATGGTGTTCGTGTAATGCTGGCGTGTGACGGCGTTCATATAATGCTGGCATGTGACGGCTTTCATGTATTGCTGGCATGTGACGGCGTTCATGTAATCAATAACTTTCATTCATGAATATTTGTTTTGTACATTTATAACTGGGTTATGTATATTAATACATAATACATGTATATTATGTATATTATTATATATGTATATTATGTATATTAATACATAATACAGGACTACTATTATATGTAATACATTGAATTGCCAAAGACCCATTTTTTTTTTTAGTTCAGTGTATAAACATTACAAAAGATCATTCCACCTGAAGTTTACCTTAGCAACTTAACCTAAGTACAGTAGTTTAAAGTCAAAGTAAGATTTACACAAATTTACATTAAATTATTTACCCAAGAGAAATCATAACATTTCATGAAATATCTGTAATTACAAACTGAATACTTGAGAATTAGATTTAAAAGCAACATTCATCAATAACTTTAAAATCATTAAACTGTAGTTGTCAAATTTAGAATAAGAAACTATTTCAATAACAACTTACAAAAAATCATTATGATAATGGCTAATATTTAATAAACAGGTGTACTGTACATTAGTCTAAATCAAACTGTACATTTTGCCTTAAAGAGAGTCATTCAGCTTCCAAATTGAAAAGTGATTTATATTGGAAAAATAAAGTGTAGTTTAATATTAGAGCACTGACCAATATTTCCACATTTTACATTACAAAAGTAGAATGATGAGAATATAATTTAATGAACCAATATAAACTAATCATGCAATGGATTTAAAAAAAAAATTCACCCCTCAGCTCTCTGTCAATAGATTCTAGGGCTATCCCAGATCAAAATCACTCCCAACACAGTTTATGCAACACAGATCTGACTTCATTAAGACTCAAAATGCGTGTCAGAAAAACCTCTCTGTGACAGTAACACCTTCAAAAGTCTAAATATCCAGCTGAGAGTCTCCCTGTTTTCTCTGCTGACTAGTTGTTTTATTCTATCCTATATACCAACTTCACCATTATATATACAGGTATCAGTTATTCTTAGGTTGTATTTCCTGGCAAATAAATTTATATGTCTGGAAAAATTGGAGTGGCCAGAGATAAATGAGTGCCTAAAGCAAGAATTGATTGAGTTTGCTGGATGGGTGATCCTTTCCGACAAAAGCATATAATTCATTTGTGATACTGTAACACGAGCTGACTAACTCCTGAGTACCTACTTACAACTAGAGGAAAAGGTGCATTAGGTGAAAGGAAATGTGCCTAACCATTTCTGTCCCACCCAGGATTCAAACCAGAAATCTCGATTGTGTGTTGAGAACGAACTCGACTGTATAACCAGGATCCTCCTAGACCCCCACCAGGTTCTAGTACATTAAAGTCAAAAATGGTGTAATGATTGAGTGGTTAATATCATATTGTGCCACATGCAAATGCAATACTTTCCCATTTACCCTAATTAACCCTACTAACTTAACTTTGGATATACAGTACAGTATATCAAAGTGACATACCTCCTCCAGTTTTACAGGTCCCGCAACAAGGTATAGCTGCTCGAACATAATGACCCATGGTTCTGAACGTAATCGTGAAACTGGAATCTGAAGTTTTACTTTCCCAACAAATCCAGTTCGGACCTCGACTGGCATGTCGAGGTGCCGAAGCGCATCCTTTCGTAGTGGTACATTTTCCAACTCAACTTCTCCTGTATGATGGAGAAATATATTAATACATAATACAGTACTACTATTATATGTAATACATCGAATTGCCGAAGACCAATATTTTTTTTTAGTTCAGTGTATAAACATTACAAAAGATCATTCCACCTGAAGTTTACCTTAGCAACTTGACCGAAGTACAGTAGTTTAAAGTCAAAGTAAGATTTACTACAGGACAGGAAAACCCTTTCAGGGTTCATGTATTTGACAAAATTTGCACAACAGTGCAACTTAATGGCCTCTCATTTTGTGGACCTACCACTGACCTTTCAGTTTCCAATTTATTAAAGGTTGAGAATCCTCACTAATACTCCAGACTGACATTCCTATCAGCTTTGGTCTATAGTAACAGAAGGATTCTCTAGAATCTCTAAATGTGCTTCTATTATTAATTAGAAACAATTTGACCAGAATTGCGCTTAAGAAACACGCAATTTGTTATAAACAATATTGAAACTTTCAACAGCTTGTCTGATGCTGACTTAGGAAGATACATAAGAACATATGAATAAAGGTAACTGCAGAAGGCCTATTGGCCCATACGAGGCAGCTCCTATTGATCTTTCAGTTTCCAATTAATTAAAGGTTGAGAATCCTTCACTAAAACAGGTGGCACGCATAGTGGCGTGACTGACATTCCTAGCAGCTTTGGTCTATAGTAACAGAAGATACAACTGGGCTGTGATGGAAGCTGTCATAGCATTTTATGGAAGCAGGCCCAGGCAGCACTGGTAACTAATGCTCTTTAACACGTAGCAAGTACTTATAGTCCCGAGAGTGCATGTGGTTACGTCCAGTCAATAGAAGGCTCTGGAGCTCAGATAAGCTGTTAACAAAATTATAATGTCCTTAGTGCAAGCATAGGCATAATGGATAACTCTGGTAAGACAAGAAAGTTATGGGTGATTCTGGCGGAAAAATGCTAAAAGCATTGTTCAAAATATTCAGCAGTTGCATGATACCAACATTTCACAAAGCATATAAGTACTGTGACTTGGAAAAATGTCCCAAGACCTGCTACTAAATCAATCTGGATCCAAAACACAAGAGCTGGAGTAGAGGTTGGAGGTGTTAAATATGCCCAAACCAATAGAACATTTAAGAAAAGGAGGAAATATTATATGATCAAAAATAAAATAACAATAGAAATTAACAAAATTGACAAGGATACTTTGAAACCCTCTACTTACCCTTAAGTAAACCAATTGATAGCTGGTCGGTGTGCAAATTTTCCAAATATTTTCCCAAGTAGTTGTTGAGTACCCATGTTGCCAATCCTTCAAGCATCCTGCCTTGGTGGATCTCTTACTTATGGAGCCTTAAGACCTGGTAAACAAATTTATATTAAGTAATTCCCACAATTTGCCTTGATACAAAAGCACTAATTTCATGTAAAGTAATTAATGCATCAAATTCATATTTGCCTACGTAATCAGTTTTCTTTTTCTTTTTTATTTTTATTTATATATAGAAACGTTCTTACATTCTTGTAAAGCCACTAGCACACACTGCATTTCAGGCAGGTCCTTAATCCTAATTTTCCCTGGAATACAACCCGCCAAATCATTTAACAACCAGGTACACAGAGGCTACATTTAAGGATTGGCACCCAGTCAATCCTCTCTTGCCGGAATACAAACCGGACCCATATATACACTTTTTTATACAATTAAAACAAATTGGCATGGTGACATCCCCTGCAGGCTTGCAACCTGGCCTGTTCTTTGACACCACCTGCAGTCCTATACCCTGGCCTGAACGGTGACACAACCTGTAGGGCCTGCACAGTGACACAACCTGTAGGGCCTGCACGGTGACACAACCTGTAGGCCTGCACGGTGACACAACCTGTAGGTCTCTATTGTTTATTCTTAGACTAATTATATTTGAGGATTTATTACCAAACAAAATATAGAAAGTTTTGTCAATGTTAAGGGTGAGTTTGTTAGCAGTTAGCCAAAGATGGACTTTATTTAGTTCAGTATTGACTGACATTTAGAGCAAGCGGGTCAGGACTAGAGAAAATGAAAGTTGTGTCATCAGCAAATAAGATTGTTTGAGGTGTTGGGAGGCATTTGGAAGGTCATTAATGTAGATGAGAAAGAGGAGAGGGCCAAGTATGCTGCCCTGTGGAACACAAATATTTATGGGTAGTGTCGGAGAAATTGAATTATTCACAGAAACATACTGGAGCCTGTCAGTAAGGTAAGACTGAAGGTATTGCAGGGAGTGACTTCTGACTCCATAATGATGTAATTTAAGAAGGTTTTGGTGGTTGACAGTGTCAAAAGCCTTACATTGGTCCACAAATAACCCAACAGGGAACTCATTTTTATCAAGAGCTGCATGGATCAAGTTAATCATAATAAGTGCATCGTTAGTGCTTTTATTGGGTCTGAAACCATATTGGCAAGAGCTAAGTATATTGAGTTTATCTAGATGATGTGTAAAGCTGCTTGTAGATTAGCTTTTTAAATATTTTAGACAAGGTTGGAAGAATTGAGATAGGTCTGTAATTGTTGATATCAGTGAGATCACCACATTTATGGACAGGGGTTACTCTCGCTTTTTTTAGAATATCCGGAAAGGTTTGGAGTTCAAGTGATTTGTTGAAGAGCAATGCAATGGCAGGAGCTAGAAATCTGGAGGCTTTTTTGTAAATTAGAGATGGTATCTCATCAAGGGCGCTTGACTTTGTTTTAAGGGAAAGGATTACCTCATTAACATCAGAGGAAGTAGCAGGAGCTAGGTACAGAGAGACTGGAAAAATATTTGGAAACGACTCCTAACCTATACTTCTTTTCAAGGTCATGTTTTTTATTAATAGATTTAAGTATACCCATTGTAAGCCATGAAGTGTTTAACCTTTTATTTGTAACTTGTTTCGTTAGCATTGGACAACGGGAGTTATAATTAACATTTTGAATATTAAACTAAATAAACATTTATTTATTTATATATTTATTTATAAAGGTTCAGAGTTTTCTGAAGAAATGTTTGCACTGCTAGAGTGATGTTCACTATGTCACCTAATTCAGCCTCCCAGTTAATATTAGCAGCAGCAGCAGCAATAAAGTTGCTTATAGAAGTTCCATTGTGCAGCCTAAAGCTTATTTTCCTTGTTCCTTTTTCCTTTTCTCGTACGTGTTGGATGGGAGTGTTGAACATTGTGAGGGTGGGTAGATGAACAAGTCTTTTTTTCAGTAAAAATCTGATAATAGGTTTGTGGGGTCCAGTCCCTGAGCCCATTATGTGGCTGTAACCCTTTCCACTACCGCCCACAAGATGGGTATGGAGTGCATAATAAATGAACTAAACTAAGCTAACTCACCCAGACATTACAACCTGCGGTATGATGAATCATTCTCATTTACTACAAATGGTCCCCGGACAACATAGCCAGACATAACACACATCTAACCTTGTCACTGAATGGACGATCATTACCGTGATCGTAGAGTTACTGCCATGTTATAGAGGTAATACTGTCAGTGTTGTCATTGATGTTTGGAGGCGAGGTGTGTGTGTCGTACACCAGCACCGTGTTGTTATTCCCGGCCCTCGTCTCCTCCCTCAACCATTTAACTGCGCACCTTAAGTCACTCTGAAGCTTGTATTTTCTCTCCCGATTCCATGTATGACTAACTATCGTGTGAGATGGGAATACTAGATGAACGTATAGCTAGTTGTTTAGGCAGAGGAGTTGGTTTGTTTTTATATTGAGGCAGGTATTTTCTCCCCCGATTCCATATATGACAAACCATCCGGTGAAATGGGAATATTACATGAACTTATAGCTAGTTTTTTTATCTACATTGTGCAATCTTTCATATACAATACGGTAGCAGCACATTGCTGTCTATACCTAAGTTTTTTAATAACAAACTTATACTGCATTCAAATAATACAAAATAAAATATAATTTAAATCATATTTGAACAATTATATTGCATCCAATAATAATATAAAATTAGAATACTTATGTTTTTACAAGGTACAATTTGTTTAATTATACATACAAGAGTTCTTACATTTTTTTTATTTTGCAGGCTTAAGTATACACAGCAATGTGCTGCTACCCTATTCTGACTCGACAACTAGCTATAAGTTCATCTAATATTCCTATCTCACAGGATGGTTCGTAATACATGGAATCAGGGGAGAAAATGCCAGCATCAAATACAAATGTTTTAGTTTAGTTCATTTATTATGCACCCCATACCCATCTTGTGGGCGGTAGTGGAAAGGGTTACAGAGGCACATAATGGGCTCAGGGACTGAACCCCACAATTCATTTAGCTAAGCAAGTTACAATCTTGATGAGCTAGGTACAACATTCAGTATAAGTCGTCACATCATCAATGGGTTCGAGATCGACCTCAAGTCAGGTTCTAAATTAAGCAACTGACATATGTGGAGAGCTAGAGTCACAATTTATATGTTTGTCCTGCACACCGCCCCCCATCCAGTGGGCAGCGGTGGATAGGTTACAATCACTCAGTTACTACCTACAGTTAGCAAATTGGGGATATTTGGCTAAAATTTCTGGTAGCAGATCATTTTGAATAAATAAATAAGTATATTTATTCAGGTAAGGTACATACATACAAGTGATGTTACATTAATGGATTGATATATAGATAGAGCTAATACATACAATGCCTAAAGCCACTATTACGCAATGCGTTTCGGGCAAATGAAATGAATGAAATATTTACACATCGCTGGAACATTGGTTATAGAATTGTCTCTAAATTCACGTATCTTTTCGCACTCCGTCACATAGTGACGGAGGGTGTGCGAATAATTTTGTTGACACAGTTTACATTTGGTCAGGTCTACATCAGCAGATAATGAGAATTCCCAGAGATACTTGTAACCGAGTCTAAGCCGAGCAGTAGTAACATCTAGAAGTCTGCTGATTTTATTGGATGATCCATAGATGTGTGGCTCCTCTTGCATGATAGTATGATAGATGGAATTACTGGTGTCAATTTCACTTTGCCTCAAATCTACAAGATCTTGTTGAAGTTCTCGGTGTACTGCTGCTCTCAGATTGCTCATTGACAATCCAAGGTTACACTCAACGGCTCTTTTAAAGGCAGGTTCTTTGGCTAACTTATCAGCTCTATCATGCATTCGGAGGCCAACATGAGATGGAGACCACATGAAATGGACTCTGTTACCATCCTTAATAATTTTGTTGTATTTGTGTCTAGCTTCGGACACGAGCATGTTACAATTATGTCTTAAAGAGTTGAGAGCATTTAAGGATGATAAGGAGTCACTTACAATTAATGTATCAAGTTTGCAGACTTGTACACATTTCAGTGCTAGGATCAAGGCAAATAGTTCGGTCTGAAGGGTAGAGACCCAATTGTTTATACGGACTCCCCACTCAAAGTACAAGCCATCGCCCATTGTCAGAACAACTGCACTTCCAGCTGCACCCGTGGTGCGGTGTAGGGAACCATCAGTGTATATGATTTGAGAGAGAATGCTCTGTGGACAGAGCATCAATATGGCTTAAGGCATTGTGCTTTGCCTCAAGACGAAGCTTGGGCTGATCTCTAATTTGCTTCTTGGGTGGAAAGGGAGGGATTAAAACTCCTCCCTTTCCACCCAAGAAGCAAATTAGAGATCAGCCCAAGCTTCGTCTTGAGGCAAAGCTCAACGCCTTAAGCCATATTGATGCTCTGTCCACAGAGCATACACTCTGCTCTGTATGTTGTCAAAGACAGTGTCGTGAAAAAGAAGGAGGGCACGAGGGAGAGGCAGAACGGAGAGGTCGGAAATAGTAGCACGGAGAGTAAAGAGGCGCCAGTCAGCCTCGGCAAACCGCCACCTAGGGAAGGAGAGAGAAGGGTGAAAAGAGAAAAAAGAAACAAGGATAGAAAAATGGTTACTGCCATGGAGGTCATCAAGGACCCGCCACTCGAAATCTAAGGAAAGGGATGACGAGCACAGAGAAAGATCGAGACAAGAAAGGGAGCGAGTCCGAGAGTCCAAATGAGTGGGCTCACCAGAATTAAGAAGGGACAGGGAAGAATAGAGGATGAAAGGTTCAAGTAGGCGACCCCGGGTATTTGTCAGCACATCACCCCAAAGGGCATGACGACAATTGAAATCACCCAGCAGGAGCACAGGCTCCGGCATGGAGTCTAGGAGGTGTTTAAGATCGGAAAGAGAAAGTGGGACAGTGGGAGGGAGATAAATGGAACAAACCGTGTACCATCTGCGCACAAAGACACGGGCGGCAGAACAGTGGAGAGGCGAGGAAAAAAGTAAGGGGACAAAGGGAACATCGGAGCGAATCAAGAGAGCAGAAGAATTATGGATCCCAGCGACGGGGGGAGGGGGAAGGGGAGAAAAGAATAGCCACGGAAGCGACCAGGACGAGCACCAAGCATCGGCTCCTGGAGACAGACACAAAGGGGTGAAAACTGTGAAATGAGAAGTTGGAGGTCAAGGAAGTTGGCGTAAAATCCACGGATGTTCCATTGAAGAAAAGACATCAACAAAGAGAGAGAGGAGAGCAACAGAGAGCAAAGAAGAAACAAAGGTGAAGGAACACAGCACGCTAAAAGAGCACAGAGTCAGGATCAGGGTTAGGGGGCATGGGTAAACTGAGTAAAGAAGGAGGGAAAGAAGTGAGAGGACAGACCAGAGGTGGACGAGCAGGGTCCGGAGGAGGAGGAGGGGCAGAAAGAGGGGAGCACACCTCATCAAGGGCAGTAACCGAGATGGAACCAGGGGCTAAAGGAACCCCCACAGTAGGAACAGGGGGCTCCACCACCGAAGCGGGAGGGGGAGAAACGATAGAATCAGAGACAGGGGGGTGAAGAAGAAAGCAAAGCCTTCTTACCGACAGGGGAGGAGGAAGGAGAGGAGCCAGGTTTCCGCTTCTGACTCAAAGATACGGGCGTCCCAGCAGCAATGTACTGGGCAACAGACTCCAGCGTCTCGATAGGAGAAGAGCGAGAGCGAACAACACAACCATCAGGAGAGCGATGGACGTCGGCCCGCACAGTCAGGCGGCGTGGAGAGCCAAGTGACGGAGGAAAATGACAGGAAAGAGGACTAGAGGGAGAGGAAAAAGAAGACACTAGATGTGACAGACTGGGTAGAAAGAAGGGGAGCCCTAGACAGAGAACCAGGAGGGGGACCATTCGGAACAGAACAGAGGAAAACAGGGGAGGTGGTGGTGGGCGTGTCCGGGTCTAAGGGCCGGAAACGGTTGTGAGACTGAGGAAGGCGGGAAGGACGAGGAGAGGAAGAGCGCACCAAGCGAGCATAGGAGACACCAGCGAAAGAGGGGAGACGATGAACTTGGCGCCGAGCCTCAGGAAAAGACAAACGGTCCCGGTGCTTCAAGTTGAGGACAGCCACCTCAAGTTTGTAACGAATACACGCACGGAAGAAGGTAGTCAATCATTCAATTAATTAAGCGTCCCGTTTAATTCTATCCCCAATGAAATGAAAAGGGAAGGATAAGTTTTACGTTAATGTGGAACTTACAAGGGATTATCTTTTTTAATTAAGAAAATGCTTGTTGGTTTGCATGAGGAGACTAGGTGTAGAGATTTGAATTGCATTAAAAAATAAAGTGAAAATAAGCCAGTAAGGCAAATACCACTAAACACAATAAATTTTATAATTATTTATTTAATCAAAATTTAGGCATCAAAACAAATTTTAACAAATCCCTGGCTATAACCCTAATTAAGAGAGGCACTGTTGACCAGACCACACACTAGAAATTGAAGGGACGACGACGTTTCACAGTATATACTCAAATGCTCTAATCTTTCTAACAAACGTGACTTAACATAAGCTTTCCCCCTTCCATTTCTTTCTTTCTCTTTCCCTTTCTTTCTCTCTTCTCCCTTTTTCTGTTCATTGTCTTCTACGCTCCCTTGCTATCCTCTGCTTATTCCAATTACTATCTCCTTCGGTGGTTATAATAGGAGCTGCCTCGTATGGGCCAATAGGCCTGCTGCAGTTCTCATTACTACTATCCCCTACACCTGACTTTCCTCCTCAGCTCTCTCTTGCCTATTTAATGCCTGTCCCTACCTGTCCTCATCCACGGGAGACATCTCCCGTCACGCAGGGTGCAGTCGCACCTCCACAGATTTCCAGTATCATCTATTGATACTGGAAATGGCTCAAAAGGGCCACCACTTATGGGCTATTCATGCCCAAGCCACCTTTTGGGTGGCTTAATCTTCTCTCTCTCTCTCTCTCTCGTTAGCAGTCCGACCGCCATTTGGTCACCACTTGATCCGGGAGACATCTCCCGTCACGTAGGGTGCAGTTGCGCCTCCACAGATCTCCAGTATCATCTTTTGATACTGGTAATGGCTCGAAAGGGCCACCACTTACGGGCTATTCATGCCCGTGCCACCTCTTGGGTGGCTTAATCTTCATCACAATCGACTTGAGAATGGTCCAGGACGGACCGAAACGTCGTCGCCCCTTCAATTTCTAGTGTGTGGTCTGGTCAACATACTTCAGCCACGTTATTGTGACTCATCGCCTGCAAGAGAGGCACTGAAAATCTTCCATCAATTAAAGTGGAAGCCTATGGTATATCAAACTCAAGACAAACAGATACCTTTCAATACCACAGCCTGGCTCGATGGTGTCGCCGGCCTCCAGGGAACTAACTAACTAACTCTCTCAGATGGAGAGAGCTGCCCTAGTATTCCTCCGCCTAGTTATCAATTACCAAGCAGGGTGAATTGAACAAACTAATCCTAATTACTGGCAAACCCCAGATGGTTGAATTATCATTTAACTGGTGGTAATTACATTAGTCATCTTGGCCAAAGTTATATATCAATTACAATAATTCTAGAGATCTGAATTTTGTACCTTGTGAATTAAATAATATGGAGGGTTTTGGTGACCCCTTGGACCCAGGGAGGTCAAGATTCATCCGCTTCCGAGCCTAGTCCCCTCCTAATGACGTCACTGAAGGTGACTTATTCATTATTCCAACAACTGAGAATGGTCTCGATACTTGAACAGGTATATTATTGAATACAATTTGAATGAAAATTTGAATTTCTCTAAATTACTGAATTTAATAAAAGATTCAGACTTTAACAAAAGTCTTGGCAGTGTACGGGGGAGAATGGAAGACTGCGGCGACCTGACCTGGTCGAGTGTTGCCACGTCCGCCAGTCAGCTGATCTTGAACTAAGGGGGAATTGATTCTTCACTCATACGTGACGTTAAGTTAATTACATACTTGACAACCGGAGTTATTAATTACGGTTACTTTAATACCTGAATGACTCAAAGTGATACTTTAAAACCAAGGAGAGCTGGCAACCTGTTTCTGCCTGGTTGTTCTAATTCCCAAGGGACGACCTTCCTGCTACCAAGGTGAGGTAAACTACTCTCACTACTCTTTTTGGAACCTTCCATGTAGTCTCATGAAGTATTCATGCCAGAACTATAATGAATAATTTCTACAACAACCTAGTTTGTTACAACGATACTGAAGCTTTACAAAGAGATCTACATGAACTCCACAGATGGTCAGAAGACTGGCAAATTCTTTTTAATATCGATAAATGCAAGACTTTGCATGTGGGGCATAACAACTTACGCCACGACTACCAAATTAATAGCGTTACATTACAGCAGATTTGTTTAGAAAAGGACCTTGGAGTTAACATCCACCACTCACTAAAGGTTGCATAACAGTTGGGAGCAGCAGTCAGAAAAGCTAACCAAACCCTTGGGATAATCAAGCGTACTTTTGACTGTAAGGAAAAGAAGGTAATGACTTAATTGTATAAATCTCTGGTGCGGCCCCATTTGGATTACTGTATCCAAGCATAGAGACCTCATCATGATGACACAGCTGCTCTGGAGAAAGTGCAGCACCGGACAACAAGTCATTCCAGAGCTAAGTCATCTCTCGTGTCAGGAACGGTTGAGGGCCACAGAGTTAACAACACTGCAAACCAGGCATGACAGAGCGGATCTCATTAAAACGTTTAAAATACTGAACAAGTTAGAGGATGTTGATCCGGACAATTTCTTCAAACGGTCAGATATTACACGAACGAGGAGCAACAGGTTCAAGCTCAACAAACTACAATGTAGGACAGAAAACTCGCCTGGCGTTCCGCGAGCGCTATGTCATGGGTTCGTATCCTGGCCGGGGAGGATTTACTGGGCGCAATTCCTTAACTGTAGCCTCTGTTTAATGCAACAGTAAAATGTGTACTTGGATGAAAAAACGGTTCTTCGCGGCAGGGGATCGTATTCCAGGGACCATAGGATTAAGGACTTGCCCGAAACGCTACGCGTACTAGTGGCTGTACAAGAATGTAACAACTCTTGTATATATCTCAAAAAAAAAAAAAAAAAAAACAGATGCTTTTTTCACCCACAGAGTTATAAACCCATGGAACCGCATATCCGCCGGAGATGTAAATGCCAAAACTGTGCTAAGTTTTAAAATCTACCAGTAAAATATCAAGATAAATGGAGGGGGCCTTCGACAAGCCGCCGGCTTCCTCTCCTCGTCGAGGCCACTATGGTTAGTGGCCCTCAGGTAAATTAATGTCTTGGGAGTTGTGTGATGTTTAGTGTTGAGCAAGTTGTCACCTGACTCACCTGACGGCTGGTATTGTTATTCGCCTCAAGGTATAACAGTGTATACACAGATATTTATGATAAACTTTATTGACTAGTTTGTACAACATACATTAAAATCAATAAAGTACTCCATAAAATGTAATAGATAATAAAGCCCTGGGTGTAACGCCACTCACTACAAGCATAGTACAACACAAGAAAATACAAAATATCTACATCAATTTCACTTCTACAACAGCTATGGTAACATATACGTGGCGAAGACTATTGTTCTTCACCTGTCTCACTACAGTTTGTGAAGGACAAACTAACTCAGGTCTAATACTACATGCAACTCCATGCTGCCTTATGTCTTATATAATTTTGGAACACTTTCCTCCTGCAGCACTCCGTCTAAGGTTAACTCTGGTATCTATCTATAGGCGAAGCCACCAGTGTTAGGAAGGAAACTTTATTCTCTACCGGGAAACGGTACACTAATCTTCCGTATAATGGATTAAACTTTTAATAACGTTAAATGTTTTTGAAAGGGTTCCACATCAGTGTTGTCAGTAGCATGACGAATATGTTGACTCGTGACTGTGCCTGGCATGATTGACCTGAAGGTGAGTTTCCTATATTTTTGGTGTGAACCAGGTGTAGCAGGTCCTCCAGAACTGTATTGCAACTTCTTCATCATGTTGAGCACTTCCTGGTAGTGGTGTGTAGTGTCACAGTTGTTACCCAGGGTGGCAGGTGTCTTGAGCCATATGGCTGTCTTGCACCGTGTCTTCCTCGCCTTGTTCTTAACAGCCTTATGGACCATGTTCAAGTATTCACCTGTCAATAATGACAGGCTAACTTACAGTGTTTTAAGTCGTTTTCCACATTTAATGTTAATTGGCAGTTAGAAGCTTCCAAAGTGTCTTGCAAGTAACCCTTCCCTCTAACAGACAGTACGTTTTAATACTAAATGTACTATATACATTCCTGACTGTCTGCATAGTCAACCCGTTCTCGCAAATTTAATAAGTCAATATTGACTTTACGAATTTGCGAGAACGGGTTGGCATAGTATATAAATGAACTTAATTGTACTGTTACATTTACTTCCTTATATATTCTTATTTACTGTTGAGACACTCAAAATTTTAGGTTAATGTTTTGGTGTTAATTTCTCTTTACACAATTTTTAAATATAAAGAATTTCTTTTTCAGTTTTATTACAATAGATATTTTATACAAAATTTGAAAATATCCTGAGTTACTTTATATTTTATTGAAAGACTTTAGTTTTGTTTTATAAAATTGTAATATCAACATAGCTATAAGTTAAGTACTAATTGTAATTAAGAAGCAATAAATGCTATTTACATGCTTGTCCTCCTACACTCCCAAGGTTAGGTCGTGGTTTTCTATACAGCTTTTCAGGTAAACTTTAATATTCACAATATATTGGTGCGATGCTGGCGATTAAGTGTATTTATGTACTATTCCAAGTCAGGATTGTATTTATTACATTTAGTATTAAAACGTACTGTCTATTCGAAGGATAGGCTGCTTGCACGGTATACTTGTGAAGATTTCTTTATTATACTGAATAATTCCTTCCCCTTTGTGATGCTTCCCCAAGCATCGCAAAGGGGAAGAAATGTGGCCTGGGTCTGAGAACCACTGAACTAGAAATTATTTTCACATTTTAATTTACTAAACTTGTTCTGAAATGAATAAAGAAAATGGAATATACAGATGAACAATGTTACTGTTGTAAACTTCTTGCGGTGCATTGTAGGTTGGCAGGTGTCGTTCATAACACTGTGGTGTATCAGTGACTGTTGTCACTATAATACTCATAATACTGAGAGTGTAGTTCAGGTATACAACGATTCTTACAGTCTCTGTTAAACGCTAAATAGTTTATCTCTGGTGGAAATATTCCGCTCTTTCACCTTCCAGTGCTGTGAATATTTATATAAATATAACACAGTATAATACTGAGGGAGCCATAGTGCACTGTACTCCTTGGCGCTTACATATGAAGTTGCAGAGTTTGGTAATGTCACGAATACAGAACAGCACTAAATACAGACAGTTGTCGCTGTAGTGTTGCTTATAGTGACATGTTGGCTTAGTTAGCCCGTGTACTGCTACTCTAGGGGTTACTGCCCTCACCGGTACAGTATTGTCTACACCATACACTGCTCTCACCGGTACAGTGTTGACTACACCATATACTGCTCTCACTGGTACAGTGTTGTCTACACCATATACTGCTCTCACTGGTACAGTGTTGTCTACATCATACACTGCTCTCACCGGTACAGTGTTGACTACACCATACACTGCTCTCACCGTTAGTGTTGTCTACACCATACACTGCTCTCACCGTTACAGTGTTGTCTACACCATACACTGCTCTCACCGGTAGTGTTGTCTACACCATACACTGCTCTCACCGGTACAGTGTTGTCTACACCATACACTGCTCTCACCGGTATAGTGTTGTCTACAGCATACACTGCTCTCACCGGTACAGTGTTGTTTACAGCATACACTGCTCTCACCGGTACAATGTTGTCTACACCATAACACTATACCGGTGAAAGCAGTGTATCTACACCATACATTGCTCTCACCGGTACAGTGTTGTCTACACCATACACTGCTCTCACCGGTACAGTGTTGTTTACAGCATACACTGCTCTCACCGGTACAATGTTGTCTACACCATAACACTATAACGGTGAGAGCAGTGTATCTACACCATACATTGCTCTCACCGGTACAATGTTGTATACACCATATACTGCTCTCACTGGTACAGTGTTGTCATACACTGCTCTCACCGGTAGTGTTGTCTACACCATATACTGCCCTCACCGGTATAGTGTTGTCTACACCATACACTGTTCTCACCGGTATAATGTTGTATACGCCATACACTGCTCTCATCGGTATAGTGTTGTCTACACCATACACTCACCAGCTATGATGGTGTTACCAGAGAAATGTAATACAACCTTAGATACAGTGATTCACCATAACAATATACCGCAGCATTGAAAACATTAGTGTAACTAGTCCAGTATTCTACAACTGGATACACAACTCTCACCAAGTAATACAACAATCGATACATATATTAACAATGTATGTTAGTGTAGTACTAAGTACAATGGTATTACAAGTGTAGTATACAGCATGAGATGTATTGGTGTGTTGTAGCCTAGGTACTACACCAGTCTGGTGAGGCCAGGGCTTGTAGGGCAGCGCCACCTATAAACACTCTTATCTTCACCATTTGGCCCACTTCACTTATATTTTCTAACTCTATGGAAAAATAAACCAAGTAACCAACAATTATTTTTTGTTTGAAAATGGGGAAATAGTGAAGGGTCGTCACATTTTGATAATAATAAGGTCTACATTTTTATTTTGAAAATGAATGTTTATGGTTACATAACACAAAATAGAAGTTCAATATTAAATGATTTTCACTATAAATAGTCAACAATACGATGATATTTTTGGTATATGTGATACTGCACAAAGTGAGATGCCAAAGGAAGGCACTGTAGCCTATGCCCAGTGAGAGTATCAACGTTTGTTGTGATAAGCGTCATGAGGAAACATGTAGATGCCAACACAACTCTCATGTCACAGTGTGTCTAGTACTGGCACCAACTGTCCTAATTCTACAGGAACTTGTGCAGCAGGTAAGGGAGTATGAGGAGCGGCAAGAAGAGCGAGAGGGTGCTGGCGTCGCTGTTGCACAAGAGAGCGTTGCAGAAGCACACGTCGTCGCTGGGGACAATAGCCATGGCTTTCTGGCACGTGTCTGGGTATGTCTTGTCTGCACACCCACGCTTCGAGTCACTTTCCCCCACTGTGGAAAATATATCACGTCAGTTAAGGCATACAATGAGCCCGGGCAGTATATATATATCTAAAATAAAATGACAAAATACAAAAATATAGGGGGCGGTAGTAGAAGACCATATGTTAATGTACGCAAGTGCCCCACAAGACCCCACCCGGATGCTGCATATCGTGTGGGGTCAGTTACATAGCAAGAAAAAAATAAAAGATGAGAGAAAATTGTAGGTATATTAAAGCACGTAGGTAGCTCAGATTGATTGCAATGACAGCTTGAATGGTAGTTTAACAAAAATTAGTAGGCACAATACAGCATATGGTTAGCACATAAAAGAAGACAGCAATGAACACAATGATAAAGTTGTTTGGGTTAAGGACATAAAGATTGGGAGATTGGGTGACACTAGATACAGAGCAAATTTAAAGCTCAGAGTAGGAAACTACGAAGATGAAATTAGGTACTTTTTGGTTTTGCTTTTAAATGAGGCAAAAGTTTGAAAAGTAGTTCAAGTATACTCATGCCAATATTCAAGTATACTCATGCCAATATTCAAGTATAATTAGAGCAAAACTTTCCCATTACGAGAATAGATTCAAGTTGTTGACCAACTTGTATAATTGCTGATTTTTGCCATGTTCCCCCCCCCCCTTTATTCCCCCCCCCCTTTCAACACAATTTATACTTTAATCTCAATTAGTATTAAGTTTTAGTCTAAGTGTTTTTCCCCCACACCTTGCCCGAAACGCTATGCGTACTAGTGGCTTTAGGTATTGTATGTACTAACTCTATCTATAAATCCAATATTATGTTTGTAACTCATCTATGTATGTACTTTTACCTGAATAAACATTTTGACTAAGACTCACCGATGGAATCAGCAACAGTGTAGCAGGAGGTGCTGGGGCAGAAGACCCAGGAGTTACCCTCCGTCCCTGGGATGTGGCTGTAGCAGAACAGTCCCATCACTGTTGGCAACACACACAACACTAAACACTCTCCAACCATCAACTACATCATTAAGGCACAGGATACTAAATTTTAAATGATTACTAAGAGTATATTCATGTTATAATATTCAAGTTCAAACTGTGATAAAAGGCCAGGAACGACCTCAAGTCTTTATCCATTGTTTATCATATTGAAATATGCCAAACAAAACGCATGTATGGAGCACGTAAGGCAGTCAGTAGACTGAGAGATGTACCACAAGGGGAACGCGACCAGGCGTTCCACCTGTGGTAGGCAGATGATGAGTCACAACGTGGCTGAAGATATGATAACCAAACCATACATCAGAAGATGAAAAAACGACGACGTTTCGGTCCGTCCTGGACCATTATGAAGACATGTGGACCATTATGAAGTCGTATCACACTTGATAATGGTTCAGAACCGACCGAAACATGGTCGTTTCTGCATCTTCTTCTTCTTGAGAATAGGCGCAGTTTGCATGAAGGGGTAACCCTCCCGATGACTGCACCAGGACAGATGTAAGGAGACGCGTTGACGGTCAGGAGGAGAAGAAAGTCAAAAGCGGTAGATGTGATGGGCCGTAGAGAGAGGAGTGGCGACGAAAACAGAGGCGAACGTTAGAGGGAGACTCCCCGCACCGGGGGGCGGGGCGTCGTGATCACGGTGGCAGCTGATCCATGCACGGCTTAGCAGCGTGCGCAAGACGGGAACTAATACTTCTCCGGAAACTTGTGTATCGGAAAGCGCAAGCAGTACGCTTCCCATATCACCCGCAGGTCAGCGGGCAGCCGGCCACCAGGCGGCGCCCTCGGCTGAGACATCCTATCCGGCACCCTATACACAAACTCCTTCACCCGCGACACCCAGACAGTGGACGAGCACCACGGGATCGGAAGCACCCGGGCATCCCGATAAGGGCCCAACTCCGGACCCTTACAGGGCACGACCCCAGCAGACGGGACTAGGCAATCCCCAGACTGGAGCAAGGAAGGAGGGGATACAGCAGGGGACGCAGGCGCGGCACCGACCCCACCACCGGGCACAGGAGCCGAGGCCCTCTGGCGCACATCTTTCCGCAACATCACGACGAGGTCCCGATCAGCAGGGACAACCCCCCACTGCGGAGATCCAACAGCAGGAGACGCAGGAGGAGAGGCACAGGTAGCAACGTCGGAGCCCCTCACAGCACCACCATTCTCGGCGGGGGGCGCCAGATTACCATACTCCCCCACCTCCTCCCAAGGCACACCACGAAGGGGAGACACACTCCGAGCCCGCCGTGAACGCTTAGAGACAGGCCTCACCACACCACGCCCAGCAGGCCCCGCCGCAGGCACGGCCACCATCTTTACATCCACACAGGCCACACCCGCACCGTCCGAAGAGTCCACATCACCCACACTGTCCACATCATCCAGGGAAACAGCCTCAGAACACCGACGCGCACGCTTCTGCAAAGGGACGGAAAGAGCAGAACTACACTCACCAACACACACAGGCACGGCAGGCACCTCCCCCTGCCGAAGCACCCCCTCTAAAACAGCAGAACCCGCGTCCCCGGGAGCCGGTAGCACATCCACAGGCGGGGGCGGGACATGGACCTCCACCGAGACATCCTTCACTACACGCAGCTCAGGCGACGGCCCGACACCCACACACACCGGCTCAACAACCCCAGGGGCCATAGCAGTCACCTGACGTGTCGCCGTAGAACTCGCCCCAACAGGCGGAGCAGCAGACAGGCAATCAGGCGCCTCAGGCACAGCACCTACTCCATCCTCAGAACCGTCCGAACGTAACAAGGGCGGGAAATCCTCTGCACGAAAAACATGCACCCTACCAGTTGCACCCACGTCGCACGCCGCAGCCAGGTGACCCTCGTGACCACACCGATAACAGGTGCGCGGTTGACCCCGGTACAAGCAGCGGAGCGTGTAACCCAACACGGACATCGACGACGGTACACTACACTTCAGCGACATCGTCAGGGTGCGGGAGCCGTCAAGCATACCAACACAGTGCCCGGCAACGACCTTGTTCCAACGAACACTTAACACGGTCCCAAATCGCTCAAAACAGGAGGTTAAAAAGTCGTCCTGAAATTCGAAGGGGGCACCATGCACCGCCACAGACGTCAAGGTGACACTAAGATTCACCACCTTAACTGAGCCAGCTGAATCAGGGAGTGGGTAAACACGCCCCTCACAACGCTCGAGAAACACCTGAAAGGCAGCCTGGAGGCGGAACTTGACCACAGCACGGTTGCCCTGAAGCAGCTGGACGCCCACCAGGTCCGACAGCTGCACATGAAGCACGTCCACCAGGGCGACACCAACCAATGGATGGTCCACCGGCACCGTAAACGCTAGACCAGCCGACAATGTCCTCTGCACTGGAGGGCGAGATGACCCCATGGCGAAGGCAAACGTCACCCTGTCAGTGGCAAACCACCACCAGCAGGGCAAACAAGCAATCACCCAACGTAAACACTAGCCAGTGCGGAGAGACCTCAGGAGCGTCCGACCTGGCCGGTGGTCACCACGCAACTCGACCTTCTGCATCTTCTGATGTGTAGTTTGGTTATCGCTGGTAGTTCAGCTGGTATGTGGATGTAGAGGAGATGAAGTGTAAAGTGTGAGGAGAAAGGGAAGGTAGAGACTCACCGCCGTGTAAGGTGGCCACCAGCACCACCACCCCCAGGACGGACTTGGTGCTGCTCCTGCCGGTAAGAGAAACACTTAACTATTATACTGATTAGAGGTAAACGCAGGGGTCGAACCTTAAGGATAATCCCTCACCTTATTTTTCCCTGAGGCCCGACCCATATTTTTCCAATTATTATAACAATTATAACCCTGTCAGGAGCCATCCTAGCTCCCAACTTTAACATTGAGATTGTAGCGAGTATATTATGTCAATATACTCGCTCCAAACTCTCAGTAGGTATTGAGGGCTTGGAACGAGTATATTGTTTACATACTATACTGGCTACAGAATCATTTCAACACGTTTTTCATATTTGTTGTTGTCTTAAAATATTTGTCTTGGCCAACATTCGTGCCAAGAATGTTGAAACCATTCACCCTGATCAGACATTGTCACAAAAACTGTCAAATGTGGCCAAGTGGACACAGGCCGCCAGAAAGGTTGGCCAAGTGAAGGGTATTAAGCTACACACAAAGGCCCTAAATTTATGTGCCTCAGTTAATTTTATATTTCAGGGAGAATTTAAAGAATTAAGTCTAGGAAAATAAGAGATATTGGCAAAACTGAGCATCGAAGTGTCATAAAATTCCTAACTAAAGAAAGTTCCACGGGAAATATCGTTAATTTATTGTACCTGGATGGGGTTCTGGGAGTTCCTTTATTCCCCAAGCTTGGCCCCCGGCTCGGGGCCAGCCACAAACTATATAATTGTAGCCAACGTCTTAATTTCTTACCCCAAGACACTGGAGGATGGGTTGTAAGCTTCCACCTGGCTCACGTCCTTAGGACCTGCTCCACTGCCAGAATTTAATTCATCATTTTCGAAGAGTAATATTTCTCTTTCATAATATGGTCGCTATTGCTTACAACTGGTGCTCAAATCCCAGGATAACTAGAGCAATTTTTTAGCTTTGCAATGCCAAGAGTCCGCAGGTGACTAAATTAAGAGTTTTCGAAAAGCAGTATTTGTTAGTATTATCAATTATCTCTATCTATAATTATCTATTTATAACTCGTGGGCAACTTTGATCAGTCACCCCAGGACCACATCACCGTAGAGTAACAGTTCTCGTTGCTTCAAATGATCAACACTGTACCGACTCCCAACTCGCCGGTTGAAGCCTACGCTAAATTTGAATATTGCAATAATACAAACATATTAGCAATTGTTGATTTTTAAAACTGTCACTATTCTAAAAGCCAATACTATAACCCTAGGACTATGAAAGCCATCTTTGTCGAACAATAACACTTCTCATTGATTGCAAACAATAGCAGCATAATATCGGTCCTCCCCCCCTCCCCACCCACGGATGACACTTAATTTTGTAATTTAAACATTGACAACTGCTCATTTCTAAAACAATTTTTGTATTTGATATCATTTACAAAATTACAACAAAAATAATTTAGCTAATTTTAATTTAAAATTCAGAAATATAAGGTAACTAAATGTAGTATTTTCGAAAAGTGATTCCCATTTTTTTAAAACCTGATAACACATAGAAAACGATGGCTAAAATGATTCTAGGATCTAAACATCACTCGCATCAGAGATTAAACTCACCAAAGAATGCAAAGATTGTATGTTGTTGTTGTTTGACACACTGGCAACGCAATGAGAAAGAGTGCCCGAATTCAATAGCTTCTTTTCATCAACTGGCGTCAGTTTTGTTAGAAATATCCCAGAGGCCCCGACACATGTTACTACATATCTCACCAGCAGCTATCCTAACTATTTTGCCAAATCTGCTCGACAGACATTATCTCTATAATTCACTTGCTTTATTAAAACCAAAGTTGGGAACATTAGTGAAATATCAATTATGATATGCATAATATATACATGGACAATACTAGATGGCCAAGTCTCAAATTTGCTGTTATAATAACAACATACTGGTGCAACAGGTATGGCAGGAAGTGCAGAACAGAGCCAGAGAAGAGTAGAGGTGCCATAGGCACGATCACAGAATAAACATAGACTCTGGTATGAACACCAGAGGACCGCGGCTCTTCACCAGCAAGTATAAGAAATATTGCCGGAATAAAAGTGGACGTTTTCAACCAAAAAATTTACAGATTCCTGCAAGAAGTGTCGGAGCAACTGGGATGTAGTGGATATGTGGGACTGCGGGCCGCTCCAAGCAACAGCCAGTTGGACCAAGCTGTCACAAGTCAAGCCTGGCTTCGGACTGGGCTTGGGGAGTAGAAGAACTCCCAGAACCCCATCCATTCGTGCATGGTAGCTGTAAGGAGCTCACGCCCATTTTGAGGACCAGTTGAGTGACGGTTCTACTGCTGTGTGGATTGATCAACAGGAAAGAAGTCTAGTCGATTATAAGGAGGATTAATCCACACTTGATCCACAAGGATTGTTGGACGTCGATTTGTATGAGATCATTGTATCAGACGCAGTGAATGGAGATGAGTGGTCATTCGTCTTTATTGATTTATATGACAAAGTCTATATTTGACGGTGACTATGTAACCTATGCCAGGCAAGATTAATAAAGGAAACGGTAGCCTAGTGAGGCACAATTTGCTGCACAGAGACTTTATAGAAGAATAAAAACAATTATCGAAGCAGTGATCTGTGACTTTACTCGTTGTTACGTGTAAAATGGGTAAAACAAAATTCATTTTCAGTTACCCAAATAAAGTTGGAAACGAATTCGTAAACGTATATCAGAAGAAATAAAGCTGAGAGCAACGAGTCTAAGATTCCTTGTGGTGATTGTAATAAAGTTTATTATGGCCAAACAGGCCAACCCGTCCTCTTAAAAATAACGTCGCTTTTCGCTCGTATGCGCGCTATGGCTAAATTTGGACGTAATTTGAAATGCCACTACCAGAATACTCAGATTGTAAACTCTGTGATAAACCTTTAATGCATTCACTAGAACACTATATTGTTGGATGTGAAACCGTAAAGGACTTTAGACCTCCTGGCCTCTTGTACCACCAACTGTGTAACTATTTTATTGAGTCAGGTGTTCTGGACGACATCCTAACAGTTTATCCAAAATTTGCTTGTCCATTTTAAAGAAAGAAGAACAATTTTTATTTATATTACTTTTAAGCTGCATCACTTATGAACCTATCCCTGCCCTTGTGTGGCAGTGCACAATAGAAAGTTGTTTTCACATATCCATACATTAACACATTGATTGTAACCATGATATATATGCTTCAGCCTACAGTTTAGACCTATTGTCTTATGTATGACCCTCTGTCCTGCGTGACAGTGAATACCAGCATTATCCTCACTTTAATAAGACTTTATCAAAATCCTCAGATTAGGCAAAATTGTAATTAATTTTGTCAATAAAGCTGTTAATAATAATAATAATTTGAAATGAAATCGACTCCCAAAAGTGACGTACTGTCCCGTTTTCTGTTTGAGTCGTTCGGCTTACTCGGTAAGGTTAGAAGCGGAAACTTTCAATTAACGTTTTTCATAACGTTTTGAAACTTTGAGAATTTCCTGCCCACCAAACCTACCAGAGGACCGTAATTCTTGTATAATTTATCTTCCAACACTTTGGCTTCAAAATAAAAATAATAGAATTTACTTTTATTAACAATAATTCAATTTGTAATATTTCCTCAGGGCAGTGGTTACCAGATATGGTGAGTGATTATGTAATAAAGAGGTTATTACCCAATACATTCCCATTACATCCCCAGTTATTACCCAATGTATATACCTCTCCCCATGACACTTGACGCCATTAAAGCAGCCACAGCCATCATTCTTGTGTGTTTACGGGCTCACCATAGCCCGTGCTACATGGACATTTCATTCTGAGTAGCTATATCTAAAACAGCAACAAACATCATTCTTGTGTGTTTACGGGCTCACCATAGCCCGTGCTACATGGACATTTCATTCTGAGTAGCTATATCTAAAACAGCAACAATAACATCATCCTTGTAAATTCCAAAAACCATTCTAATCAGTCTATCGCGAGGCACAGTATCAAAATCTTTGCCAAAATCAAGGTACAGAGAGACTGGCAATCCTTTCCACTATCAACTGCTTCAGTTGATAGCAGTTGATATCATATGTCAATATCATACCCTTAGCACAGCTGTGTAGGTTGTGAATATTCTTTAATCTAACTTTTCAAGATATATACAGTTGGAGTTTGTGATTATCGGTGCTATATATTTTCCACGGTAAATGTAACGCTAATTATGTTTCAGTTTGAAATAATCACGCCAAACGATATGTAGACATCTATTTACCTCCAGTTAAATTAAAAAGGAAAATTGTCAATTATAAAGGAAACGTACAAGTTACACGTTCCTGTGCCAGGTAAGTCCACTGCGGGCTCGCCATAGTCCGTGCTACTTACCCCGCTCCTGTGCCAGGTTGGCCAACTGCGGGCTCACCATAGTCCGTGCTACTTGCCGCTCCTGTGCCAGGTAAGTCCACTACGGGCTCACCACAGTCCCTGAATCTAAAACATCATCATTCTGGCCTACAGGCTATTCATGCCCGTGCCACCTCGTGGGTGGCTTAATCTTCATCATTTTTGCTCACTGCTAAAGAGGATCCCGGGTTGGGATCGAAATATACAGTCTACATTTGCTCATGTTTTTTAAAAATAGCGGGTTATTATCTTCCGCTTATATATATAAATATATATAAATATATAAATATATATATATATATATATATATATATATATATATATATATATATATATATATATATATATATAACTGAAAACTCACACCCCAGAAGTGACTCGAACCCATACTCCCGGAAGCAACGCATCTGGTATGTTCAAGACGCCTTAATCCACTTGACCATCACGACCGGACATAATGAGGTGATAGCCGAGGCTATTTGAACCACCCCACCGCCGGCACTCGGATAGTTATCTTGGGCATAGCATTTTACCAAATCACCTCATTCTTTGGGGCAACACGTGAGGAACACAAATGCGAACAAGCCTGAATGGTCCCCAGGACATATGCAACTGAAAACTCACACCCCAGAAG